GTCCCCACCAGTGCTGTACTCCAGTGTTATACAGTGACAGACCCGTCTCCACCAGTACTGTACCCCAGTGTTATACAGTGGCAGACCCGTACCCACCAGTGCTGTACCCCAGTGTTATACAGTGACAGACCCTTCCCCACCAGTGCTGTACTCCAGTGTTATACAGTGGCAGACCCGTCCCCACCAGTTCTGTACCCCAGTGTTATACAGTGACAGACCTGTCCCCACCTGTGCTGTACCCCAGTGTTATACAGCAACAGGCCTGTCCCCACCAATGTTATACAGTGACAGAGCTGTCTGCACTAGTACTATAGCCCCATTGTTATATAGTGACAGACCTGTCCCCACCATGATATGCAGCTCCTGCATTATTGCCAGATCCATCCAGTCTGTGGCTGTAGAGATGGTATTAAGCTATTGACATGGTCAATGAGATTCTCTGATGTTCTGCACCAGTATGGATCTATGAGTATCCATACAAATGACTGCTGTGTGTAAGGTTATTTTCTCATTTGCTTCCAGTCCCTCAAACTGGAGACATTCCTCTGTAGATTGCACAGGAGTTCGGTCTGAGAGTTCATGGCTTTGGAAGCTTCGTCTCACTGAGCCCAAGAGAGGTGGTGATCATGTGAAGTGCATTGAATTCACAGTATGGGATACAGTCATAGAGTCAAACAGCATAGAAACAAGCCCTTCGGCCAACCATGTCCATTCCGACCAACAAACACCAAACTACACTGCTCCATAGCCTACTATGCCCTGGAATTTTACGTGCTCATCTGGAATGTATATTTTTCTTAATATTTAGTTTGTCTTCACAGTCTAGAGCAAGACTGCATCCCTGAATCAGTCCACGCACGCTGTGCAATAGGGCTGTTTTGCATTGTAGGGGGTTAATTAGTTCAGTTGGCTGGACAACTGGTTTACAATGCAGTGTAACACCAAAAGCATGGGTTTAATTCTGCACTGGCTAAGGTCACCATGAAGGACTCTCCCCTGACCTTCAGGTTAAAACACCAGTCACCTCTCTCTCTCTCTCTTTCTCTCACACACACACATACCATCTCTTGGATGAGTGCACAGCTTTGTGGTCCTCTAGGACTATGGTAACTTTACCAAACTTCATTGTTTTTATTCTCTCTCTATTCATTTGAGGGATGTGGGCATTGCTGCCTGGGCCAGCATTTATTGCCTGATCCTAGTTGCTCTTGAGAAAGTGGGGGTTAGCTGCCTTCTTGAACTGCTGCAGTCCACTGACTGTGGGTTGACCCACAATGCTATTAGGGAGGGAATTCCAGGATTTTGACCCAGTGACAGTGAAGGAAAGGTGATATATTTCCAATTCAGGATGATGAGTGACTTGGAGGGGAACTTGCAGGGGAACTTGCAGGGGGTAGTGTTGCCGTATGTCTGGTACCCTTGTCCTTCTAGATGGAAGTGGTCATGGATTTGGCAGGTGCTGTCTGAGGATCTTTGGTAAATTTCTGCAGTGCATCTTGTAGATAGTACACACTGCTGCTACTGAGCATCGATGATGGAGGGAGTGGATGCTTGTGGATGTGGTGCCAATCAAGCGGGCTGCTTTGTCCTGGATGGTGTCAATCTTCTTGAGTGTTGTTGGGGCTGCACTCATCCAGGCAAGTGGGGAGTATTCCATCACACTCCTGACTTGTGCCTTGTAGATGGTGGACAGGCTTTGAGGAGTCAGGGAGTGAGTTACTCAACACATTATTCCTAGCTTCTGGCCTGCTCTTGTAGCCATTGTGTTTATGTGGTGAATCCAGTTGAGTTTCTGCGTTAATGGTAACTCCAAGGATGTTGATAGTGGGGGATTCAGTGATGGTGACACCATTGAATGTCCAGGGGTGTGGTTAGATCGTCTCGTATTGGTGATGGTCATAGCCTAGCATTTGTGTGGCGCGAATGTCACTTGCTACTTGTCAGCCCAAGCCTGGATATTGTCCACAGTGTGGAGCTGGAAGAACACGGCAGACCAGGCAGCATCAGATGAACAGGAAAGCCGACGTTTCTGAAGAAGGGTCCCGACCTGAAACATCAGCTTTCCTGCTCCTCTGATGCTGTCTGGCCTGCTATGTTCTTCCAGCTCCACATTGTTTTATCTCAGACTCCAATATCGGCAGTTCTTACTATCTCTGGATATTGTCCACATCTTGTTGCATTTGAACATGGACTGCTTCAGTATTTGAGGAGTCACGAACGGTGCTGAACATTGTGCAATCATCAGCGAATATCCCCACTTCTGACCTTATGATGGAGAGAAGGTCATTGGTGAAGCAGCTGAAGATGTTTGGGCCTAGGACACCACCCTGAGGAACTCCTGCAGAGATGTCCTGGAGCTGAGATGACTGACCTTCAACAACCACAACCATCTTCCTACGTGTCAGGTATGACTCCAACCACCGGAGAGTTTGCCCCCGATACCCATTGATTCCAGTTTTGCTAGGGCTCCTTGATGCCACACTTGGTCGAATGCAGCCTTGATGTCAAGAGCTGTCAGTCTCATCTCACCTCTGGAATTTAGCTCTTTTGTCCATGTTTGAACCAAGGCTGTAATGAGATCAGGAGCTGAATGGCCCTGATGGAACCCAAACTGGGCATTGCTTAACAGGTTATTGCTGAGGAGGCGTTGCTTGATAGCACTGTTGATGACACCTTCCATCACTTTACTGATGATTGAGAGTAGACTGATGGGGCGGTAATTGGCCGGGTTGGATTTGTCTTGCTTGTTGTGTACAGGACATACTTGGGCAATTTTCCACATTGTAGGATAGATGCCAGTGTTGTAACTGTACTGGAACAGCTTGGCTAGGGGAGCAGCAAGTTCTGGAGCACAAGTCTTCAGTACCATTGCCGGAATGTTGTCAGGGCCCGTAGTCTTTGCATTATCCAGTGTTTCCAATCGTTTCTTGATATCACGTGGAGTGAAACGAATTGGCTGAAGACTGCTATCTGTAATGCTGGGGACCACTGGAGGAGGCTGAGATGGAACATCCACTTGGCACATCTGGCTGAAGATTGCTGAGAATGCTTCAGCCTTATATTTTGCACTGATGTGCTGGGCTCTTCCATCATTGAGGATGGGGATGTTTGTGGAGCCTCCTCCTCCTCCAGTGAGTTGTTTAATTGTCCACCACCATTCGTCACTGGATGTGGCAGGACTGCAGAGCTTAGATCTGATCCGTTGGTTGTGGGATCGCTTAGCTCTATCACTTGCTGCTTTTGCCGTTTGGTGTGCAAATAGTCCTGTTTGATGCCTTCACCAGGTTGATACCTCATCTTCAGGTATGCCTGCTGCTGCTCCTGGCATGCCTTCCTACACTCTTCATTGAACCAGGGTTAATCCCCTGGCTTGACGGTAATGGTTGAGTGGGGGATATGCCGGGCCGTGAGGTTACAGATTGCGCTGAAGTACAATTCTGCTGCTGTTGATGGCCCACAGTGCCTCATGGATGCCCAGTCTTGAGTTGCTAGTTCTGTGCGAAGTCTGTCCCATTTAGCACGGTGATAGTGCCACACAACACGATGGAGGTTGTTCTCAATGTGAAGGCGGGACTTCGTCTCCACAAGGACTGTGCAATGGTCACTCCTACCGATACTGTCATGGATAAATGCAACTGCAGCTGGCAGATTAGTAAGGATGAGGTCAAGTATGTTTTTCCCTCTTGTTGGTTCCCTCACCACCTGCCACGGACCCAGTCTAGCAGCTATGTCCTTTAGGACCCAACCAGCTTGATCAGTAGTACTGCTGCCGAGCCACTCTTGGTGGTGGACATTGAAATCTCCCAGTCAGAGTATATTTTGTGCCCTTGCCATCCTCAGTGCTTCCTCTAAGTGTTGCTTAATATTAAGGAGTACTGATTCATCAGCTGAGGGAGGACGGTATGTGGTAATCAGCAGGAGGTATCCTTGCCCATGTTTAACCTGAAGCCATAAGGCTTCATGGGGTCTGGAGTCAATGTTGAGGACTCCGAGAGCAACCCCCTCCTGACTGTATACCACTGTGCCGCCCCCTCTGCTGGGTCTGTCCTGCCGGTGAGACAGGACATATCCAGGGATGGTGATGGTGGTGTCTGGGACATTGTTTGTAAGGTATGATTCTGTGAGTATGACTGTTGCTTAACTAGTCTGTGAGACAGTCCTCCCAGTTTTGGCACTAACCCCCAGATGTTAGTGAGGAGGACTTTGCAGGGTCGACAGGGCTGTTTCTGCCATTGTCTTTTCCGGTGCCTAGGTCGATGCTAGATGATCCGTTCAGTTTCATTTCTATAAGACTTTGAGACTTGTGCAGGTTTTCCTGTGTAATGCTGGAATCAATGACCTAGTCTAATGCTAAAATACTGAGTTTTGACCACAATGAATGTACCATGAAGCTCCTACAATATTGTCTGGTGTTTTATTTGATGGCCCATTGCCCTGAAGTTGCATTATTGGGTACTCTGCCCTTGTCAGTCAATACTCTATGTAATGAAACATCTTTCTGTTTGAGTCTCCCTTTCCTGAGCACTGTGTTCAATTCTTTGCAGAATCACATTGGCTGGAGGAATCATAGTACTCACATATTAGTCTTCTCTACTGAGTCTGCCTTTCATTATGAGGCTGATGGCTCCAATGTTCTCTCTGGGATTCTGAAACGGAATGACGAAGGCTGCCACTTGGACTCGACTAATACCTATACTTGGCACACATTGCAAGATTACCCATCGATTCCAACTCTGATTCGTCATCTTACAGAGCGAAGCATTATCCCAATCTTTGCAGTTACCAACCACTCTTATTCTTATTACCAGGTAAGATGTTTAGCATGAGAAAACAGAGTTCATTTTGTTTTAATGCTGTCCGCAAGACATTTTGCAGGATGGATTATACATTATCTAATGTGTAAGTGTTGGGATCTAAGCAGGGATCATGAGCTTTTAAAGTGAAATTTGAACAGTGCAATTAACCAAGAGAGTTATACCATGAGCATTTTATATTTTAAATATAAATAAACTTTGTTTCATACAAAAATAAATTAGGCAAAGTAAGTATCACTATATCAACAACATAGATTTTATCTAAGTATAGAATGAATCCAGTTTTACTTTTACACTCCCAACAAAAGATCCCTTATCCGAACACCTTGAAGGACCATTCATTTTTTTAGGTACCAAAATCAGAGTTAACGTTTCAGGTCCAGTGAAGGGTCACTGAACCCAAAACATTAACTCTGATGTTTTCTTCACAGATGCTGCCAGACCTGCTGAGCTTTTCCAACAACTTCTGTTTTTGTTCCTGATTTACAGCATCCACAGTTCTTTTGGTTTTTATTGTAGAAGTTCTTGTTTATTGTAAAACATCTTGCTTACTGCAAAGTTGCTTGTGAGACCATCCCTGGTGGTGTAGTGGTTAGGATTCAGCGCTTTCACTGCTACGGCCCAGGTTCAATTCCCGGTCAGGGAATCAAATATTGGGGCAGCACAGTGGCTCAGTGGTTAGCACTGCTGCCTCACAGCGCCAGGGTTCAATTCCACCTTCGGGCGACTGTCTGTGTGGAGTTTGCACATTCTCCCTGTGTCTGTGTGGGTTTCTTCCGGGTGCTCTGGTTTCCTCCCACAGTCCAAAAAAGATGTGCAGGCTAGGTGAATTGGCCATGCTAAATTACCCATAGTGTTCAGGGATGTGTCGATTAGGTGGGCTTATAGGGTAATGGGTCTGGGTGGGATGCTGTGTGGACTTGTTGGGCCAAAGGGCCTGTTTCCACACTGTAGGGATTCTATGAGACACTGGGAATCAAGGGTTCACAATAGAAGCTACATTATAAGCTATTCATATTGAATAATAAAGATTTATAGGGAGAAGGCAGGAGAAGGGGGTTTAGAAACCTATGATCAAATGGGTTGAGAAACACACTAGCCTAATGGCCCAATTTTATTTAATACTTAGACTCTGTACTTCACTATTACATAAACCTACTAAGGATAGTACCTGAGATGTGTTGTGTTATACAGTACACATTAATATTTACCTTCAAAATATATATACAGTCAAACATATTACATGGTTCATAGTATAGGGTGAATGCAGTGTCTATGATGGGGTGTGATACAGTGTATATTCAAGGAGATGTGACAGAGTGTATGATGCAGGAGTTGTGATACGATGTATATTTCAGGGAGTGTGCTATGATGTCTGTTATGGTGGGGTGGGGGTGTGGGCAATGTGATACAGCTTATACAGGTGACATGGTGGCTCAGAGGTTAGCATTTCTGCCTCACACAGCCAGAGACCAAGGTTCAATTCCAGCCTTGGGTGACTGTGTGGACTTTGCACGTTCTCCCCATGTCTGTGTGGGTTTCCTCTGGGTGCTCTGTTTTCCTCTCACAGTTTAAAGATCTACAGGTTAGGTGGATTGGCCATGCTAAATTATCTGTAGTGACCACGGATGTGCAGGCTAGGTGGTTGGGTTAGCCATGGGAAATCCAGGGTTATGCAGATAGGGCATGGGATGGGTCTACATGGCATACTCTTTGGACGGTCAGTGCAGACAAGATGGGCTGAATGGCCTCTATATGCACAATATGTGATTCTATGAAATGACAGGGGTGTGATGCAGTGTATATTAGGGGGTGTGACAGAGTGTATATTTCAGGAGGTGTGATACAGTGTACATTACGGGGGTGTTATAAGTTTACAGTGCAGGGGATGTGATCCATTGTACATTACTATTAGTATGATAGAATGTCCACTACCTAGCATGTGATACAGTGTATATTTCAGAGGGTGTGATACGCTGTATATCAGGGGATGGTATATGGCTGAATTTATGAGATGCCAGGATCCCACCATTCTCCCTCTAAACTGTGCATCTGTTTAGCTGCTCAGAGGGTTGATTGGCACGTGGGTGCATAGCGTTCTGGTACTGGAGTTCAGGGCCGCACACAGAGCTCAGAGGTCCTGCAGTAACAAGAAAAAGATTAGAGGGAATATAGGACCCCATCCTCTCCAACCAAAAAGTCAACTTGGAGCGCACTCCTGATAAAGTTGTTGCTGAGCAGCCATTTGAGCTAAGCTTGGCTTCTGTCTTGGGAGATGGGCGCCCAATACAACTAGCTGGCAGCTGTGTGTTCCCAATAGTGCCAGGTTTGACCAGTGGGGCTGACAGTTCCCATAAGGAAGGAAGGCAGTGGGGGCTTGATTGGAGAGGTCAGGAGGGATGGTTAATGGTGAGGGGTATGTCCTCGATGTTGGGAAGTGGTGATGGGGGGAATGTCTTCAATTATCATTGGCAACACCTGAAGGGAGGTCACAATGCCCACTTAGAGTCAAATGGTCATAGAGCTGTACAGCATGGAAACAGGCCCTTCAGTCCAACTCGTCCATGCTGACCAGATATCCTAAATTAATGTAGTTCTATTTGTCAGCATTTGGCCAATATCCCTTGAAACCCTTCCTATTCACATACCTAACCAGATGCCTTTTGCCCAGTAACAACCCATGTGCAGTGCACTCCCCCACCCGTCTCCCCCCAGGGGTAGCATAACGTACTGCAGTGATTAATTGGCCACTTATTGATCTCACTAGGTCCAAGGGTGAGTGAACTGCCCAGTGTTGCCACCATCCCCTCTCAAAATAGGAGCCAGGTCATGAGACAGGAGGGAAGGCCATGTCCTGCACGTGATATGTTCTATGAGCCTATCTCCCCCAAACCCTCTGCTGCTATATACCTGCTGGTGAGAGCTGTAAATCCAGCCCAGAGTGTGTTATAGTGGAGTGAGATAATCTGTACATTTAAGGTCATGATACAATGTATATTACAAGGTGTGATATGTTCTATAATAGAGTATGTGATACATTGAAAGAAAGGTGATGTGTTATATTGTATGTTATAGTTGGTTTGATACAGTGTATGTTACAGAATCTATAATACATATGTGAGAGTGTCATATAGTATATATTACAATGTATGATATAGAGTGTGTGGCATACTGCTCATTATCAGAAGCTATGTAACAATTGGCTTGATACAGCATATACAAAGTCGTGAATTTTAAAAATATTCAAAAACTGCTTCCACCATGTTTCAGGGAGAGAATTGAAAAGATTCTTGAGAGAAAGTGAGTGAAAGGTTATCAGTGTAAGCGGGAATGTGAAGTATTTAGATCAACTATAATCTTACTGAATGGTGGAGTAGGCTTGAGATGTCTTATTCCTATATTGGTCTGTGTGTTTGTAGATGTATAATATGAGGTATAAAAGTAGCATATTACAGGGGATGTGATACAGTGAATATTGGAGTAGATGTGGTACAGTGTATGTTACAGAGAATGTGGTACAGCAAATACTGCAGTTGTTATGCAGTGATATAGTGAATATTAGACTAGAGAATGTGACACACTGTATATCATAGGCGATACAATATATTGTATATTTGACTTCATGGTTTAGCTTAATCTTACATATCAAACTTTTTCAATCGTCTCTTTGCTAGATTGGCTTGTTTTCATTCACTACACACACTAAGATGCCAACTCTCATATATTTCTTATTTTTCTACAGAAATTGTGTAAATATTTTCCTGTGTCTGATATTGGGCAGCTCCAGGAAGACTCTTCCAATATAATCGAATTGTTACGGAATGCATTTGAGGTAAAACGTCCTCCAAGCGCTGCTTCCATAAAAATAAGTTTGTCCATTGTCCAGACCGCACTGGCCACATAGAATAAAGTAAATTACCGTAGCTGCTGGAAACTGAAATGTAAAACAGGAAGAGATGGTGAAACTCAGTGGGTCCGGTAGCATTTGCTGAGTGAGAAACAGAGTTAATGTTTCAGATCAAATATGATTTCTTCACAATGGCCAGTACATGCCTGGTGTGTGTACCAAGTTGTATGTTGCATGGTGTCACTGTTGAGTCACACAGGTCCTGCTGCATTGTTATGGAACCTGTGCTGTGATCTGGTATAGTAGCAGTGCAGCGCCCCCAGGCTTTGGTTTTGATTAGTCTGTGTCCTTCCTTCTATAGAATATCCGCTCCAAGATGGAAATCCGAGCTGAGAATGTCCCCATAACAATGTCGGCTAAAGTCTCGTTGTTATCTTCTGCCACGTCTCAGAGTGACTCTTCTATCTTCACTGTGGCCCCAGGAGAAGTGGTAAGAAACCCAAGTCTGTGTCAACCAGCAAACGTTAGAGAGCAGGGGGAAATCCGGGAATGCCTGCCTTCTTATTGCTGCCCAGTAGTGTGTTTGTGTGTACAAGCATGTGTGTAGACAGTGTTTGACCAGAAAAGCTCAGTTGTAACTTTAACAATATCCAGTGCTCTGGAATAGTGAGGCAGCAGGAGGAGCAGTAGAAGTGTGGGAAGGGAAACAATTGCCTCTATTTGCACTGGGCTGCAAGCTGCTTGCTGCAGATCAATGTCACTCTGTCATTTCCTTGATATTGATGAGCCTGTAGAGGTCTGTAAGGAACCATCAAACCCATCAGAGCCATGTATTGCTCATTGACCCAAAACTCTCAAAATATTTCCTGATGCATCTTCTGCCCTGTATCCTGACTGTGTTCAAATCAAGACTCCTCAGGGTAGATCTTCACTTTGTCAGTTGAGGAACAAACTCTTCACCTCCCTCCCCATTGACATCAGTCAGGAGAGTTATATCAAGGGCTAATGACTCCTTATCACTCACTGTTAAAATTGACCCAATTAACTGTTGGGTTGATTCCCAATCAATTCCCTCCCTAACAGCATTGTGGGTCGACCCACAACGGGTGGACTGCAGCAGTTCAAGAAGACAGCTCACCATCACCTTCTCAAGGGCAACTAGGGACGGGCAATAAATGCTGGTCCAGTGATGCCCACACCCCACAAAATGAATAAATTCAAAAGTGTATCACTTGAGGCACAATCCTGGAACTCCCAAACAACACTAGGTGAGTCCTTACGAACCATGGACTACAGCGGTTCAAGAAAATAGCTCACCACCTTCTCTTGGGCAATTAAAGATGGGAAAATAAATTCTGGTCTAGCCAGCATGACTGACATCCCATCATCCCAGTAAATATCCAAGGTGTCTCCTCCTTTAACATATGCTTCCCTTGATCTCAATATTCCTTATCTCTCTTTACAAGGATAAGCCTCAAGGCTTGTATCAATCAATTCTGATGCCAATGATCATTTACTGTTGTGACGATAACATCTTTTGACTCTTGCGGTCCTGGACTATCAGGAATAGCTCATTACTGTGTGTGTTGTGCACATTGTGAGCCTCAAAACATCGCTCCGGCAATTTAGGGTAAAAAGCACATTTGTTAAAGCACTTTTGAAAATACTATCAGCCTTCAGGATTCCTGCATTCTAATTTCTCTCCATTGGACTGATTCAGAGAGTTCAAATTCACCAACTACCACTTGACAGCTTTTTGCTCAGATGTGAGCTATGCTGTGACGCGAGCCCAGGACATGGGGAGGGTACATCTTGCTCAGTAACCCCAGAGTGCAGGGCCACAAGGCCCCTGCTGTGCTTGGATTTGGGGCTGTGGGCCTAGGCTAGAGGCAACATTGAGTCCCTGATTTCTGTCCCTGCCCCTGCTTGTAGTTATGGCACCCCTCTCACTGGGATAGTGCACTGGAAATCAAGCCCTACTATTCCTGCAGTCATCACAAAGTCAAAAAATTATCCAAGTACACCAAGTCCCCAATTTACCTGTTAGATAGACCAAGGCCAACAGAAAACATAGACCAGATCTGTGAGAACAAGAGCTCTTATTTATTACAAGGAAATAGATTCTAACCACAGGCAATTGACTGTGAACTGTCAGTATATTATTTTACTAATTAAAATGCTAACCCCCTTCTAAAATATAGACAAGTTGAACCAAAGGGTCTGTTTCCATGCTGTATGATTCTGTGACTCTATATGGACAGACACAGGCAAAACAAAAGAAAAGGTATTATGAATAGAGGGGTGAAAAGCTGGGGAAGCAGTCAAAGACCTCAATTCACAGGGTTTGCTGAAATGAAACTTTTACTTGCCAGGATTTTCTTTTTTTCAATCCCTTTCACAGAGTGAAAGGCACACTAATTACAAAGTTTCTTAGCTATTGGCTACAGGCCATTGCATGCTGCAACTGATTATGGAAAATAAACTAGATTTCTGCAGGCTTTAGCCATTTTCCTGGACAGAAAGACACACCATCTGCCCCTTGCAGCAGTCCAAAGTCTTCTGTCAGGATCATGTACACCCACAGGTTACTCAGTTACCAAGAAGCCAGTCACATAGTTGTTATCAAGCTAGGCCTGTGACCAGCGGTGTTCCGCAATGATCAGTGCTGAGTCCTCTGTTTTTTGTCATTTATTAAATTATTTGGATGTGAATATAGGAGATTTGGTTTGTAAGTTTGCAGATGATAGTGTAGTGGACAGTGAAGAAGGTTATCTCAGAGTACAATGGGATCTTAATCAGATTGGTCAATGGGCCAAGGAGTGGCAGATGGAGTTTAACTTACATTTTAGTAAGGCAAACCATGGCAGGACTTACACACAAAGAGATCTAGGGATGCAGATGTATAGTTCCTTGAAAGTGGAGTCGTAGGTAGACAGGATAGTGAAGAAGGCGTTTGGTATGCTTGCCTTTATTGGTCAATGAATTGAGTATAGGAGTTGGAATGTCATATTGTGGCTGTACAGGACATTGGTTCGGCCACTTTTGGAATACTGCATCCAATTCTGGTCTTCCTGCTATAGGAAAGATGTTGTTAAACTAAATAGGGTTCAGAAAAGATTTACAAGGATGCGACCAGGGTTGGAGGGTTTGAGCTACAGGGAGAGGCTGAATAGGCTGGGGCTATTTTCCCTGGAGCGTCAGAGGCTGAGGGGTGACCTCATAGAGGTTTATAAAATCATGAGGGGCATGGATAGGGTGAATAGCCAAGGTCATTTTCCCCGGGTAAGGGAGTCCAAAACTAGAAGGCATAGGTATAAGGTGACAGGTGAAAGATTTAAAAGGGACTTAAGGGGCAACTTTTTCACGCAGAGGGTGGTGCGTGTATGGAACAAGCTGCCAGAAGATAGGGATAGGGAGGGGTGTACAGGCTGGAGGAGGTTACAGTAACAGGGAGGAGCGTAGGGGCTAGAGGAGGCTACAGAGATAGGGAGGGCTGTAGGGGCTGGAGGAGGTTACAGTGATAGGGAGGAGTGTAGGGCCTGGAGGAGGTTACAGTGATAGGGAGGAGTATAGGGGCTGGAGGAGGTTACAGAGCTAGGGAGGGGTATAGGGACTGGAGGAAGCTACAGTGATAGGGAGGGGTGTAGGGAGTGGAGGAGGTTACAGAGACAGGGAGGGGTATAGAGACTGGAGGAGATACAGATGTGGGGAGGGGAATAGAGGCTGGAGGAGGTTACAGAGTTAGGGAGGGGTGTAGGGACTGGAGGATGTTACAGTGATAAGGAGGTGTGTAGGGGTTACAGAAAGTTGTAGTGAGAGGGAAGAGTATAGGGGTTAGAGAAGGTTAGTGTGATAGAGAAGGGTGTAGGGGCTAGGGGAGGTTACAGTGATAGGGAGAGGTGTAGGGGACTGGAGGAGGTGACAGAGATAGAAAGGGGTATGCGGGCTGGAGGAGTTTGCACGGATCGAGGGTCTTATGCTGTTAATGCTGTTTCTTTTATCTGTTCATAAACAGAAAGAGTTTGAGCTGAAAGTGAAAGCTCTGGATTCCGTTAAAAACAAGCATGTGTGTACCTATGAAAAGGACCAGAAAGCAAACCTAATTGTCAAGCCCAGCACTTTCACAGACGCTTTCTCACTGGATACCTCCCTGTTGTGTGAAAAATGTTTGTGTGAATTGGTAAGATCGCATTACCATGCGTTACTTTGAAAATTACAATTGGTGTTTCACACTCTCTAACCTCTCTGCTGTAATTCATCAACAGAATCCAGAGAAGAACTCTTCAAAATGTAAAGAACAAGGTGACTTTATTTGCGGGCAGTGCGTGTGCAAAGATACTTGGTAAGAAATAAGCACAGCCATGTGGGGCTGACCACGAAAGAATAGCAAAGGGACCTGCAATTCAATTGTCCCGCTCATGTCCTCGGCAGCTTTGAGAGAGTTTTTGAGCAAATTAAGTAGATTTGAAGAATGTCGTCATTCTTGTAATGCGGGGAATTAGCGTATTGTTAATGTTACTAGACTAATAACCCAAAGGCCTACCCGTCCCACCATGCCATCTGGGGAACTTCAATTCAATTCATTCGTAAATCTTGAATTTAAAAGTCGAACAAATGTGCTGAGTGGGTGTTTCAACTTGGATTCCTCCAGAGACTGTGGTAGATCCCCTCAGTCAGGAGTTCTAGCTGAAGATGTTGGCCTTTGTGTGTGATGATGTGCTGAGCTTCCCCATCATTGAGGATGGAGATGTTTGTGGAGCCATCTCCTCCACTGTCCACCACCATTTACAACAGGGTGTAGAACGACTGCAGAACTTACATTTGATCCCCTGGTTATGGGATTGCTTAGCTCTGTCTCTTGCATGCTCCTGTCACTGTTAAGAATGCATATGGTCCATGTTGTAGCTTCACCAAGTTGGGAAAGTGTAGATTCATTAAGAAAGGGCCAGCACAGAGTCCTTAAAGACAAATCATGTTGAACTAATTTCATTGAGTTACTTTTGATTAATTTACAGCAAGAGTTGATTATGTTGGTGTGGTGAATGTCAACTTTCAAAAGGTGCTTGATGAACCATTGTTTAACAGTTTTATCAATAACATTGAAGCTTTTAGATTAGTAGGAACAGTGGCAATATGGTATGAGGTTGGCTGAGTGCCAGGAAACAGACAGTTATTGAGAGTGCCTTTTTTGAACTGGAGGAAAGTTTGCAGTGGAATTTCCCAGCGACTGGCGCTGGGCTTTTCATGATGAATAAATAACCTAGGTTTACCTGTGCAGGGTGCAATATCAACGTTTGCAAATAGCACAAAGTATTGAAAGCAGTGTGAACCATAAGGAGGACAGAGATAAAATTCAGGAAGAAACAGACAGGCTGCTAGAATGGGCAGCTCAGTGGTAGATGAAAGTCAAGTCTTGCCCTAACAGAGGTAGGAATGAGACTTTCAGCAGCAGATGAGCTGAGGAAGGCCACGCTAGCTGATTTGTTACAGGTCTTGACGATAGAGCAAGATATGTGGTTGGACGCTCATCTCGTGGTAAAATGCGACACCAAGTTTTCAAACAGTCTGGATTAGACTCAGACTGTGCTAAAGCAAGGGAGCAGTTGGTAGGTGAGGAGCAGATTTTGGAATGGGGAACGAAAACAATGGCTTTAGTCTTCCCAATTTTTAATTGCAATAAATTTCTGCTGATTCGGTGCCGGTGGATACAGAAAAGCTACTTCCTCTGGGCAATCAAGAACTAAGGAAAGTAATCTTAAAATGAAGAGTCAGGCTGCTCAGGGTTCCTGTCAGGGAGCTTGTCCTCACACAAAGGGAAATCTAAGACTCTTCTTCACAAACACAGCAATGGTCAGAGGTCATAGGAACTTAGAAAATAGGAACAGGAGTTGGAACAAAAATAGGATAGGTCCTTCGAGACTGCTCCAACATTCAATATCATTATGGCTGACAAATCAACTCAGTACTCTGTTCCTGCTTTCTCCCCATACCGTTTGATTCTTTCAGCCCTAAGAATTATATCTAAGTCCTGCTAGAAAACATTAAATGGTTTGGCTTCGGCCACTTTCTGTGGCAGAGGCTTCTACAGGCTCACTACTCTCTGGGAGAACATATTTCTCCTCATCTCAGTCCTAAATGGCCAACCCTGTATCCTAATAATACATCAATTGGATGTTTGGAGACTGGGATTGATAAATTGGGTATTTAGAGATATGGAATTGAGTTGGGTAAATTGAGATTTGATTTGATAAGTGAAACAGGCTCAAGGTGCTGAATGGCCACCACCTGTTTCTAATTCGCCTAAACGTCAGGGAAAAAGGCTCATTTTCTGAAATCAACCATGCTAGCCACTGAGTGAGGCTGTTATTTCACTGAAGTTGAAACTGTACATTTCCTTCTTCAGGCATGGGGAGACCTGTGAATGTAACACAAGTAAGCAGAATAGTACTGAGATCGAAGCCTGCAAGAATCCACTTGATAATTCCCAGATTTGCTCCGGTCGTGGGGATTGTTACTGTGGAGTTTGTTACTGCAATCCATCAGATCACCACCTGGAAAGATTTGAGGGAAAATATTGTCAATACAGCACCCTGCTCTGCCCACGTTTTGCTGGCTTTATATGTAATGGTGAGTGACACTTGCACTAAAGGTGGGGGGCTGCTAGTATGGAAATTAGACTTCTCCCATGGATTTCAGCAAAAGAAAGATCACCAAGATTTATAAAGCTTTGGCTCAAATTTATGATATGATCCAAAGCCCTTTCCAACTAACAGGCTCTTTTTGAAGAAAGCTTGTGTTTACTTGCAAGTCAAACACAGCATGATGACACAAAGAACAAAATTGCCAGTGCTGTTTGAGGAATATTGTTGAGTACTGGGGAGAACACACTGTTCTCCCTCCAGTAATGTCATGGGGTCTTTTTAATATCCATCAATGAGAAATGATGTTATGAGCATCTGATAAACCAAACCTGTGACAGCGCAGCACTCTCTCAGTACTGCAATGGGAATGTTGAACTCAGATCTTGTGCTGTCATCCATGCAATTGTGTTTGATTTCATGATGTTTAGACCAGGAAACACACAGTGCAGGAGATTCTGACCCAGTGTGAATGGGAAATCATGGAATGCCAGTTTGTAACACCAAGAGGTTCAGTGCTCAGGTTTCTTCTGTTAGCTCACCACTGAAACATGATGATTGGGTTTTAGTACCTCAGGATGGCAATGAACAACACTGAGCAGGTAGATCGCTCCTGAAGTGATACATCGTTGACTATAGGTTACTGCAGACTGTTGGTAGTTAATGGCACCTCCTCCATTTTTAGAGATAGTGAGCCACCAAATGTTGGCAGGGCCAACTGTGAATATTAACTGTAACACTGAACTTAATGTCACGGAATCCCTGAAGAGTGTTAAATGATCAACCTCTCCAGGAATCAAGCATATGATTCAGGGGTAAAAGGCTTCTGTTGACTATGAGAACATTGTGGATGTGGAGCTCCTTTGGGTTGCCCCTTCTCTGCAGCCTTGACTTCAACAGGAATCGCAAATGTTTGGCTTCAGAAAAGTATACAAAGGTGGAAATAACCCAGACATCAAGAGTTGAAAGAATAAAGGAATATCAATATTTGGAGATGCTTTATCAGATCTTTGAGTTAAGCCTGCCTTTCTAGATGCTGACAAATAATTGTAGATTTCCAGTAATCACTATGTTTATTTGATCAAATTTATAATTAAAAATGATTTACATTGACTAATGGTCTTGGCAGTATGCACTGCATTGAGTAATTGTGTTGGCAATATGGGTTGCATTGATTTGATGGGTTCTCCATCGAGTTTTGGCCAATTGGGTTTTGTGCCTTCAGAGTGTATAAATTTGGTTTTTGATTCAGTTTTGGTTCTGGTTTGTTCACAGATCGCGGTGAATGTTTTGAGGAAAAGTGCAAATGTAGTGAAGGATGGACAGGTGATTCCTGTGAGTGCCCTATCAGCAATGCCACATGCATTGACGCCAATGAGGTGAGACTGCAATTAAATCACAGCATCACATACACTGTGTCGGGTGGAAACTGGACACTGGTGGTGGCGTTTTCGATGATTTTTAACTTGGGATACTGGTTAACCATTGCTTGTGCTATCGTCAAAACATTACCACCCATTCCTGTTTCAGATCAGATTTAATCTGTGCCGCTGGTATGACATTCTCATCAAACGATACTCTGGGTTTAAAGGGTTAAATTATATAAAGCAGATTCAGAGAACATATTTCCCGGGAGGAGGGGTAAATTCCAGGATAAGGAGAGGTGGCAACATAAAGGTAACAACAGCGGACTAGTAATCCAGCAGGCCAGACAGCATCAGAGGAACAGGAAAGCTGACATTTTGGGTCTGGACCCTTCTTCAGAAATGGGGGAGGGGAAGGGGACTCTGAAGTAAATAGGGAGAGAGGGGGAGGCGATGATGGAAGGTGGATAGAGGACCAGATAGGTGGAGAGAAGACGGACAGGTCAAGGAGGTGGGGATGGAGCCAGTAAAGGTGGGTGTAGGTAGGGAGTTGGGATGGGGGTTCGTCAGTGAGGAAGGAGGAAGTGGGTAGGTGGGAGGGAAGACTGACAGGTCAAGGAGGCGGGGATGAGGCTAGTGGGTAGGAAATGGGGGTGGGGGTTGGTCAGTGAGGAGGGAGGAGCGGATAGGTGGGAGAAAAGATGGACAGGTCAAGGAGGCGGGGACAAGATGGGCTGGTCTTGGGATGAGGTCGGGGGTGGGGAGATTTTGAAGCTTGTGAAGTCCACATTGAGACCATTGGGCTGCAGGGTTCCCAAGCGGAATATGAGGCGATGTTCCTCCAGCATTCGGGTGGCATCGTTGTGACACTGGAGGAGGCCCAGGATGGACATGTCGTCCAAGGAGTGGGAGGGGGAGTTGAAGTGGTTTGCGACTGGGAGGTATAGTCGTTTGTCACGAACCGAGCGTAGGCGCTCCAGAAAGCGGTCTCCAAGCCTCCGCTTGGTTTCCCCGATGTAGAGGAGGCCACATCGGGAACAGCGGATAGAATAGACCACATTAGTAGATGTGCAGGTGAACATCTGTTTAATGTGGAAGGTTTTCTTGCGGTCTGGGATGGGGGTGAGGGGGAGGTGTAGCACTTCCTACGGTTGCAGGGAAAGGTGCTGGGGGTGGTGAGGCTAGTGGGGAGCGTGGAGCGGACGAGGGTCTCATGGAGAGAGTGGTCCCCCTGGAAGGCATATAAGGGTGGGGAGGGAAAAATGTCTTGGTAGTGGGGTCAGATTGCAGGTGGCAGAAGTGGTGGAGGATGATGCGTTGGATCCGGAGGTTGATGGCGTGATACGTGAGGATGAGGGGAATTCTGTCTTTGTTGTTATTGCGGGGAGAGGGTGTGAGGGCTGAGACGCGGGAAATGTGAGAGATGCAGTCGAGGGCATTTTCGACCACTGTGGAGGGGAAATTGCGGTCCTTGAAAAATGAGGACATCTGGGATGTCCGGGAGCAGATGTGGCGGAGGCAAAGGAATTCGGAACAGGGATGGCATTCTTGCAGGAAGGTGGGTGGGAGGAGGTGTATTCTAGGTAGCTGTGGGAGTCAGTGGGCTTGAAACGGATATCAGTTTCCAGGTGGTTGCCAGAGATGGAACAGAGAGGTCCAGGAAGGAGAGAGAGGTATCAGAGATGACCCAGGTGAACTTAAGGTTGGGATGGAAGGTATTGGTGAAGTGGATGAACTGTTCGAGCTCCTCATGGGAGCACGAGGAGGCACCGATACAGTCATTGATGTAATGGAGGAAGAGGTGGGGGATGGGGCCAGTGTAGCTGTGGAAGAGGGACTATTCCACGTATCCTACAAAGAGGCAGGCATAGCTTGCGCCTATGCGGGTACCCATGGCCACCCCCTTTGTCTATAGGAATTGGGAGGAGTTGAAGGAGAAGTTGTTAAGGGTAAGGACGAGTTCGATTAAGCAGATAAAGGTGTCGGTGGAGGGGGACTGGTCGGGCCTGCGGGACAGGAAGAAGCAGAGGGCCTTTAGGCCATCTGCATGGGAAATGCAAGTATATAGGGACTGGATGTCCATGGTAAAGATGAGATGTTGAGGACCAGGGAATTGGAAGTTTTGGAGGAAGTGGAGGGCGTGGGTGGTGTCACGGAAGTAGGTGGGGAGTTCCTGGACCGGGGTGGGGGGAGAAAATGAAGTCGAGATAAGTGGAGATACGTTTGGTGGGGCAGGAGCAAGCAGAGATAATGGGTCAATCAGGGCAGCCAGGTTTGTGGATTTTGGGAAGGAGATAGAAGCGGGCGGTGCGTGGTTGGGGAACAATGAGTTTGGAGGCTGTGGGTGGGAGGTCACCTGAGGTGATAAGGCTGCACCTTGCCCCTCACCCCCATCCCAGGCCCCAAGAAAACCTTCCACATTAAACAGATGTTCACCTGCACATCTGCTAATGTGGTATATTGTATCTGCTGTTCCCTATGTGGCCTCCTCTACATTGGGGAAACCAAGCGGAGGCTTGGAGACCGCTTTGTGGAACACCTACGCTCGGTTCGTGACAAACGACTACACCTCCCAGTTGCGAACCTCTTCAACTCCCCCTCCCGCTCCTTGGACGATATGTCCATCCTGGGCCTCCTGCAGTGCCACAACGATGCCACCCGAAGGCTGGAGGAATGGCACCTCGTATTCCGCTTGGGAACCCTGCAGCCCAATGGTCTCAATGTGGACTTCACAAGCTTCAAAATCTTCCCTCCCCCAACCTTATCCCAAGACCAGCCCATCTCATCCCCGCCTCCTTGACCTGTCCGTCTTCCCTCCCACCTAACTGCTCCACTATCCACCTTCTATCATCGCCTCTCCCTCTCTCTATTTATTTCAGAGTCCCCTTCCCCTCCCCCATTTTTGAAGCAGGGTCCAGACCCGAAATGTCAGCTTTCCTGCTCCTCTGATGCTGCCTGACCTGCTGTGATCATCCAGCAACACACCTTGTTAGCTCTCCAGCATCGGCAGTTCCGACTGTCTTGTAGTTTGTGTCAGAGCTCCATCTGCTGTCACACAAAAAAAACTTGGTAGGACTTCAACATTTCTCGTTTTCAGCAAGGACCTTGTCTGGGAGTGTCCTGGTTACTCTGTTCAAAGGGGAGAATTCCTCTCTACTTGCTCACTCAAACAAAACCAGTGATGGCCAGGGGGAGGAGCTGGGTGCAAGGATGTTCTCTAACCTAGAGTTTCCACCTTTATTTTCCTGATTACAGGGACTCTGCAATGGTAAAGGTGTCTGTGATTGTGGAAGATGTCGGTGTGATGATAACAATGTTGATCCGACCTGTAGCTCTTTACTGTACTTGGTAAGTATGTAATCATTCATACCATTCTTTTCCCAACTTCAAAAAAGCCCATGATGCTTGACAGCCTATGAAATACTGTTATAATGTAGAAAATACAGCAAGGCATTAAGATACAGGAAGCTCCCATATGTACCTATGACCTGATTATTTGTTTTGTAATAGTCATAGATATTAGTCAGGATGTCCTTGCCTTTCTTTAGGCAGTGTTGTGGGATCATATAAACCCTACAGTGTGGAATCAGGTCATTCAGCCCATCATGTCCATACCGCACATCCAGAGGGTCCCCAGACCAGGCCCATCTCCCTACTCTATCCCTGTAACCCCACAGATAATCCAATTAGTCTGCACATCCCTGGACACTATGGGCAATTTTACATAACCAATCCGCCTAACCTGCGCATATTTGGATGCAGGGAGAACGTGCAAACTCCACACAGACAGTCACCCAAGGGGGGAATTGAACCTACGTCCCTGGCACTGTGAGGCTGCAGTGCTAACGCCTGAGCCAGCGTGCTACCCAGATCATTTCCTTTTAGCTGAAAAAGAAACAGGTTTAAGATCTCATCCAGGAGATGGCACCTCCAACAAAGAAAGTCTCTTGTTGTCCTGGGAGAAGCCCTGCAGTTCTTGAAACCGGATAGGGAGGCTTAGAATTCTTTGTGGGGCTGTGCCTGTTTGGTCCCTTTGGACTCATGAGGAGACTTTTAAAAAATTCAAACTGCCCTGGGCCTCTTCTGGCCTTGAGCTGCTTGTCAGCAAGTTTTTAGCACGAGATAGAAATCCGAGTGTAAACTGCCTCAGTATGACTGATGGTATCAGGCCCCTGACCTCAGCATTTTTAATGAGGTCCTTGTATACTTTCAATGGCAGTGGGCAGGAGCTTGTGGGGAACAAAGGGGACGGGCGTTAGCCCTGATTTAAATCCTCCCATATACCCCACAGCCTGCTCCATTCTCATTGTCAACTGGGGCTTGAAACTGGGGTTACAATTCGGGGATGAGTTTGTGTCCCTGTCTCATAGACACTGTTCCTCTCTCCTTCTCTAACTGCTGCAGCTGGGGCTATGTGAAGACATTCGCACCTGTGTCCAATGCTGGGCCTGGAATACTGGGGACAAGAAAGGAAACAACTGCAAGAAGTGCACAAGCGTCTTTACTTTTGTGGAGGAACTGAAACCAGGTCAGTTGGAACTGTACTGAATTACTACTGAAGGAAAGTCCCACTCTTGCGAATCATCTTTTGAACCCTCTGTACTGTCCACATTTAGACATCGGTCCTATTGCTGAACTTAAGGAGGCTGTCTTGGAATGTCCTCCTACTCATAAGCTCCTCATTTTATAAACTTGTGCTCCATTGGATTTGAGACTGTTTCCTGAGTGGACAGTGTTCCCTGATCAGGTCTGCCAATTCCCTTTGTAATCTTCAACGTGACTCTGATCTAAGATACTGTAAAGTGCACTCACTGTTGTCACATGGTCGAAGGATGAAGCTACATTTACAGACACGGCTGGGTGAGACTGACCAATGGCTCGGCAGTTTGCATACTGCACGCTGCCAAGTCAGCAGAGGAACCTGTTCACCTCACTGTGCTGTGAGACTTTAATGTGCTCCTGAGAGGGCAGGCACCACTTTGAGTGAATGACATATTTGACAGTGCAGTACTCCCTCAGTACTGCAAGGGAGCATCGACTTAGATTGTAGACTCAAATCTCTGGAACGAGCTTCAATTCAAAAACTGCCAGGTGAAAGGTCTGCAATATGAGGCACCTCGACACTTACAAATATTATTTTGTCATTACAGAAAAAGAAGTGACAGAACACTGTGAGTTCCGTGATGAGGAAGATGACTGTACATTTTATTACACAGTGAATATGCCCCTAGTTGGCAACCAAACTTACGTAGAGGTGCTGAAACAGAAAGGTGCGTGGAAAATAAAACTGGAATTCTGACTTTTGTTGATTGGCTACCAATGCTTCTAATGAGAATAAGGACAGAAGTGTCTGAGAATTTGGAGAGATGAAGTGGGGTGAACATTTTGGCTTGCTTATGGGATACTTCTGGTTTTCTCTTCACCTCCCATGTGGCACTAGAGTCATGAACTAAGATTGATTGATTATTCATCAACTCCATTATCGCTGAATTCTGGAGAGTGAGCTAGGTGGGATCTTGCTGTGCCCTTCTCTGATAGTTCCTACTTCCTCATGAAAAGATGTATGAAGAAGAATAAGTCATTCTCCAGAGACCAACCCTGCACACTGTTATGGCTCCAGAGCAGGCCATCAAACATACATTGTGGCCTGGTTAGGGACCTACAACTTTTATTTTTAAAATAGACAAAGTATGAGATCTCAGGTACTTTGATAGTAAAGCCATAAGATTTCAAACTTAGGAACAACATTATTAAAATTTAATACATAATGTTAGAACAATAATGCAATCTGCTACATGTATGTATGTATAATTTATATTCTAATGTCCAGAAGTAGCCAGAAACAAACAGGCCTACAGACAAACTGTAGTTGAACACTCCAGAGTACATCAAATAGTAAATGCAGCTAAGTAAGGTGCTACGGATTTTGCAGCAATATACTCTGTGAACCATCAATCACATCAAAGGCATTTCAATTCTTCTCTTTTGATGACTTACCTCCAAATTCCCTCAAAAACCACTTCATCCTTGATATTTCACCTACTTTTCTGAGATCCACGCTCCTCCTAGATTCTGAAAATGAAACTCTCGCACCTACTCCAATTACAACCATGGCTTTTCCATTGTCAGCAAGCTTCACCAAGCCAATACTGCCGTTAGTTCTCTTTTCCAGAGCTTTAATCTTGCTCAGCTATACAAACTGTCTTCTAGGATTTCCCTGACTCCTAACTGCACAGAGCTTTCCAGCTGCTCTTGGGACTTCCCCCTGAGCTCCAACCACACAGAAATAGTGTTCTCTTTGTAGTACAACTAAACAGCTGCACCACTTAACATGGAGCCTCCTTCTGTCCTCCTTTTCTCATACACGGTCTCACTGTTTCTGACTCCAACTGCATGTAAACTTTGAACTGTTCTGAGAGACACTTGAACTGTTTTGCATAATCTACTGCAAACCTTGCAATAAGCCCACCTTTGTTCTTAGGCAGTACAGATGTCACTAATGTTTTGGAACAGTCAAAAGTAGCAATCTCTTGGAGCACTCTGTGTTCTCTGAATGTTATAGTATTCACAGATTGCAGCTTGCACAGTATAAAATGGATAGACAGAAAAATAGGATTTTATCACACCTTTTCCCCTTACAAGAAAGAAGGTTTACCACAATGGAAGTTTCATTTACATTGGCTTTGAAAATAAAAGTCCTTAACATAAAAAACTTTTAACAAAAGCATATAACAGACCATATAGATAATTCTTTCATTTACGCTCTTGCATTTATCGACTTAGCAAAGCTACAAAAGCTCAACTCAAACAAAGAAAATGCATGTAACAAGTAAGTTTGACAGGATTTAAACAGTTTAGCATTAACATCATCGGTGCTGATTCCTGCTCTCATACATAACTGGAAAAATTAATCAATTTTCTTCCAGTTTCCATCCTATGTTAGATTTGTATTAATACATCTCCTTATAGTCTCTTGTTTTCTGATTCACGCATGGGGTGTGAATATTGCTGGGGTCCTACTAGTTATTGCCCATCCCTCATTGTCCTTGAGAAGGTGGTGGTGAGCTGCCTTGCTGAACTGCTGTGGTCCATGTTCTGTAGGCTGACCCATAATGCCCTTACGGAGGGAATTTCAGGATTTTGAATCAGCAACAGTGAAGGGACAGCAATATATTTCCAAGGCAGGACAGTGAGTGGCTTAAAGGGGAACATGCAGGTGGTGCTGTTCCCATGGACCTGCTGCTCTTGTGCTTCTAGATGGAAGTGGTCGTGGGTTTGAAAGGTGCATTTTGGTATTTAGATTATCCCTAATATCTGCTAAGATGATGTTATTCTCCATCTCCAGATTGTCCTCCAGGAGGTTTCCTCTGGCTCATTCCACTCATCATATTCCTGATGCTGTTGTTGGGTCTCCTGTTGTTGCTCTGCTGGAAGTACTGTGCCTGTTTTCGGGTGAGTGCTCATTTCCGATTCACACTATGGTACAGAAAGGAGAAGGCAGAGTGTATTAACTGTACTAACCTGGCTTGTTATGGGCCAGCTGTCACTGGGGGCTGTTCAGAATGAAATCTTGAGAACTTCAGTATAGGCACCAAATATTCCAATGCATCCTATATCAAATTGACTGTAGGCTCAGAGAACTGACTCTATTGTGTCAGACATGGTGAAAATGTGGACAAACAAACTTCAGAAAATTGAGCTGCTGACTGACCTTATCCATGAATTATCACACTGGGGACTGGACCTTGAAATTAGGATTGAGCCTCAGGTCAAATTGTGTTGGGTAACAGAGCACTCACTTGAAGATAGGGCTTCAGAACTGGAGCCCTATTCATAACTGCTCTAAGGAAGCGTCACCAGATCCGAAACCTTAACTCTGATATTTTTTTCACAGATGCTGCCAGACCTGCTGAGCTTTTCCAGCAGTTTTTCAAACGTTTTGGCAAAGATCTGTAGCTCAGGTTGTGGTGTTATGCTATTCCACTTGAAATTTATACTGTTTGGTCCGTTATGGTGAGTACTGTCATTTCTGGTTTTGATCTGTATGGGTTTGTAACACATAGAATTGAACCCCATATACAAACCCATACAGATCAAAACCAGAAATGACACTACTCACCATAACGGACCAAACAGTATAAATTCCAAGCGGAGTAGAAGAACATTGCTTCATCAGAGGCTCCAGTGATGATGTCACCTAGCATGATGACGAAACGTCTGAACGAGAACAAGCCAGCTCGACCAGCAAGTCAACAACCTCAACTTCTGTTTTTGTTCCTTCAGAATTGGGTTTGAGTATCAGATGGTGTTGGTTTCTGTGTCACAGAGCAGATGGGGTTTGTCCCAGATTGAACTTTGTGTTATTAACCCAGTTCTATTTGTAACGTTCCTGACAGGTTGCTGTGTGTGTTTTTTTTCAAATTGCTACCAAATGAAAAGTATTGTGACCAGAAATCCAATTATTGAAAACCTGATGTGGCTCACTGTGACTCTTTTCACAGGCTTGCTGTGCGAGACTCCCATGTTGTGCGATGCTGCCATGCTGTGCTGCAGGTAATCTCAGTCTTGTGGAATCTCTGCACTAAATTTGATTTCTCAAATCGATCGGACGGTGAAGAATCATGGGCCTAGAAACTGATCGGGTGCAAAATGGGTGCTGGGAGTTCAATTTGACGTGACATTCTGCACTGCAACCGACCATTATTGGTTTGGGTGTCCTGCTGAAGGCAGCAGTCTGCCAAAGATGGATACTCAAACTTCAGACCCGCTCAGGCCTTGATCTAATACTGGAGCTCAATAGACTGCAGCAAACACCCAGGGAAACCAAACTCAGTACATTGGACCCAATCATTCAGAACAATTTGATTTGATTTATTATTGTCACACGTATAAGATACAGTGAAAAGCATTGTTTTGAGTGCTAACTAGGCAAATCATACTTTTCATAAATACATCAGGGTAATAGACCAGAATGCAGAATATAGTGTTACAGCTGCAGAGAAGGTGCAGATAAAGATCAATTTTAATTTATGAGAAGTCTGATAGCAGCGGGGAAGAAGCTATTCTTCAATCAAAAATGCACACCAACGCCTCTACTTTCTCAGAAAGCTAAAGAAATTCAGCATGTTCACAAAGACTCTTACCATTTTTTATAGACACACTGCAGAAAGCATCATATCTAGATGCATCATAGCTCGGAATGACAACTGGTCTGCCCAGGACCGCAAGAAATTATAGATGGTTGTAAACACAGCTCAGTACAGTTAATATATTTTTCATGGACCTAAAGAAGGCTATTCAGCCCCTTGAGTCTATTCCATTATTCAAGCAGATCCTAGCTGACCCATATGTCAACACTATTTATCTGCATTTGCCACTTAACGCACGATGCCCCTACCCACAAAAATCTATCTGTCTCAGTCTTGAAAACCCTAATTTGATCCCCTTTTGAGGGGAAAAGGTCCAAATTTACACTACCCATTTTTGTGAAGTAGTACTTCTTGACAGCATTCCTGAAAGGCCTGGGTCTAATCTGTAGATTATTTTCCCTTGTTCTGGACTCCTCTACTCGAAGAAATTGTTTCTCTGTATCCTGTTGGCATAGGCTGCTTGGGCCAAATGGCCTGATTCTGTGTAATTCTACCCTGTTGATTCTTTTAAGCAAATTAGACATTTTATTCACATCACCCCAACTCTTCCAATTTGAGCTTCTACTTTTATTCAATCTGCCTTTGTTCTATTTCCAGGTACCAAGGTTGGATTTAAGGAAAACCGCCACATGTTAAATCAAAGCAAGCTCACCTACCTTGACACACCAATGATACGGACAAACAAGCCTGTCGGAACAGACATTGTGAGGTGGAAGGTGATGGACAACGTTCACAGAGAACCTTCTAAACGGTATCAGGGAACCAATCCTGATGATACTGGTGAGTCTTGAGGGAGAGGTTCAGCATTTTTGAACAGAAAGCTACTTCAATGGTTTGAAAAGTGGCATCTTGGTGTCCTCTGTTTAAACAAACCTTTGAGATTTCTGTGCTGGTCCTACTCATGCAATAACAGCAGTTTACATTTATATTGTGCCTTTAAGAGACTAAAACATCTCACAGAAACACAGAAAATAGGAGCAGGAGGAGGCCCTTCGAGCCCGCTGTGCAATTCAGCATGACCATGGCTGATCATCCAACTCAGTACCCTGTTCCCACTTTCTCCCCACAGCCTGATCCCTTTAGCCCTAAGAACTTAAGTTCCTTCACAAGGAGCACAATCATGTAAAAAGCTCATACTAAGTAAAGACACAGTCAAAAATTTGGTCAAGGGGTTAAGTTGTAAAGACAACCTTAAAAGAAGATAGAGAGATAACAGGATGGAGAGCCTTGGGCCTAGGCAGCTAAAGTACAGTCACCAAGACCCAGAATCCAAGAAGCCTAGGAAAGAAATGGATTGGGATAGACAAACATCTTTCAATGTTACACAGCCAATTAAATTCCAAAGGTCAGGAATGTGGGATCTGTGCAATGTAATTAATATGCCACAGTCAACAGCCACCAATTTTTGTTTTGTAGCTGCCTCATTTTTAATTTCCCAATAAGAGTAAGATTTTTAACTTTGTATTGATCACATTGTACAACTTTTAAAATTGTTGGAAGGTTTGTGGTTGTCGAGAACGGCTACCTTTAAATCTGGCTTTGTGTCGAACCTGTTTCATGCCCAGCAGTTAACTGGTTCAGCAGCATAAGAGAAGAGTCTTACATGGAACTCCATGCAGTGTGAAAGTCTACGATATCTCTATTAGAAGAAGGACTCTTTGACCTTGGTGCAGCCACACAGAATGTTGAAACTTTTGGGCTGCCTTGCCCAGTATTTCAAAGCACATTCCCGGTCTGAATGGAATTTATACAAAGCCAAGCAAGACCCAGCTTCGCTCCCTAGACTGTGTTTATTTATTCCATTGCTGTCACAAATAACTGAACTTCTGGCTACTTAATAATGCCAACTCCTCAACAGCAGTGGATACCTGAATACCTCAACATTGCCATCCTATTTGAACAAAGTCACCCAAATATGGGAATACATATTCTGTGGATTGTCCATCACTTCCGGAGAAACATTCTTTAACTGGCTGGACTGATCCCTTGCCATGGCCAATCCTGGTGTTGTCCACAAATAGGTGAATAATAAGGATACAAACAAAGTTAACTCACCAAGTCAACATTATTCTGTCAGGGAAGTGTGACAGAGGTAAAGTGTAATGTTTAAGCAAGTGACTAAATGCAAGACTTTTAATATCATAGTGGATGACTCCATCTAATCTGAGTACTTTCTGATCCTGTACAACTTTTCATTCTCAGTTCTGTACAACCTGTCACTGCGAGCAGCCCGAATATACAATGATGTGCTGAAGAATCCAGACTCAACAGAGTTTAAGCAGCTACGCATGGAGGTGGAGGAGAATGTAAGTGTGAATGCATGCACCGGGACAGTGCAGACTGTATGCTCTCATTCTGCGATCACAGTTTTATTTTATTTCCCCATCCACCATGCATGCTTTCCTGCTAAAAGCTTTTATTGCAGCTAATCCAAAGACAGCACATAATCTGTTTCCTTCACAGTTTCTTACGGTATATTCCAATTCAGTTTTATTCTCTAATATTAGTCAATCCCCTGTGAACTTACCACAATGACTCAACCCCACTTTCAGAATTACATAGGTATCTTCAATTTTATTATCTAATATAAATTTATAACAAAAATTGCTGATGCAGTGGTAGCATGATGTGTTCATAGAGGTAGTTTCCATTGTTAATGTGGGCATTGTAATTTATTATGGAAAAGACTGGTAGGAATATGTTTGATTTTTACTATTGTATATGTATTTATTTATTTATTTATTATATCTATTTTAATAAACTAACAGTAAACAAACTCCTTTTGAATGTGAGCTTTACCTTTCTTGGGTAAAGGTCAGTGTAGCGCTACGTTATATAGAACAGAAATGTTGAGGTTATAGCTCCTGGTCTGGTCTAATGCAGTTATTGCAATCTGTTCAGTTTGCCTTCCATTGTTTCTCACCTGTTGCTCGAACCAATGAGCTGGGATTCTGGTCTCAACTTCCAGGAGTTTTGTCAGTGATTAGGACAAGATGGGGCTCACCTCTACACCCACTGAGACCAAGAGGTTCAGGACAATCTAGTGAAGAATAAGCATGAGATGTTGAACCAAGACTAGAATCCATCAGAGAGACTCAGTGGGAGAATTAGGAGGTGGAAATCTGGGGGTAAATACACGATACTCTGAGATACAACTTACAATGTTTTATCAATGCATTAGAACCACTGAGAAATACTGCAACACAATAATATTAGTTGATTCTACCCAGACCCATGGACCCAGGAGGATTCATGAGAGTCAGGCTGTATCTGTGCACTATCACATTCATTGTCAATATCCTGGGGTGACAGTGATAGGCTGTAACTGTTCATGCTATATTCTAAAGGCAAGTTTGAGAAACACATGAGGGAGAAAGCAATAGGAGGATACGCCATTGGGTGAGATGAGGAAGGATGTGTGTAAACAGTTGGATAAATGACCAGTTTCTGTTCTGAAAATACTGTGTATTTTAATAACTGTTTAATATCACAACTAACTTCTGACCTGTGTGACTTTAGCTCAATGATGTGTTCAAAACCATGCCAGGTTTCCAGGGAGTCCGGAAGACCAAGTTTAGGTAAGGATTCTTCCCTACATTCTTGAGTCTGTCAGGTCTTGTACATGTGAGTCGCATTCTGTTTCTGTTCTTGTGTTATCTCTCTCTAATGTCAACCACAATCTCTTAGTTCAGTATAAAAAGCATCAGCTGCTATTTTCTCAATTTTTAAACCAATAATGATTGACGTTTGTTGTCAAAGCTCATTACTGAATTATTTAACTGCTAATTCTTAAGAACTACATATTTCTGCATCTATAAGTGCTTTATACAATAACTTTTTAAAATTCTACTTGTTATTCCCACATGTTAAAGAAAGATCTCCCCTCTCAACGAGGCCACTTATTGGCTGAAACAGCTGCCTCCTTCTGAAATGAATGCTAACACATGAACCAGAAACTTAATACATTAAAACATGCAAAAACACATTAAAAATGCTTCTATCTACTGTGGAGTAACTATTATCATCTTCAAATTGGAGTTATTTAAAATATAATAGTAACAGTTACATTAATGTAAGCATATAAACAATGACTGGATGACCAGAAGGATCTGAGCTATCAATGTGTCCCCGAGAATTCTGATACCTTATGTATCATGATGCACTATATTGGCTCCCCATCCACGCCATATAAATATTTAAAGAATTAAATTCAATAATTAGTTTGAATCATTATTTTCATTAGCAATATCTCGAAATTAGTTAATTAGACACAGAATAATAAACCAGAGTACAGGAGTTTAAATTCCACCATGGTATTTGGAGAATTTCAATTCAGTTAGGATAGTTTAAAGTGATTGTGATTGTTGCAAAAACGCAAAAGGTTCATCCGTGTCTTTCAGGGGGGAAAAAAATCTTGCTGTCTTTAATTTTGGCCCTGATTCCAGTCTCATGTTCATATCTGACACACAAACAGTTCAGCTCTTAATCTGACAGTATTTGTAAATGTTCCCTCTCTCACGGAGTTAAAATTCATCAGCAATAACATGAGTCTAAGTTCAAGCACATTCAATGTTCTAGGAGCCAACTGGCCTCATTTCACTCCTACAAATGAGAATTGGAAAAGCTGTCTGAATTTGCAGATGTTAAGTCATTGTACAATCACTCAGGCAAGATCACTACAATTTCTGCTTTAATTTAACCACTGTCAGCCTGAACTAATCATATCACATCTTACAGTCACCATTGTGCACTTCTCACCAACATTCATGGCCGAAAGCTGCCATTACTATTCCATCCAACCCCATCACTGTCACAGTTGGAACTTCTTGTTCCACTTTAGCAAGATTTCCTGGCATCAGAAGAACCCGTTGGTCAGAGATGGATCTGAATTAGGGTAAAAGTGTCAGGATGACCTAGGAGTGTGAACAATTCCACAATAAACAGCCAAAATAAAATCACAAGGTTTCACATCTCTCTCATAAGATTATCAGTGTGACTGGTATTTGGCTGAGAAATCATGTCTCTCTCAGTCATGTCACAGGAGAGTTGGCATGTCTGCTCTCTCTCCTTTCACTGGAGCTTCATCTAGCTCCCTGTGCTCCTCTTCCCCTTTCCTCAGTATCCCCTCTCCCCCGTGTGCTCCTGTCTCCCCGTACCCCCTTTCCCCCATGCTCCTCTCACTCTCTGTGTGCTGTCTACCTCTGTGCTCCCGCTCCTCTTGTGCCCCCTCCCTCTGTCCCCTGTCCCTCTCTACCTCCGTGCCCCTCTTCCCCCTGTGTATTTTTCTCTCTCTGTGCCTCTCTTTTTCTTTCCCCCCCTCTGTCTTTCTATCTCCCTACTCTCTCTCTCGCGCGCTCTCTCTCTCTCTCTCTCTCTCTCCCCTTTAATCTCCTTTTTGTGATGTTTATAAATACTTGGAATTGAGAATTTATCTGATCTAACATTTAAAACTGTGATTTCTATTTTTAGGCTTCAACCAAATGCAGGAAGAAGGTAAGTGATTTCTGGACACTCTCTAGCCTATAATGCACATTCTGAATGTTTTGTCCTGCCAGTTATAAATGATCACTGTCGATTGACCAACCTGCAGCTGACACAGCCCACACCACGCTTGTACAGCTCACTCCGGAACATTGACTGCACCTTCCTTGTTCACAAATGTTGACAGATATTTTAAAATGACCTTTTCTTCAACATTTAGTTGTTGATGTGCTGCTGTGGGCTTGACCTACTGGCACCTTTCTTCATGAGTGAACATCTCCTCATCTGAAGGACTGCACTTGTGCCAGTGCAGCTCTCCCCTCAGGACTGCGCTTACTGTGTCAGCCTAGATCATATGCTGTAGAGTGGAAACCTTGAGCATGTTATGGTTAGAATGAGCTATATCTGTACCTGTGACCTGCCAGTGAGTAAATCTTAGGGTCAGAGGGTCAGGGGTAGGCCATTCAATCCATCATACTTGTTCCGCCATTCAGTACGATCAGGGCTGCTCAACCACTTCAACACCCTTCTTCCACACTACCTCTGAATCCCTTTATGTTATTGAGAATGCTGTCAATCTCTAATTTGTACATATTTAAAGATCAAGCTTCCATCTCTTCTGGGATAGAGGATTTCAAAGATTCATAACCCTCTGAGCGAAAGGGAATTCCCTTTATCCCTGCCCCAAATGGCTTCCCCTTATTTGAAGTTATGCCCCCTGGTTCCTGGGGGAGCCATGCATTTTACTGGCATCCAACCTGTCTATCCCTTTAAGTATTTGAAACTCTTCAGGCCCAGTTTCCCATTATCTCATGAATTCTGCTCTTGCCCACCAAATTAAACCATGCTTTGATAAACAGAAGGTGCTGGACAGGTATCAAGGCTGCAAAATCCTGTTGATGCCTTGATATTGTGCACTGCCCAGACCCTCGTTGGAGAGGTGTTGGGACTTATTAACACCATTGTACAACCCAACCTCGAGTGAAGCAAGTGTGTAGTTCTGGGTTACGGGATCAATATTTACACAATCCTATGGCACAAAAGGAGGCTATTCAGTCACCATTCGTGTACCAGCTCTTTGAAAGGGCCAGTTTACACCAAGTAGTGTCCAAAGATTGGAGGGTGGCTAATGTTGTGCCATTATTTAAGAAAGGCTGCAGGGAAATGCCTGGTAACTTTAGACTGGTGAGCCTAACATGCATGGTGGATAAGTTGTTAGAAGGGATTCTGAGGGACAGGATCTGCAGACGTTTGGAGAGGCAAAGACTCATTTGGGATAGTCAACATGGCTTTGTGCATGGGAAATCGATTGGGTTTTTTGAACGGTTGACCAAGAAAGGAGATTAGAGCAGTGCGGTAGTCGTTGTCTATGTGGACTTTGGCAAGGCCTTTGACAAGGTACCACATGGCAGGTTAAATCTCATGAGATCAAGGGAAAGATAGCCAATTGGATACAAAATTGGCTTGACAGTAGAAGGTTAAGGATGGTGGTAGATGGTTGTTTTTCAGACTGGAGGCCTGTGACCAGCGGTGTGCCACAGAGATTTGTGCTGGGTTCACTGGTATTTGTTGTTTATGTAAATGATTTGGGTGAGAATTTAGGAAGTATGGTTAGTAAGTTTGTAGATGACACCAAGATTGGTGGTATAGTGGGCAATGAAGAAGGTTATCTGGGAATGCAGCGAGATCTTGATCAACTGGGCCAGTGGGCAGAAGAATGGCAGACAAAGTTTAATTTAGATAAATGCATTTTGGAGGGTTAAACCAGGGCAGGATTTACACCATCAATGGTAGGGCCCTGGGGAATGCTATAGAACAAAGAGATCTAGGGGTGCAGGTTCATAGCTCCTTGAAAGTGGAGTCACAAGTAGACAGGGCGGTGAAGAAGGCTTTTGGCATGCTGGCTTTCATCGGTCAGAGCATTGAGTACAGGAGTTGGAATGTCTTGTTTCAGCTGTACAAGATGTTGGTGAGGGTCGCGCTACTACAGAAAAGATTTATTAGGATGCTACCTGGACTGGAAGGTTTGAGCTATATGGAGAAGTTGGATAGGCTGGAACTTTTTTTCACTGGAACATGGGAGACTGAGGGGTGAGCTTGTAGAGGTGTATAAAATCATGAAGAGTATAGATAAGGTAGATGGCAGACAGTTTTTCTCCATTGTATGGGAGTCTAAAACTAGACAGCATAGGTTTAAGGTGAGAGGGGAGAGATACAAAAGGGTCCAGAGGGCCAATTACTTCACACAGAGGGCGATGAATGTCTGGAACAGGCTACTAGAGGTAGTGGTGGAGGTGAGTACAATTTTGTCATTTAAACATTTGGACAGGTACATGGAAGGGATAGGTACGGAGGTATATGGACCAAATGCAAGCAAATGGGACTTGTTTAAATTGTGAATACTGGGCAGCATGGGCAAATTGGGCCAAAGGGTGTGTTTTCATGCTGTGGACCTCTATGATTCTCTTCCCCCACCACTTTTCCAACACTATACCACTTTTGTTCCCATTTCAAGTTTTTGTCCAATTTGCTCTTGAACCTTCCTATTAATGTCCAGGACTTAAAGTCAACTTAATCCAACATCTCCAGTTTGTCCGGTTATCTGCAGTGTTTACTTAGTAATTCTGACTGTGTTTCACCATAGGCAGGACCTGACCATCATCGACACACAATTACCCGCCTTTCGATCAGCAGAGAAACAGATTGTCAATACAACTGAAGACATGGTGTCCATGGGTGCCTTCAACAGTCTGAAGGTTTTGCCCGGCTACTATACAGTGGCATCTGATCGAGGTGAGTCTCAAACAGCAAGGTTTGCTGAGCCAGACTCTTTATGAATTGTTCATCACAATGACTGTAGCTGACTGTGTGGAGTGGATCCCCCAGGGCTGTAGCTGACTGTGTGGAGTGGATCCCCCAGGGCTGGAGGGAATTGTACAGGGTGACGTACTAGGACTGAAATTGACTGTATGGAGTGGCTCATTGAGCAATTTAGGGAAATGGTGTATGGAATGGATCACGAGGAGTGGAGGTGGCTGCATGGAGTGGATCTTAAGATTTACCTTTAAATACACCATTCCATGATTGTGACAATAGTGGTGAGAGCTGTGTGAGTTGAATAGATTTCAGTCTCCTCCCAGGTCTGTTCCTATGTCAGGGACCTAAGGTGTAACAGCAAGTGTTTCAGTGTATGGAGCAAATCTGTGTTCCTTACTGTCTTGGCAGATGCTCATGGGCAAGTGGAATTCCAAGATGGTGTCGAATTCATTGATGTGCGGGTCCCACTCTTTGTGAAGGATGAAGATGATGATGAGAAGCAATTGCAAGTGGAGGCTGTTGATGTTCCAAAGGGAAATGCAGAGATTGACCAGCCATTTGTGTACATCACCATGATCAAACAGGCCTGTACGTCTTTAGGAATCTCAATTTGACCCAAATGGTTCTGGTTCAGTGTGGCCCCTGTCATTCAGCCCCTAAACCCCAATCTAGCTACCTCCGTTCTATCTTCATATTGATATATTATACTCTCAAAGTTACTTTGCCCACGATTTGTTTCTGAAGGGCTGAAAGCCGAGTACTTGATTACACTCTGTTCAACTGGGAGAGGCATCACTCCTGGGGATTCCATCTGGTGCCTCTTCTGGTTAGGTCCCAGGACGTTATCTGGTCTCTGGACTAACAGTCTAGTGATAATACCACTAGGTCATTGCCTCACCATCTCCATTGCCACCTTCTCTCTCTCTTTTTTTTTTTTTTTTTTTTTGTTCCCCCAGTCCAGGCTATGGCTCCACAAATGACAGTGGCCATTTGCAATGGATAAGTTAGGCAATGAGTGGCAGAAAGACATTCGATTGTGAAAGGCATCTGAACCCACACACGTTCCCACCCTGACATGATTGTACATGTTCCTGGGCTGGAGATTGGCTGGCGTAATTCCAGTGGAATACTGGCTCGGGGTGGGGGGGGCGCATGGGGGAGCAGTATCACAACATTGGTGAACTTCTGGTGCTAATCTTTCTTGGCACCGTTTGACATGTGTACATTTCTGTCTTTCCAGTAGCCAAAAGTATTATCACCTTTCTGCAGCCATCATACAGATACCAAAGGCAAGACAAGGTGGCCAAAATCCCCCTTATCCGGGAGATACGGGAGGATGGACGCACACAGGTCTCTTACAGGATAAAAGATCGCACCGCCAAGGATGGCAAGGTATGGCTGACACACGTAGCAAAGTTTGCTGAGCCAGACACTTTATGGATTGTTCATCACAATGACTGTAGCTGACTGTGTGGAGTGGATCCCCAGCTGGGCTGGTTTCTGAGAGAGGCACAGTTCTTGTCTGCCACTGTCTGTATCGATGATACAGTCTCCAGATTGCACAGTTCTGAGGCCAGAAATTCCGGAGCTGGAAACCAACTCAAGAACCCTGAAATTCTGATTTCTCTGGCAGCAAAAGCAAATTTCCTCTGCCTTTCTGACCCAGCACTATTTCTGTCTGATCTCCTCATGGATCAGGCAGGCCACGAGTGTAAATGCCACTGGCCTGTTCTCTAGAGTCTGGAGATGCCACTATGAGGACCACAGGCTTCTAAATCTCTTTCCACTTCTATTCTCATGTGCCAGTTCAGGTTTTGTATCCCTAAAAAAAAAAAAAAAAACCCCACCAGGTCAGACAGTTGGTGACTACTGGGAGATGCCTGCTGCGGAGTTAGGAACCTAGGAACAGGATTAGGCTATTCAGCCCATTGAAGCTGCTGGGCCATTCAATTAGGTCAGTTAGGATAAGGGAGAGTGGTATTATTGCTAGACTATTAAACCAGAGACCCAGGCAATGTTCTGGGGACTCAGTTCAAATTCTGCCACAGCAAATGGTGATATTTGAATTCAATAAAAATCTGGAGTTAAGAGTCTAATTATGATCATGAAACTATTGCCAGCTGTTGGGAAAACCCATCTGGCTCACTAATGTCCTTTTATGAAAGGAAATGCCATCTTCACTTGATCTGGTCTACATTAATCTCCAGCTCCACAGCAATGTAGCTGACTCTTAACTGCCCTCAGGGAAATTAGGGATAAGCAATAAATGCTGGTCCAGCTAGTGACACCCATATCCTGTGAATGAATAAAAAAGTCATTGCTGATCATCTACCCCAACACCACTTCCCTACACTGTCCTCATATCCTGTCGCACTCTGTCTGGAACCTGCTCAAACATTGAGTTTACACAGTCCTCAGGTGTAGAGAATTCCAAAGATGCTTCACTCCTTGAATAAAGAAATTCCTCCTTATCTCAGTCCTGAATGACCTGCCCTTTACACTGAGGTAACGTCACCTGGTTTTAGACTCACTAGCCTCAAGAAAGTTTATCTATATCTATCCTTCAAAACTGTAAGTTTCAATGAAGTCAACCCGTTTCTCATCCCCAAATGCAGGTAGGTAGGAAGAGTTTAGTTTGGGAACACGGTTAGTGTGAACTGGCTGGACCGAAGGGTCTGTTTCCAGACTGTCATCCCTTCTCAAGTCAATTTTCCCATGAAATGGTAGCAATCTGATAGTCTCATGTTAAATGTATTGCCAATTTCAAATTCCACTAGTGATGCATTTTTAATTTTTAATTTTAATGGTAATTGATTGTAGTACTCTGACCTGCAAAGTTAAGTCAAAAATTACATTGACCAGCATAATGTAAGTGTTAACATGCTTTGCAGTACTTTTCCTAATGCAAAAGGTGTTATAATGCATCCAAAGCTGAAGAAATGTGGGAGGGGAATGAGGGGTATGAGGCCACGAGGAGTTGGCATGAGTGTATGGGGGCATGGGATGGCAGGGGGTTGTGAGTTGGCAGGGAGGTAACATAGAGAATCTGCGGGAGCTTGAGATGGCATGGGGGATTGAGGAGACATGGGAGAATGATGGGACATGGAAATGGCACAAGGGATATTGGGGCATGGGGGATTGGAGGAGGTTTGGAGACAGAGAGCATGAAGAATGCATTAGGCTGCATGAGATATGAGAAGACATGCACATGTGGGGCATGGAGGGGATATTGAGTGGCTTGGGGATATAATGAAGCATGGAACGGAAGGTGACTCTGAGGGGACAGGAAATGAGGGAGTATGAAAGAGGCAGAGGATGGCATTGGGACATGAAAGATGACTTGAGGGATATAACATGGCAAAGGTGTGGCTGGGGGAGTGAGAGGTGACCTTTAGGGGGAATAAGAACAATGTTGGAAGCTGGGCTGTTTTCTAAATTTTTTCAAGGCATGTGGATTGTTCCCACATGTGAGGGAGTCCAAATCTAGGGGCCATGACATAGGATAGTCACTAATAAATCCAATCAGAATTCAGGAGTAACTTTTCTGAGAGTGTCTGCTACCCTGCTGAGAGTGAATAATATAAGATGGCTTTAAGTGATAATGCTAAATTCACCATAGTCCCAAAGGACTGTAGAGCTGCTATCTCATCAGAGAGAGAGATCACTATTGGTTATTTAACCTGAGGGCTGCCACAGTTCAGGCAAGGGGAAAGGTTGAGACCTTCAGCCAGTATTGGAATTGAACCCAAGCTGTTTTGTCATGCTCCATCACAAACCAGCACTCCAGCCAACTGAGCTAACTGACCCCCAAAGATTATTAAGGGGGAGCTAGATAAACATAGAAGGGAGAAAGGAATAGAAGGTCACACCGAAATGGTTAGATAAAGTAGTTTGGGAGAGAATGCCGTTCTGGTCACCCTGCTATAGGAAGATATTACTAAACTGGAGAGGGTTCAAAAAAGATTTACCAGAATGTTGCCAGGAATGGAGGGTTTGAGTTATAAATATAGGCTGGAATGGCTAGGACATTTTTCACTAGAGCATAGGAAGTTGATGGGTGACCTTACAGAAGTTTGTAAGATCATGAGGGGTATAAATCAGGTGAATAGCAAAGGTCTTTTCCCTAAGGTGGGTGATTTTAAAACTAGGAGGCATATTTTTAAGGTGACAGGAGAAAGATTTAAAGAGGACATGGGGCCAACAGAGTGGTTTGTGTGTGGAATTAACTGCCAGTGGAAATGGTGGATGCAGGTACAGTTACAACATTTAAAAGATATTTGGAGTAGTTCATGAATGGGAAAGGTTTGGAGGGATTTGGGTCAAATGCAGGCAGGTAGGACTAGGTTAGTTTGGAAACACGGTCAGTGTGGACTGGTTGGACCGAAGGGTCTGTTTCCATGACATATGACTCTATGATTCTAAGTCTACTTTGGAGCACAAATATGCTTTTGTTCTGTAAATTCTACATGAAGCAATTCTCCGGATAGGATGTTTTTGGGAACGAGGCATTAAAACCTGCCCTCCCATTAACTGTAAAAGATCTCGGAGCACAAATTCACAGAACAGTTGGGAAATTCTTCCAGTATCATAGCTAAAATTTATCCCTGATGTAACACAAGAGATTTGGTCACAATCATATTGTTAATTTTTTGGGAGTTTACTGTGCACAATTTGTTGTTTCCTGCCTTATAACAGAGGCTAAAATTGCTTTATTGTCTGTAATAATAGCTGTGAAGGAGCCCCAAATATTCCTGATGCCATTGTTAAGTGCAGTAGTATACCATTTGGCATATTTAAGCTTGCTTCTGTACATGCCTTCCACATGCTCATAACTGATCTTCTCGTTCATCATCAGTTTTCCACTTGCTTCCTACATCCCTTAATTCCCTCAAGTTTGAAAAATCTATCTCAGCCTTAATCAACAACAGTTTCCACAGATCTCTAATGTAGGCCATTCCTAAGATTCATAGGCCTCAGAGTGAAGACATTTATCCTTATCTCAGTCTTAAATGATTGATCCCTATCCTGAGAATGTGCCCCTGTATTTGAGATTCTCTAGCCAGGGGAAGTAACCGCTCAGTGTTTACCCTGTCAGGCCCCTTCAGAATCTTTTATGTTCCAATTAAAGCATGTGTCAGGTCTGACCTTTTCTGTGTGAGATTGCAACTTCTTGGAAAATGTTCATTAAAAGATAAGGTTTAGCAACAATCAGGACTTTTGCAATCTCTTGCGACCCCAAACCTAAACATCGTTAAATGAAAACGGTGATTACAGATCCTGCTTGATTTCTTTATACCCTCTTTGAGGCGTTGACATCCTTCCTGAAGTGTGGACAAAATACTCCAGCTGAGGCCTAACCAGTCTTTAATAAAGGTTTAACTTGCTTTCTTGGAAAGAAGAGTCTCTACTCTTCCACTTCTTACATCTTGCTTTTCTGTCCCTTGTAGGATTACAGAGCAACAGAGAACCAGATTGTATTCCAGCCTGGTGAGACTCGCAAAGAGATTCCTGTTGTTCTCCTGGAGCAGACCGAGATTGATACCCTGCTGGGAAATGAGCAGGAGAAAAAATTCTGCATGGAGCTGTATAATCCCCAAAATGGAGCAAAGCTTGGGAAGTATCCCGAAACCAACGTCATCATCACTGATGATAACGGTGTGTTTAACCGGTGCCTTGTTTGTTGCGTAACTTTTTATGCTCCCTCTTGGTCACTGGCCACCACCTAAATCCCCAACAAAATGATCCAAAAGAGACTGTTCCTGGTAATGTGGGCCCTGGCACAGGCCAATGGCAACCATGTTCTGTGTGATCTGAAAGGCTATTTCACCAAGGGCTGCATCACTTCGAGTGTACATTTTGTCCTCATTTACACACCCACATCCAGGACACAGTCCACCCACAGACACACATACACCACGCAGCCCACCCACAGACACACACAACCACCTGCAAGCCCAACTCATTCCAGCACCCTCTCCCCCCACACCACATTTAAACACCCACTCATGGGCAAGTGGGCAAACCTTGCTCATGTGAGCACACAGTCACATGCCACATGTCTACACACACCATTTACAGGTATGTACAGACTGACCTACTCTCTTCCATCAGAGGGCACTCACTTCTCTCATAGCCCAAAGGTGCTGAGACAAACTACCCTGCTGCACATGGTCCAGAACTGAACTTGGGAGCTTCTTCCAGTTGATTGGTGAAGAAGTGATCAAGGTAATATAGTTGAATTCCACTTTTTGTAACGCTAATTGTAATACAAGATTCAAACTAGCATTACTAATAATATCAACCAGTTCAGAGGGCCCTGGAAAGTAATACAGAAACATTACATTGACATTTCACAGGCTCCTGCCCCTCACACAGTCAGCTGGAAATCCAGGGTAAATTTCCCAACTGTGTCACCATCTGGTGGCTGAGGAGCCCTGTTTCGGGTCTTCCCCATATTAGAGCAGGCTACTTCTCCTCAGATTGTCACAACACAAACCCATCAGAAATAGATGGATGGCCACAGCACAGAACTAACTAAGCAGCTCAGATGGGCAACAGTCATTTGATGAAACTTTTAATCCTGCTCAGAGTGACATATGTGTGTGTGAATGATCATGTGTCTCTATTCAAGTGTGTGTCTGTAGTTCTGTGAGTGTGCACATCTGTGTGTCAGTGTGAAAGTATGTGTATGTTTCTATGAGGCTGTGTGTGGCTGTATGCCTGGGTCTTTGTGTATGTGTGTGTGTATATGTTTGCAAGTGTGTGTGCCTGTGTCTCTGTGATTATGTATAAATGTCTTTGTGTGTGTATCTGTCTATACATGGAGTGTATGTGATACTGTGTGTGAGTGAGCGTGTGAGTGTGACTGAGAAGGTGTAAAGGTGGACATAAGAAATGAACGCAAGACATATGGTCCTTTTGAGCCTGCTGTACCATCCAGTAATATGTCTTTTGAGCTCTATTTTACCCTGCCATAATTTCATCTTGAGTCTTGAGTATATTCAAAACTGAATTTCCACAGCTCACTGGAGTAGACATTTTTAATTATTACACTCCTTTGAGACAGCAGTAATAACAAAAGAATTTGAACTTTCCGTTATTGGTTTAAAAACTGATTTTACATTTTAAGGCTTTTAGTATAAAATAAAACTGAAATCACTATTGACTAAACAGTTTTTTTGTAGGCAAATTATACTTTAAATCACAAAACAGAAATTTTTCATCTTTTCTTTAAATCCAGCTGATAAATCATACTTCATGTTTATACTTTATACTAACCTTTACTTAGACATGAAATTTTCCCAGAATCAGTTCATAATGAATCTTAGCTCCTGAGGATTTGCTTCTGTTCTGTTCCTTTCTCAGCCTGGTAGCTTCTAGCCCCAGAATTGTTCTTTACTCTGAAAGTCTTACTAGGGATCTTGCCTCTACAGTATAATGCAGGCAAATCTTGCAGCTTCATCTTAACTCCTTATTAATTTGGTCTTTTCAAACATGTCCAAGCTTCTACCTACATTCTGGCACAATGAGTCATAAAGACTTCTTGTCTCTAGCTGCTTGTTCTCATGTGGACCTAACCCACCTGTTTGTGACATTGTGATATTTTAGGAAAGCCAGTACCCAATCCTTTGCAATGGCTTCTGCTGGACCCATTCTTGTGGGAATATGAATGACATGAACCTTGTATTCAGGTAGTAATGCTGACAACTATTATTTAGACACCAAATCCAAATTTATCCTGGAATCAAAGACACTTCAAGTAAAGCCTTTTATAACCTGACATTTTTAACATTTACTGCCATTTTTAAAAAATCTTCATTTAATGTTTAACAGTTCTATCATCCATACCTGTTGTCATACAAACTTTAGTATAGATTACATAACCACCTTCGTTTTACCCTAAAATATAGTAATCTTGTGAATCTCCAATTGTAAGAACACTGAGTGAAAAAATGTAACAATATCTCAGTCCTAAATGAGACACATAACCCTAATTCTAAGCTGTCCAGGCAGGGGCAACATTTTCCAGCTCCCATTCTCCCTGTCAATTCCGTAAGGATTTTATATGCTTCAATGAAATTACTTCCCATTCATCTAAGGCAACTATAGGTCTCTACTCAACATCTCCTCATAGGTCAATCCCTACATTTCACGAGTCAGTCTTGTGACCATTCATTGGATTCTATCCAAGACAAGTTTGTCCTGTCCTTGTACAGAGATTCAAATTGTACACAGTATTTCAGGTGTGGTCTCATCCTAAATCATCACAGTAAGACTTAATTAATGCAGTATCCCAAATAATAAAGGCTAACATTTGCTTTCCTATTAGTTGCTGTACATGCATATTAATCTTGTGTGATTCTTATAGGATCCACAGATTCCTCTGAAAACTATCATTTTCCACTGTCTCATTTAAAAAATTGTGTTTCCATTTTTCTACATTTTGCCACCTACCTTACATACCTCCTTGTGGCTTAATCTTCCATCTACCTTTGTCTTGGCAGCAAATGAATATGTTACACTTAAGACTCCTCATCCAAGTCATTGGTACAGATTTTAAATGGCTCAGGACAAAGCAATGGTATTTGTGGTTTCCTGCTGATTACAGCCTGCCAAACTAAATAAGATTTGTTTATTCCTATGTTCTGTTTTGATTCTGTTACTGAATCCCTAACAAAAGCTATCTTTGTATACCTGATTGTTCATGTGGCAAGGGGTTACACTGGTTGTTTATATGTGCCCCACATAATTATAAATAAGTTATAAATAGTTTGAGTGTACAATTTGGACAACTCACACAGCTCGAAACTAAGTGGGTCATTGTTCTGTTGTTTGATGCCTGATTGATTCAGACAGTGAGTACTGATGATGATTTATTAATACTCCTCTGTCTCATCTCAGAGAAGCTAATCCCAATTGACACCCCACCTCTCAACCTGAAAGCTCATCCAATTGACAGCAGGAGGATCCAGGTGAATTGGAGCCCACCTCCGGGTGAGCCATCAGGATACAGGGTAAGACTCAAACTGTTCCAGGGTATCTGAACTACCAGCCTAGCACACTGCCCATCGAAAGCAGAAATTGCTGAAGAAACTCAGAAGATCTGGGTCCCTGGACTTGAAACTTCAATTCCTGTTTATCTCTCCACACATGCTGCCAGACCTGCCGAGATTCTCTAGCAACTTTGGTTTTTGTTTCAGATTTTCAGCATCCACAGTTCTTTGTGTTACGCTGCCCATCAAATCCAGTGTCAGTAATGACCATATAGTGTCACCATTGAAAGCCCTTTAGGTACTTATATATTTACTGTTATAAACAGTCCTTCAAGTGGGTTTGCTGTCTATAGTTAGTTAAACCCAAAAAAACACAGCAAGGATGTAGAGGGGACAGGAAAGACCCAGATGTGGGACATCTAAAGGGTTTGCAAATGGTGACACAATATGTTCATAATTGGCACTGGATTTGATGTGGAGTGTAATAACACAAAAACTATATATGAGGCAAATGGGCATGAAAAACTGGAATCAACAAAAATAACTTTGATGGATAAGCTGTGTGCAGACCCTAAATGGACAGTGTAACTAACTGAGCAATAAAATAACCAACTGGGCAATATAACTAAGTGGGCAACAATATAGCTAACTGGGCATTATAAATAATTCAGAAACATAAGTAACCAAATAACATAACTAAAAACTGAAAGAACTGCAGATACTGTAAGTCAGGAACAAAAACAGAAGTTGCTGGAAAAGCTCAGCAGGTCTGGCAGCATCTGTGAAGAGAAATCAGAGTTAACGGTTCAGGTGCGGGACCGTTCCTCAGAAACTGATTTTTCTTCACAGATGCTACCAGACCTACTGAGCTTTCCCAGCAACTTCTGTTTTTGTTCCTGAATAACATAACTAACTGGATAATAATATAACTAACTAAGCAATATAACTAATTGGATCTGAAGAAGGGTCTAGGCCTGAAACGTCAGCCTCCCTGCTCCTCTGATGCTGCTTGGCCTGCTGTGTTCATCCAGCTGTACACCTTGTTATCTCAGATCTGCAGTTCCTACTATCTCTAACTAATTTGGCAATTGGTTTTGGAGCTTAAGCAACAGTTGGTGATATTGTGGTGCATTTTGTAAATTTGAAAGCAATATGTATAACAAATTTCTGGATGTGGTTATCCCACAGCTTCTAGGTGTGCAGGCAGAGAAGGAATTATAACTGCTAGCAAATCAAGCAAGTCATGTAGGAGAACACCACACCCTTCAGTGATATTCAGTGGGGAATTCAGGTTGACAAAGTTCACGCTATCATGGCTGGTGCAGGTGGAGAGGAGGCAAGTCAAGAAAATATTGGTGCTGGGAGATTCAACAGTTCGGGGAGCAGACAGGCATTTGTGTAGGTGAAGGCGTGATCGTATGATGGTATGTAACTTCTCAGTGCCAGAGTCAGGGATGTCACAATAGTTCTGAGGTCCTGGTCCATATCAGCACCAATGACAGAGGCAGGCAAGGTTTTAGAAGCCAGGGAAGGAATTAAAAAGTAGGATCTCAAAGGTAGTAATTATTGAATTACTCCCAGTGTCTTTCACCACTGTGTGCAGAAATAACAGGGTAGTGAAGCTGAATGTATGGCTAGAGAAAGGGTACAGGAGGATGGGCTTAAGACTCCTGTCACACTGGTGTGAGTTTCAGTCTGGGGGTACCTTAACTTGCCTTGGCTGGTCTGGACTTTGATTTAGACAATGAACCTGGGTAATCTGCTAAGGGCAGTGTGGGGTCAGAAAGGCAAAACTTTGACCTTTTATTCTCTATTCCTTTTTGGCTACAGGACGTTTCTGGCCACAGGAGTGGCCCCAGAGGACTCCTAATAGTGTACTGTGGCTTAACAGGTAGAAAGGGATAAATGGAGGAACTTCTTTTGTAATTCATTCCTGGGATGTGAGCATTGCTGGCTGGCCGTCATTTATTGCCCATCTCTGGTTGCTCTTGAGAAGGTGATGGTGAGCTGCCTTCTTGAACCACTGCAGTCCACATGCTATAGGTAGACCCACAATGCAGTAAGGGAGAGAATTTCAGGATTTTGACCCAGCGACAGTAAAGGAATGACAATATATTTCCATGTCAGAATGCTGAGGGGCTTGGAAGGGAACTCGCAGGTGGTGGTGGACAGTTAGATGGTCCACTTAGAGGACACTTAGCTACACCTGTGTAGTTCTCAACAATAGAAAAGAAATTGAGACTATCGATCATCACTGAGAGATGTATGGATCAATCAAGGTCAGTCAGTGGAGATTTGATAAAGGAAAATGTGTCTGACTAACTTAGCTGATTGTTTGAAGAGGGTCAATGAAGGTTGCGGGTTTGACATAGTCTTCACAGATTTTAGCAACACATTTGACAAAGTCCCATTTCTGGCAGACTGGTCAGAAAACTAAAAGCTTAGGCAGCAAGTTGGATTCAGAACTGAGTCAGTGCCAAGAAGCCAAAGTTAATGGACAATGAGTGTTTTAGTGACTGGATGACTGCTTCCAGTTGGGTTCTGAAGAACTCTGTCCTCACCCTTGCTGCTCATGGTACATATCAATGATTTAAACTTAAATGGAAGGTTGCAAATAATGTAAAAACTGACCATGTGTTTAGTAGTAAAAACCAGTCGTGGACTGCAGAAAGATATCAATGGATTGATTGGGTGGGCAGAAAAGTGACAAATGAAATTCAGTCTGGAGAAGGGTGAGTTTTCAGAAGGAAAACAAAGCAAAGGACTATACAAATGCTGGGACACTGCTAGGTGTAGAGGTAGTGAGGGATCTTGGAGTGAAAGTCCAAGGAACCCTAAAGGTGGGGACACAAGATACTTTCCTTTATCAGCAAAGGCCTAAAGTATAAGAGTGGGAGGTTAAGCTGAAACTGCATAAAAACATAGTTAGACAGCAACTAATCACTCCATATGGTTCTTGTCGCTAACAAACAGGAAGGATGTAGTCTTCTGGAAAAGGAGATTTCTGAGGATGTTGCCAGGCTTATAGAATTTTAGCAATGAGGAATGATTAAATCAGTCGTGGTTGTTTAGAATAGATGAGACTGAGAAAAAACTAATTGTGGCTTATGAAATCACAAAGGGTCTAAATAGAATGGACAGGAAGTGCCTGTAGTCCTGAGAATCATAGAGACTTGCAGCACAGAAAAAGGCACTTCGGCCCATTGCATGTGCACCTGTCAAAAACAAGCACTTGATGATTCTAATTCCATTTTCCAACATCTGTCACATGGCCTTGAATGCCTTGACATTGCAAGTGCACAACTAAATACTTCTTAAATGTTGAGGGTTCCTGCCTCTACAATCCTCATAGCCAGGGAGTTCCAAATTCCCACCATCCTCTGGGAATATTGTCTACCCCCTCCATGCTCTTCATTATTTGATACATCTCAATCATGTCCCCTCTCAATCTCCTCTGCTGTAAGGAAAAGCAACTCTATTCTGTCCACTCCCTGTTCATAACTGAAACTCTCCAGCCCAGGCAACGTCCTGGTAAACATCCCCTGCACCCTCTCCAATGATATCACATCCCTCCTATAATGTAGATTCCAGAACTGCACACAGTGCCAGAGCTGTGGCCTAACCAATGTTTTATACAGTTCCAGCATAACCTCCCTGCTCTTAAATTCTATGCTTCAGTAAGTAAAGATATGTCTCCCATATGCCACCTTAACCAATTTATCCACTTACCTTAAGGGACCGGTGTGCAGGTACACCAAGATCCTTCTGATTCTCAATGCTTCCCAGGATGCTTCCCAGGATCCTACCATTCATTATGTATCCCCTTGACTTTTTGTCCTGTCCAAGTGTATCACCTCACATTTATCTGGATTGAATTCTATTTACCACTGGTCAGCCATCCATATCCTCTTGTAATCCAAGGTGATACTCCTCACTATTTACCACCTGTCCACTTTTGCATCATCTGCAAACTTTCAGTCTTTAGCTGAGAGGTCAATTACCAAGGTGTGTGAATTTAAAGTAATTGATAGAAGACAGGGAGTTGATGGGGAATTTGTTTGCTGAAAAGATGGTAGTGGGAGTTCTGGAATGCCTTGTCCGAAGGAGGGAGGGGATTGAGCGAAGACTCCTCACCATATGTAATGAAAAGCTCTTGGACTTGCATTTAAGGTGTTATAGTCCGCAGGGCTATGGACCAAAAGCTAGAAGGTGGATTTGACTGGATAGTTTTTTATTAGTTGGCACGGATACAATGTGCCAAATGGCCTCCTTTGGTGCCATAGGCTTTCCATATTTCTATAACTAAGTGGGCAACATATGTAGCAGCCTTTGGTGTGGCCCTTAAGATAAAGTTGCATGGTATTACAGGTAATGTATTGGCATGGATAGAGGATTGATTGACCAGTAGAAAGCAAAGAGTAGGGGTAAATGGGTGTTTTTCTGGTTGGCGGTCAGTGGCTAGTGGTGTGCCTCAGAGATCAGTGTTGGGACTGCAATTGTTTACAATTTACATAGATGATTTGGAGTTGGGGACTAAGTGTGGTGTGGCAAAATTTGCAGATGACACTAAGGTGAGTGGTAGAGCAAAGTATTCAGAAGACACAAAGTTTGCAGAGGGATATAGATAGTCAAAGTGAGTGGGCAAAGGTCTGGCAGATGGAGTACAATGTTGATAAGTGTGAGGTCATCCATTTTGGTAGGAATAACAGCAAAATGGACTATGTTTTAAATGGTAAAAAATTGCAGCACGCTGCTGTGCAGAGGGACTTGGGTGTCCTTGTGCATGGATCGCTAAAAGTAGGATTGCAGGTGCAGCAGGTAATTAAAAAGGCAAATGGAATTTTGTCTGCCATTGCTAGAGGGATGGAGTTTAAAAACAGGGAGGCTATGCTGCAGCTGTATAGGGTCCTGGTGAGGCTACACCTGGAGTACTGTGTGCAGTTTTGGTCTCCTTACTTGAGAAGAGATATACTAGCACTGGAGGGGGTGCAGAGGAGATTCACTCGGTTGATTCCAGAGTTGAGAGGGTTGGATTGTGAAGAGAGACTGAGTAGACTGGGACTATACTCATTGGAATTCAGAAGAATGAGGGAGATCTCATAGAAACATATAATATTATGAAGGGAATAGACAAGATGGAGGCAGGGAGGTTGTTTCCGCTAGCAGGTGAAAGTAGGACTAGAGGGCATATCCTCAAAATAAAGGGAAGCAGATGTAGGACTGAGGTCAGGAGGAACTTCTTCACCCAAAGGGTTGTGAATCTGTGGAATTCCCTGTCCAGTGAAGTGGTTGAAGCTACCTCGCTGAATATTTTTAAGGCAAGGCTAGATACATTTTTGAACAGTAAAGGAATTAAGGGTTATGGTGAGTGGGTGGGTAAGTGGAGCTGGTCTCAAAAAGATCAGCCATGATCTTATTAAATGGCGGTGCAGGCTCGAGACGCCGGATGGCCTACTCCTGCTCCTAGTTCTTGTGTTCTAATGTGTTCTTATTAACTGGACATGCTTTTCTTTTCTCAGGTGGAGTACTGGCCTGAGGATGACAGGCTTGCCTCTCAGGTCATAGAGACAAAGAATACTTTTGCTGAGCTCATCAATCTCCAGCCAGGCTGTTACTACGCAATGAGTGCACTGGCCTACAATGATCTTGCAGATGGCCCCTGCTCGGATATCACTTACTGTCACACTTTGAATGAGGGTAAATCAGTTTTGAGCAACATTAGTAGATGTTATGGAATAGATCTGAATTCTGTATCAGCACTGGGGGCAGTGCCCCTAAGGACAGAAAATTGACCCTTGTCTACATGATTCTTATTCACATCACCAACCTCTGATCTTACACGTCATTGCTTTAGTCATTTATTTTCTCTGTTAGCATTTTCAGCCTTTCTGTTTCCTTTGGAAAATACCCCTTTGATTTTTTTGGGCATATGGTCGTGTAGTGGTCTATATAGTCTATGATCTATATGGTCTACAGTGGAAGTCTGATATATTGCAGACGTTGGGGTCTAAGAAGTGAAACCATGTTATTGCTGAACCACATTTTGGCTGAATTTCAGTTATGCTGAGTGCTGTTGTACAACCTCGGAGCATTGCAAGCTTTAAAGCTCAGACCGTTGTCAATGCCATGTTGGATTACAGCTGAGCAATTCTAAAGGTCTTGTTATTTCAGAATATGGGCCATGTGACAACTCAGAAACCAGCTCCTCATAAACAATGAGTCTTTTTATTTTTATGTGGGATATGGGTGTTGCTGACTGGACCAGCATTTATTGCAATAACCCTAATGGCTCTGGGGAAGGTGATGGTGAGCTGCCTTCTTGAACCACTGCAGGTGTGGGTGCACCTACAGGACAGTTAGTGAGGGACTTGCAGGATTTTGACACAGCGACAGTAAAGGAACGGTGATATGGCTCTAGGTCAGGATGGTGAGTGACTTGGAGGGAACTTGCAGGCGCTGGTATTCTCATGTATGTGCTGCCCTTGTCCTTGTAGGAGCAGGCATGGGTTTGGAAAGTGCTGTCGAAGGAGCCCGACTGAGTTGCTGCAGCGTATCTTACACAGTGGACGCCTGTTACAACATGAATCATTATTATGCAGTGGTAGTTATGCTATTCCATCCATGACAACTTTATATATCCCTCAAAAACAGAAGGGAAATTTTCCATAAGAGACTTGGAGGTCAAGAATGGTGGTGAGGGGGGAATGGGGAGACAGGGTAACTAGAAAGTGTGAGAAAGTGCTGACATCAAAGCTTGTTGCAGGTGGAATCCAGATTGTGACTCATACCAATGTCTTGCAGTCACTCACCTGACGTACTCCCATATCTTCTAAAACTTAGAATCATAGAATCCCCACAGTGTGGAAACAGGCCATTTGGCCCAACAACTCCACACAGACCTTCTGAAGATCATCCCATCCAGACCCATCCCCTAACCCTACATTTCCCATATCTAACACACCTAACCTACACATCCCTGAACACTTGGGGCAAATTAGCATGGCCAATCCACCTAACTGGTGGCATGGTGGCTCAGTGGTTAGCACTGCTGCCTCAGCACCAAGGACTGGGTTCAATTCCACCCTCGGGTGACTGTCTGTCTGTTTGGAGTTTGCATGTTCTCCCCGTGTCTGCGTGGGTTTCATCCGGGTGCTCCGGTTTCCTCCCACAGTCCAAAGATGTGCAGGTTAGGTGGATGGACCATGCTAAATTGCCCATAGTATCTGGGTCTGTGAAGGTTAGGTGGATTAGACATGGGAAATGCAGGGTTACAGGGAAAAGGTAGGGGCATGGGTCTGGGTGGGATGCTCTTTGGAGGGGTGGTGTGGACTTGTTGGGCTGAATGGCCTGTTTCCACACTGTAGGGATTCTGTGAAACTTGCACATCTTTGGACTTTGGGAGGAAACCAGAGCACCCAGCAGAAACCCACGCAGACACAGGGAGACTGTGCAAACTCCACGCAGACAGTCGCCCGATGCTGGAATCGAATCCAGGTCCCTGGCGCTGTGAGGTAGCAGTGCCAATCGCTGAGCCACCATGTCACCCTACTCTGTGATTCACAATTACCTGGATAATGTGCTTACAGCTTTGAAGTGGGACTTAATAAGATCATATGATGTAAGAGTAGAAGTTGGCCTATCAATCCGTTGAGTCTGCTCCATTATTCAATGAGATTATGGCTGCTCTGATCATCCTCAACTCCACTTTACTGCTTTTACCCATAATCCTTGATTCCCTTGCTGACTAAAAATCTATCTTTATCAAACCTAAATCTATCTGAGCCTTGAATAAATTTAATGATCCACTCTTTACAGCCCTCTGTGGTAAAGAATTCCACAGATTCAAAACCCTCTGTGAGAGAAGAAATTCTTCCTCATCTCTGTCTTAAATGTGGGATTTGTGAGATTATGCCTCTGGTCTCAGACTCTCCCACAAGAGGAAGCAACCTTTCTGCACCAGCCCTCTTGAGTCCCCTAAGGATCTTGTATGTTTCAATGAGGGTGCCTCTCGTTCTTCTAAATTCCGATGAGTACAGGCCCAATCTTCTCAAACTCTCCTCATTAGAGAGTCTCTCCATAGCTGGTGTCAGCCTAGCGAACCTTCTCTTTCCTGTGGCCGTCTGCTTGTGCACAGTGACCAAGCTGCTCTGACACCAAATGTAAGCTTAACCAATGTATAACCTCGTGCTTTTCTTCTCTCTCACTCTTTTTGAATAGCACAATGACAATTTTCCATTCTCTAGGAATGTTCCTGAAGTGAGACAACTTTGAAAGATTATATTGAGGGAATCTACAAAATTCTCACCCATGATCATTTAAATAGAATCTATCTGGTTCTGGATATTTATCACTCTGCAATTCCAATGTTTTCAAATTTTCTCTGGTCAAGCAATATCTTCATTTTAAAACAACCATGGCCTTGTCTCTCCTTGTCTTTCATTGTCTCTGTTGTCCCCTCCAGCCCCAGAGCACCTTGTGGACTTTTTTACTATGCTAATTCTGGCCGAACAATCACTCCATCACTGAGTGCAGCATCCTCATCTGCCTTGACACTGAGCTCTAGAGTTCGAGCATGTTTCCCTCTACCTCCACATCCTCCTCTAAGGTGCTCCTTAGGTTCTGTTTCATGAATCAAGCTTTCAGTCATACGGACTGATATCTCCTTGTGTAGCTCAGTATCAAGTTCATGATGTTTCTGTAAAGTACCTTGAAATGTTTAGTTACATTAAAATCACTGTATCAATGTTTATCACTGTTAATTTTGGTGAGTCCCCTTCCCTGATTCAATGCAGTATTAGTTTCCTTGTGATCTCTATCATGCTGAACTCTTCCTTTATTGTAAATGCGGACACAATAGAGATCCAACACTTCCCTTATTTTCATTGACAATAGCACTATAATCAGCTTTCAAGTGGAGAACATTACTCATACCATCTTCTTTTTCTAATTACGTAATAAATCTTTTTGTGGTGAATGTCATATCCTTTGCACGTTTCTTTCAGTACTCATTTTGTAGTGATTATTATCAATTTTCTCACCCTTTGCTGTTTCTTGTTTCTCTCCCAGATACCAGGATTTTATTTTTGCAATTTGTGTTTTTTCCCCTAGTTTAATGTTGTCTCTCACCTCATTAGTCTTCCATTTTTTCTGTTGGCAAGTAAAGCCTTTGCCTGTTAGATGTATAAAGTTCTGCATCACAAATTCTTTCAGAATTCTGTCCTCCAATTTTCTGTGGTTTTCTGCATCAGCAGATTTATCAGTATATTGTGGACAGTTTGTCTCGACCAATTGAAGCCATCCTTACCTAAATCTAGAATATTAGTTGTTGCTTTGTGTTTCTCCTTTCCAAACATCAGGCTGAATTTGATCACATTTTGGCCACTTTTAGATATATGTTCACATTTTGTTAGGCTATTAACTATACCTGATTCATTACTTGTAATATCTAATATGACATGCCTTCTTGGTTCTAGGACACGTTGCAATAAACTATTCTGAATACACTGAAGAAATTTCGCTACCTTTCTTTCATGTAGTAGCCTTACCCCAATCTATATACGACAACTAAAACCTCTAATTATAACCATCCTGCCTTTGCCTCAAACTTATCTGATCTCTGCATTGAAGCAGTCTATCATTTCGGAGCTGATACTGGATGCCTTTACACTAATCCTACTATCCTTTTCTATTTCTTAATTCCATCCATAAAGTCTCCAGTGTCTATTGACCTCTCATTATATTCTCTTCTATCTTTAAAGCTGTTTAATCTTATTTCTATCATTTTCCCAGACTTTTCTGTGGAGTTTATAAACTGGTCTGTTTGGTTCCCAATCTTGGTTGGTGTGCAACCATCTAATGATTACCACATCATAACCAACAAGTTTAATTTGTATTTGAATGCATTCAATTTGCTCTGTATTTTCAGTGTGTATATATGAAAAACACATTTAAGCCGCACATCCTAAATAACTTCTCTAATGTTTCAATCTCGTATATTTTATTTTTCAGTCCAGATGAATAGTACTGGATTGCTCCCCATCCTTCTATAGTCAGTAAGAAAGTTTTTTTTAAGGTCTTTCATTAACGTGTACTGCTATCTGATATTACAGTAAATCAAGCAACAATCCCTCTGAAGGATGCCAACCCCATTAATTCCCCACCAACCAATGTGAAAGCTCACCCAATTGACAGCAGAAGAATCCGTCTGAATTGGACCCCTCCGCCAGGCCGACCATCAGAATATAAGGTAATGGATCTTTGACCATCTGCTTAGGTTGTGAGCAGCATTGATTCTGGTGTCAGTGTGAAGTACTGAACTCCGCGATCATTGGGGATTACTTGACAGCAGCAGGACTGTTGACTCCTACAGTAGGACTGAGAGTTCCACAGACATCCTTAAAGGAAATGATGCAGAGCATCCACACAAATACATTAAATGGCAGAGAAGGCACGCTCGAACTCCTGAACTTTCAGCATATTACACTGCCAGCTATAGCCTATTACCCAAATCCTTTTCATAACTGTTACCCTTTGTTAGCTAGCTCAACATTCTTTCTCTGTGGTACCAAAGACTGAAAGCTCTAGTTGGACTCACCATAAACAAATAACAGTTGAACAGAATGATGAATTTAAGGTTTACACATGGTGTATCTTCTCTGCCTCTCCTAAAGTTCCATGTGAGACCCCTCTGAGGCTGAATGGTACTCTCTTGGTCCCACCATTAAAGTTCCACAGTACTTCCTATACGTTCTTCTCCCTTGTGGTTCCATGGTACATCTGGTGTGGCTTCTCCATTGCCACCCACTCCTCCTCAAGGTTCAATGGTGCATCCCATATGAATAGGTTTAAGTTTCCTGGTTTCCATCCAACACTGGTGCCTATTGAGTCCCAATAGAACATGACAGATGGCTCATGGTAAAGCATATGCCTCCTTCTCCAAAGGTGTTGATGAGAGAAACTGGGATTGTTCTCCTTCGAACAAAGAATAACTAAGTTTTAATGTTAAATGGTGACTCAATGAAGGTGTTCAAAATTAGGAAGGTTTTGATAAGATAGAAAGGGAGCAATTTGGTTCCACTAACAGATAAGTCAACAATGGGTGCCAAATTAAGATAAATTGACAGAAAAAGTCCTGGGAGGCAATAATGAAAATTTTATTTTTATGCATTGACCTATTATGATTCGGGGCCTGAAAGGGTGAATGGGGCAGATTCAATAATAGCCTTCTAAAGGAAATTTGATAAATATTTGAAAAATAAAGCAATACTGGTTATTGGCATTAGTTGGACAGTTCTTTCAAAGAGTCAGTGCATGCATAATGGGCAGAATGGCCTCGTTCTCCACTGTATGATTCTATGCTGTTCCCCTAATTGTGCGAAAACTTTGATTGTTGCTGTGACCAGATAAGTCAGCATTTTCAATGAGTTCCACACAGCAAGTTCATGAAAGAGGTTTGACATCTGGAGTCAGAGTGAATGGACAAAAAATTGGTTGACAGAATAGAAAGTAGAGAGTTTAGGTGAAGGATCATTACTCAGTATAGAGGAAAGTCAAATGTGGTATTCCACAACAATCAGTATACGGACAACAAGGTTCAGAGCTGGATGAACACAGCAGGCCAAGCAGCATCATAGGAGCAGTAAGGCTGACGTTTCGGGCCTAGACCCTTCATCAGAAATGGGGGAGGGGAAGGGGGTTCTGAAATAAATAGGGAGAGAGGGGGAGGCGGATAGAGGAGAAGATAGGTGGAGAGGAAACACAGGTCAAAGAGGCAGGGATGGAGCCAGTAAAGGGGAGTGTAGGTGGGGAGGTAGGGAGGGGATAGGTCAGTCCAGGGAGGACGGACAGGTCAAGGGGGCGGGATGAGGTTAGTAGGTAGGAAATGGGGGTGCAGCTTGAGGTGGGAGGAGGGGATAGGTGGGAGGAAGAACAGGTTAGGGAGGCGGGGACGAGCTGGGCTGGTTTTGGGATGCGGTAGGGGGAGGGGAGATTTTGAAGCTTGTGAAATCCACATTGATACCATTGGGCTGCAGGGTTCCCAAGCAGAATGAGTTGCTGTTCCTGCAACCTGCGGGTGGCATCGTTGTGGCACTGCAGGAGGCCCAGGATGGACATGTCGTCTGAGGAATGGGAGGGGGAGTTGAAATGGTTTGCGACTGGGAGGTGCAGTTGTTTATTGCGAACCGAGCGTAGGTGTTTTGCAAAGCGGTCCCTGAGCCTCCGCTTGGTTCTCCTGATGTAGAGGAGGCCACAACGGGTACAGCGGATGCAGTATACCACATTGGCAGATGTGCAGGTGAACATCTGCTTGATGTGGAAAGTCTTCTTGGGGCCTGGGATGGGGGTGAGGGAGGAGGTGTGGGGGCAGGTGTAGCACTTCCTGCGGTTGCAGGGAAAAGTGCCGGGTGTGGTGGGGCTGGAGGGGAGTGTGGAATGGACGAGGGAGTCACGGAGAGAGTGGTCCCTCCAGAAAGCAGATAAGGGTGGGGAGGGAAAGATGTCTTTGGTGGTGAGGTCGGATTGCAGATGGCGGAAGAGTCGGAGGATGATGCGTTGGATCCGGAGGTTGGTGGGGTGGTACGTGAGGACGAGGGGGATTCTTTTTGGTTGTTGTTGCGGGGATGGGGTGTGAGGGATGAGTTGCAGGAAATGCGGGAGATACGGTCGAGGGCGTTCTCGACCACTGGGGGGGGATGTTGCGGTCCTTGAAAAACGAGGACATCTGAGATGTACGGGAGTGGAATGCCTCATTCCTGGGAGCAGATGCAGCGGAAGCGAAGGAAATAGGGAATAGGGGATGGCATTTTTGCAGGAAGGTGGGTGGGAGGAGGTGTATTCTAGGTAGCTGTGGGAGTCGGTGGGCTTGAAATGGATATCAGTTTCTAGGTGGTTGCCCGAGATGGAGACAGAGGTCCAGGAAGGTGAGAGAGGTGTTAGAGATGGTCCAGGTGAACTTAAAGTTGGGGTGGAAGGTGTTGAAGTGGATGAACTGTTCGAGCTCCTTGTGGGAGCACGAGGCTGTGCCGATACAGTCATCAATGTAACGGAGGAAGAGGTGGGGTTTAGGGCCAGTGTAGGTATGGAAGAGGGATTGTTCTACATAACCTACAAAGAGGCAGGCATAGCTTGGGCCCATGCGGGTACCCATGGCCACCCCCTTTGTCTGTAGGAAATGAGAGTATAGGGACCAATGTTAGTTATATTTACATTAAAGATTTAGACTTAACTCAACAAGTGGACTCAATATAAAATGTACTAATGATACCAAACTGGGGATTCAGCCAACAAGGAGGAAAAATTCCACATAAAGTAATGAAACATTAGAAAACATGAAGACTGGGCAGCAAAGTGACAAATAAACTTTGTTATAGACAATTGTAAGGCGATGCACTTCGGTAGGAAAACAGAAATGATACCTGTGCCATTAGAAAATAAGAAACAAATGGGTAAAAAATCCAAGAAATCTAGGTATACAGGTATAAATATCATTTAAAATAACAATACAGGTTGGCAAAGCAACTAAAAGTGCTAACAAAGCACTGGAATTTATTTCTGAGGGTACAGAATTCTAAAGTGAAACTATGCTCACCTGGTAAGGTCAGGTGTATAGAATTGTATACGGATGTGGTCTCCATACCACAAAACAAACACACAAGGTCTGGTGAAAGTGAAAAGATCTATCAGTGTGGTTCCAGATCCAAGTGACTGCAGTTATCACAAAATATGTTTCTTATTTCCTGAGAAAGGAGGCGAATTAGAAGTGACCTTCAAATCTTTAGACCATCTTCAGTGGTCTTTAAATTGCTGGATGAGTAGATGGGGAGAGAACTTTCCAAAATAAGGGGCCATCATTGCAAGATAGTCACTAATAAATCAAGAGGGTATTAGAGGGAAGTTTTGTTGCACAGAGAGTGGTTTGAATGTGACACTTGTAAACTTGTAGGCAAAGTAATTTAGGCAAATAGAAGAAGAGAAATACATGAGGGAAAAGAAAAGATATATTGAAAGTTTGAGATGTGACAGATGGAATGGGAGCAGACTTGTGTGGAATATAAACACCAAGACAAAGCAGACAGGCTGACTGGCCTGTTTCTGTGAAGTATATTTTGTGTAATTATTTTCTAATGGTCAGCACCTTCATCCCAGGGAAGTTGAATGGATCAGGTAAATTAACTAAAGCTCTTTCACGTACAGGTGACCTACTGGATTGAAGGGGATGAGAATTCTTCTCGGGTCATAAAAACGACTACTCCCTCTGCTGATCTGACCAATCTCTACCCATATTGTGACTATGAGATGAATGTTTGTGCCCACAACTCACTAGGTTTTGGGCCCCACTCGGAGGTTGTTCAGTGTCGCACACTGGAAGACTGTAAGTTACCTCAGAACTATTATCAAGAAAGAAAGAGCCTATACTTCTATCATGCCTTTCATGATCTTAGGATATTGCAAAGTGCTTTGATGCCAATGAACGGTAATCACTGTTGCAGTTTTAGAAATGTAGCTTCCAACCTCTGCACAGCAAGCTCCCACATGCAGCAATGTGAAATAACCAGCTTTAGTGATAGGAGTTGAGGGATAAATATTGGCCTCTGGAGCATAACACCCCAGCTCTTCCTCAAAACAGTGGCCACGGGATCCTCTACAGCTATTTGGAAGAGCAGTTAGGATCTCAGTTAAGGCCTCAGTTTTACATCACATCAGAAAGATAAAATTAACTCCTTACATGACTATTATTTACCATTCAATTGGACATTGCACAGGGTTTCTGTTGGCAGACAGGAGGTGATCATGTTTCTGGTAGATTCTGCATTGGCCTGTGAAGAACAGGACAGAAGCTCTGCTGTGCAGTGTGACAGATCTTCCTTCCCCAAAATCTACTTGGACCAAGGGTGTGGATGTGTCTTAGCATCTTTTCTCCTTCAGTCCCTTGCCTCTGCTCTCTCTAGCCTCAGCTCTAGAAACAGGTGCAAATAGTTTCTGAATTCAATCATCATTATGTTAGGAATTATTCATTCATCTTCAATCGTATAGGAATTGGTTAGACTGCAGCTGGAGTACTGTATGTAGCTTCAGTCTCCTTACTAGGCATGGCATGACTGAGCTACGAGGAGAAATTAGGCAAACTGGGCTTGTATTCTCTGGAGTTTTAAAGATGAGAGGTGATCTCATTGAAAGCTACAAGATACTTCAAGCAGTAGACTGGGTAGGTGCAGATAGGTTGTTTTTTCTGGTTATGGAGTCTGGAAACAAGGCACATAATTTTAAAATAAAGGCGAAGCCACTCAGAACTGAGATGAAGCATAACCTTTTCACTCAGACAGTTGTGAATCTTTAGAACCCTCAATCGCAGGGGAGTGTGGAAGTGTTTTGTTTAAATTAGAGATTGACTGACTAATTTCTAAATATGAATGATGTAAAGGAATATGAAAATAGTGTGGGAGAAAGACTCTAAATTGGACGATCAGCCATGGGCTCATTAAGCTGAAAGGCTTCCCACTTCCCCCTCACCTCCTAAGGCAAATTTCCCTCCCAACCATTGGTCCCTGAGCAATACTAACCATTAATTCTCCATCTCATTTTCCTCCAGCTTCCTTTCTCACACTCTTCAACCTCATCCATCAGGTCTAACTTCTGTTCCCTCAACTCCTCTAACCTTCTGGCTGCCCAACTTCCCTTCTTCAATCCATGATAGCTAACATTAGAAATAATCTCTCCTTGCTGGTTATTATGCATTTCCTTTTAAAATAACTGGCGAGACCATCTCAAAATTCCACCATCAACCTCTCTGTTGTCTCTAATTACAAGGTCAGAAGTCAGGCAACACCAGGTTATAGTCCAACAGGCTTATTTGAAACCACAAGCTTTCAGAGCATTGCCCCTTCAACAGGTGAAGTGAGAGAGAACTACAGGCACAGAATTTATAGGTCGAGAATTTAAAGGATCACACAAATGGTGTGAGTGGAGTGTCGACAGGCCGAATAATAGGTTTCTGCGGGTGATCATGAGTGTCAGATGGTGTGAGTAATGGAGGGGATTGTACTTGCAGCTGTTTAGGTCACAATCTGGAAAACCCTCATCATGGCAACTCTTACTTTGCCTTTGCCTTAAGATCCTTTTTTTTAATTTATTCGTGGAATGTGAGTGTCATTGATGAGGACAGCATTTAAAACCCATCCTTAAATTCCATTGAGAAACTGTTGGTGAGCTTTTTCATGAGTTGCTGTAGTTTGAGGTAAAAGGCATACTCAATATACTGTTAGGGAGGGGGCTCCAGTACTTTGATCCAGCGTTGAGGAGGTAATGGAAATATACTTGCACATCAGGATGGTGTGTGACTTGGTGGAGAAGGTCGTGTTCCCATGTATCGTATCTGTACCCGTTGTTCATCCAGGTGGTAGAAGTCACAGGAAAGAGCGATCAAAAAAGATATATTCACATTCCATCATGTGGATCGAGAACACTGCTGTCTCTGTACAGCACTGGTGAAGGGAGGGAATGTTGAAGTTGGTGGATGGGGTGCCAACTGAGCGGGCTGCTTTGTTCTGGATGATGTCGAGCTTCTTGGGCTATTGCTGGAGCTGCACTTGGCATTCCGTCACACTCCTGACATGTAGATGGTGGACACTGGGGAGTACAATATGAGGAAAACTAATGCTGATATTCTTATTGTCTCCTTTTAGTACCAAATGAGCCGGGACGATTGGCATTCAATGTCATTTCACCAACTGTGACCCAACTGAGCTGGGCCGAACCTTCAGAAACCAACGGGGAAATCACAGAGTATGAAGTCACTTACACTGTGGTGACTGATGAGAATAGTAAGTACCTCTCAAAACAGGGAAAAACTCCAGACATATACTCAGAAGCATTTGCATGATCAAATTTCTAGGTGCTTCGTGATGAGTGTGTCTGGGGTTTGCCCTCTTTCATGAAGCTTTAAGTGTGCATACCTTTCTGCTACGATCCTGAGCAAGAGGACAGGCTGGAACGTCCGAGTTTCTGACTGTTTTGTTTGCTACGTGTTGACAGAGCCCATTGGACCTAAAAAGACGGTGAAAATCGATAAGCCAAAGAAGCGGATGGTAATGATCGAGAATTTGAAAGCCGAACAGCCATATCGGTACACAGTGCGAGCCAAGAATGGCGCTGGTTGGGGACCTGTCCGAGAAGCCACAATGAACCTCTCCACGCAGCCAAAACGGCCAATGTCCAGTAAGCGAACAGTCTCATGCAGAGTATTGAACACTCAGTCAGAGAATTAATACACACACACCAGGGAGATCACCACCTCTAGGCAATGGACACTAGATCCCACTGAGTAATGTTGCCAGGTACCTCCTTGTATATGAGGTGATCTCAACTCACTGCGAGAAACGGGTCCAGCTCTCATAGTGAATCATCATTCAGCTCATAAACCAGCAACCCATTCCCCAGGTCCATTCATCACAGAAAAAAAAACATCTTGCATCCACAAGATCTGCCTTGACCCAACATGAGGCCATCTTCCCTCTAAATTCTGATCAGTCTATCTCACAACCTCTGCCTGTTGGTCAGGTGTTTGAGTCTTCACCCATTGGGACCCTCCACTCCCTGCCCACCCATACTAAAGAAGTCATGAAAAAACATTGTAATTTGAAAGAAGGATATTTTAGCCAATTTTAATATGTATTAGTTTGGGTACTGCTGTAAACATAAAACCCAGTCCCGGTATTGATGGCCGTAGAAGCTGTTTGTAATGCAGCGATACAGGTTGATTATCAACATGCAAATCCTTCCAATGCATTGATGGCAGACAGTAAGAGCTGGAGAGTCTCCTGGTCAGAAATACTTAATGTTGCAATGCCCCTCATGCTATGACTTGAGTCTGGTAACATGTAAAAAGCCCATGCTGTGTTGGCCTCATTTTCACTAAACATAGGAAATCTGTCATTGTTCCCAAAGAACAAGAGACAGCCAGTGAGATGAACTGGCATAGTTCTGTGCTGTGATGCTACACACAAATTTATCTGATGCTGATAGCACTGAAAATACATTTTAAGATTCAAAGTTGTGTTTGCCGTTTGTATTTGTTCCAAAACTAAAATGAGAAATTTTTCTAAAAGCTTGTGGCCATAACATTGAAAATCTCTGCCAAAGTGAACCAACGGCTTATTTAATTGTCTGTCTCTGCCACCCACAGTTCCCATCATTCCAGATGTTCCGATTATTGATGCCGAAGCACACGATGAGTATGAGAACTTCCTCATGTACAGCTCAGATGTAATGCGATCACCCAGACCGAGCACTTCTGATGACTTAGGTATGACCTTCATTTCCAGCACCTCTCTGCTTTAATTACAATCACATTACATCAGAGGCAACCATCTGAAACAGCAGTGTCGAGACCACAGCTTGTGTACAACGGGCCATAAGTAAATGTGGACAAGGAAAATACCATTCAGCTCATCAAGTCTAGTCCATAGATGACTGTTCTATCATGGACAACCCCCACTACTTGACATTTGTACCTTCCCTACTTTAAGCAGTAATGGATCCTCCTCCTTTTCAAATCTGTCAGAGACACTCTTCAGGTTTTAGTGTTAGTACATAGTATTTATACAGTTTGAAACCCAAACCACAAGTTAAGTTCCATTTATGTACAGGTCTAAATTTTTGAAGATAACATTTGTCTTTTCTATTTATTACTTACGTGCAGAGAAAGGTGTGCATTCAGAATGTTTAATCATTGTTCCAGATTCCCTGCTCCAGTAATATTCACAGTTAAAGCATCAGACTCCTAGATCAGATCCCCAGAGAGTAATCTTTAAACACTCTTTCACGGTAAAAACACTTTCCATTCACTACTCATCTTTCTCTTCTGCTGCTAAGGATATTCATTGAAGCTGAACCATAATACCTTGTTCAGGATATCCCAATGCAATTTCAATATGAAATGTTACTTTTGGAAGTGTGGTCACTTGTTACATTGGAGATAGTAAGGACTGCTGAGGCTGCAAGTCAGAATCGATAAAATGTAGAGCTGGAGAAGTACAGCAGGTCAGACCACATCGGAGGAGCAGGAAAGTCACGCTTCAGGTCTAGACCCTTCGTCAGGACTGGGGAGGGGGAACGGGGCTCAGAAATAAATAGAGAGGGGGGCGGGGGGCGGGGGGAAAGGTTGCTGGGATGATGATAGGTGGATTGCGGAGGTGTTTTAGTGGAGATTGGTCATTGAGAAGGGTGGAGCAGATAGGTGAAGGAAGATGAACAGGTTGTATCAGGTCAAGGAGGCGGGGATGAGAGGGAGGGCTGGAAATGGGATGAGGTCGGGGTGGGGAGATTCTCCATGAATTGGTCACCAAGTGTGCGCTTGGTCTCCCCAATATAGAGGAGACCACATCGGGAGCGACGGATGCAATAGGCCTGATTAGAAGAGATACAGGTGAATCTCTGCCAGATTTGGAATGATTGTTTGGGGCCTTGGACGGAGGTGAGAGGGGAGGTGTAGGGGCAGGTGTAGCAGTTCCTGTGTTGCAGGGAAAGGTACTGGGTGTGGTAGTAAAGTTGATGGGGAGTGTGGAGCTGGCGAGGCAGAATGAGTGGTCCCTAGAGAAAGCAGATAGGGGTGGGGAGGGAAATATCTTTTTGGTGGTGGGGTCTGATTGCAGATGGCAAAAATGGCCAAGGATGATGCATTGGATTTGGAGATTGGTGGGGTGGTATGTGAAGACTAAGGGGACTCTATCCTTTTATTGTTGATGGGGTGAGTGGGTTTGAGGGCAGAAGCATGGGAAATGCAGGAGATGCAGTTGAGGGCATTATGAATCATGGGAGAGTAGAAATTATGGTCCTTGAAATAGGAGGCGGTCTGGAATGTCTAGCAGTAGAACTCTTCATCCTGGGAGCAGATGTGGCCGAGAAAATGGGAGTATGGGATCGCATTTTACAGGAGGGTAGGTGAGAGGAGGTGTAGTCGAGGTAGCCGAGGGAGTCAGTGGGTTTGAAATGGATGTCAGTGCTAAATCAGTTTCCGGAGATGGAGACAGAGAGGTCCAGGGAGGGCAGGGAGGTGTCAGAGATGGTCCAGATGAATTTGAGGTCCGGGTGAAATGTGTTGATGAAGTGGATGAACTGTTCGAGTTTCTCGTGGGAACATGAGGCAGCACTGAATCAGTCATCAATGTAGCGGAGGAAGAGGTGAGGGATGGTGCTGGTTTAGCTGCAGAAGAGGGACTGTTCCAAGCATCCTACGAAGAGGTAGGCATAGATTGGACCCATGCGGATTCCCATGGCCACCCCTTTGGTTTGTAGGAAGTGGGAGGAATCAAAGGAAAAATTGCTGAGGAACCATCCTTCACCTCTTCCCAGGATTGTAATTTCCTCTGTCCCATAATTCATAATGCCCTCAACCAATCTCCTGCACTTCTGCTCTCAAATCCCCTCCTCCCAACAATAATCAGGATAGAGACCCCAGGTCCTCACATACCACCCCACCAATCTCCAAATCCAATGCACCATCCTCGGCCAGTTTTGCCATCTGCAATCAAACGCCACCACCAAAAGATATTTTCTTCCCCACCCCTACCTGCTTTCCGTAGGGACCACTCGCTTCACGACTCACTCGTCAGCTCCACGCTCCCCATCAACCTTACCACCATACTTGGCACCTTTCCCAGCAACCGCAGGAAGTGCTACGCCTGCTCTTACACCTCCCCTCTCGCCTACGTCCAAGGTCCCAAGCAATCACTCTAAATCTGGCAGAGATTCACCTGTATGTCTTCTAATCAGGCCTACTGCATCTGTTGCTCCCGATGTGGTCTCCTCTATATCGGACAGACCAAGCGCAGACTCGGTGACTGATTCGCAGAGCATCTGCACAATGTACGCTCCATTCAACACCACCTTCTGGTTGCCAGCCATTTCAACTCCACCTCCCATTCCCTTGGTGACATGTCCATCCTGGGCCTCCTCCACTGTTAAAATGAGGCCACATACAAACTGGAGGAACAATACCTTTATATTCCGGCTCAGGAGCTTACAGCCCAATTGCCTCAACATACAGCCCACCAGCTTCAGAATCTCCCCACCCCCAGCCTCATCCCGTGTTCACTCCTGCCTCTCACCCCCGCCTCCTTGACCTGACACAATCTGCCCATCTTCCTTCTCACCTATCCGCTCCACCCTTCCCATTGACCAATCTCTACAATTCCCTCCCTGCACCCACCTATTATCATCCCAGCTACCTTTGCCCCAGCCTCAAACCCCCTATTTATTTCTAGCTCCCTTCTCCCTCCCCAGTCCCGATGAAGGGTCCAAACCCAAAACGTCGACTTTCCTGCTCTTCCGATGCTCACTTTTCACATTGTCTGGGCTGAACCAATTCTCAATCCATTTAAACGAATTTGCAAATTCCACAAGCCTTAACTTTTCTAGCTGATTTGAGGAAATTAGTCAATTTCTTTTTAAATCTACATACAGTAACTGAGAGAAGTCTGTGAGCTTAGTTTCCCACTCCAAGAATTCCAATAGGTTTGTAAGAAACAATTTGTTACTTCTCTACACATTGCTGGTTGCTTCTGATGACACATTTGAATCTTTGTTGCTAGCTTTCCGTTGAAGAATTTCTCCACTCTAGTTATGAGACAAACCGATCTGTAATTCTCAGCTGTGGATCTTATTCTCCTGTAACTGTGACTCCATCTTCCTCCAATGTCAGTCACTGCTCCAAACCTTACTAGAACTCTCCAGTCCAAGCTACATCCTAACTCATGTGGGAACCCAGTGTGTGTCCTGTGATTCTTGTTTCAACTTTGCACATTCTCCAAGAGTTCAGGATCACTCAGTCCATTTATTCTGTGAAACTTTACATATCCCTGTCCAGAGCCAGACTGAAACAGTTTTACCCATTTATCTTCAATATATTCACCCATTCTTTGATTTTCTTGTGTTTTTAACAATTTTGGGACTTACTGAGGCCTTCAGTGATTTATGACCTTTTTTTTCTATTCCTAGTGCTTTCTTCAGCAATTTCAGGTAAGATCGTAATCTTTTTTGCAAGAATATGAAAAAATCAGGAGACTTACAAAAGCCCACTCCATCAAAAGGCTCCAAAATCTTTGCTCTAATTCACAAATTCTCCGATATTCTGCTGCTGTAACCTGCTCAGGCTTCATGCCCCAACTACTCCCTCCACTCCTCTGTTTTGTGTCTGCACTCTCCCTGCTCTGTTTCTGGTGACAAAGCTTTTTACTGCCTTGGAATTCTTAAGTTCCTCCAACTTTCTCAAAAACATCTTTAACACTTACCACATTAGCTATTCATTCACTACATACTCCATTTCCATCCTGGCCCCCAGATGCTGGATCTTTTGGTTGCCCGATGAGGATGTTGGTAATTCTTGTGCTAATATTGCTGTTGATGATGAGAATGTTGATGGTTAAGTTCCTGGCATTATCCTCGTCACTCCTTGTGATCTCCTACTTTAAAGTCTACATGATTCTTTTCCTGAGTTCCAAACACAAAAAAAAGGTGCTGATAATATTCCCACAGCTCGCAATGTTTTTCTCAACAGATACAAAAAAGAAGCCCCTTTTTACAGATAACATAAGTGCTGGTTATCAGACAAGATATTAAACAAGGGCCCTCTGCCCATCTCTTATTTTAAAAAATATTTCCTGGAATATGGGCGTCACTGGTAAGGTCAGCATTTGTTGCCACTCTCTAATTACCTTTAAACTGAGTGACTTGTTATGCCGTTGCAGCAGACAGGTTTGGAGTCAGCCACATTGCCACAGGTCTGGAGTCGCATGTAGGGCCATATAAGCATGGCAGATTTCCTTCCCGAAAGAACATTATGTACCAGTTTTGCTTTTACAACAATTATTAATGGTTCCCATTGCCAAGACTGAATTTCAAGCTCAGATTTTACGATTGAATTTAAATTTAATTTAGACTCCTGATTCCAGAGCATTAGCCATGGCCTCTGGATTACTGGTTCAGCATCATTGTCACTAATACCACCCTCTTTGACAGAGACTTGTCCTGGTGTCCTGGTCAACATTTCTCCTTTAAGTGGCACCATGAAAACAGATTTGTTTTCTGCTCATGGATCTCATTTGTCACATCAACAACAAGGGCATCCAGCAAAATGTACCAGGCTGGGTGCTAATTGGCTGCATTTTTTAACATGAGACACCTTGAAAAGCAATTAATCAAATGTGGGATGGTGTCTTGAAAAGTAATTAATCAAATGTGGGATGTTTCTAGGATAGCCTGAGGGAATAACAAAGTGTTATGATATATGTAAATTCTTTTCGTCTTTCAAGCTAACTTCTCTGGGAGTCTGTTCTATAATCCTAATGGGAATAGGCCTTGCTTGGATCTTTTGATAGTTAATACATATTCTCTGGTGTTACGTTCATTGTCTAATTTAAAGAGCTTCCTACTTTCAATTTCATCCATAACCTTCCTATTTTAAAGACTTGTATCTTGTTAGCTCCTTTTTGAAGTAGAACCTTCTAGCATCAATCCTAAATTTCTGTTTTGCTGTTGGAGCTTGTACTTCTCAAATGGTTTCAGTTTGAAGTCATGTTTGTGTTTACTTTATCATGCAGTTCGTTATATGCATTCTACAGGGACAGATCTCTGCTTTCTTCTTTCTCCTTCCTCTCATTTGGGATTAAGGTCATTTTTCCTCTGTGCATCACTTCTAGCATTTGAGTATCTCCTTTGTGTTTTTATTAGACCTGAAATGGCCACAGCAGCTAAGGCACAGTCTGATCAGAGCCGTGGACAGGTTGTCCCAGAGCTCCCCAGACTTGCACAGCGCTGTTTTGACTATAGGGTACAGCTCCATGTTTTGCTTGTGAACTAAACTACAGCTCAGGAACTGGGCACAACAACTGTTCCATTGATGTAACACTTTAACACAGCCAAACCTCTTGAGGCACTTACAGTCATAGAGTCATTGAGATGTACAGCATGGAACTTCACAGAGAATTATTGATTATAAATTTGTCACTGAATCACAATGAGATATCTGGACAGATGATTAAAAGCTTGCTCAGGGATCTAGATCTAGAGGGAAATTAACTGGCAAAGAGGCCAGAGAGGGAAGCTGGAACGTCAGAAAAGTAGTGGGAATAGAGTTAAAGGATCAGAAGATGAGATTCATGAATGTAGCAAATTCAGAGACCGCCTGATAGGAGATGGTTAGAATCTAGAGAAAAATTTGAATTCTGAGAATTTGAGAGATTTGGCACATTGGCTGGGAGAAACAATGGAAGTGGCAGAGTCAACTGAACAGATGTCAGCTGTCTTTGTGACAAAAAGACACCCACAAATTCCTCACATTTGTTATTGGACATGAAGTTGGAGGAGCAGGGGAGGGTGCTTTAAAATGGCTTCAATATTACAGCTTAAGTTTTGACAGGATAAATGCTGAGAAGTTGCTTCTTTTGTTCCTAGGCTGTTCCAAAGAGGGAATGCGAAAACTAGAAACAGGAGTAGGCAATTCAGCCCCTTGAACATGCTCCATCATTTAATACGAGGTGAGACCAGTCATGACCATATTAAATGGCAGAGCAGGCTTAAGGGCTGAATTGCCTATTCCTGTCCCTATTTCTTATGTTCCCCTTGTGTAAGAATCTAAGACGAAAGGGCATAATCTCAGAGTAAGTAGTCACCCATTTAAAGCAGCACTGAGGACGAATTTCTCCTCTTGGAGGATAATGAATCTGTAGAATTCTTTACCACAGAGGGCTGTAGAGGCTGGGTCACTTAAGGATATTCAAAGCTGAGATAGACAAATTTTTAATCGGCAAGGGAATCAAGGCAAGAAAGTGGAGTTGAATCCTATCAGATCTGCCATTATTTCATTGAATGGTGGAACAGATTTGATGAGCCAAATGGCCTACTTATGCTCCTCTGTTTTATCGTCTTAAAGAAGTGAAACTATCGGTTATTTTTACATTCCAGAGAAATCCTTTTCAGCAGTTTAGTCTTAGCAACGGAGAGTAGAACCTAATAGTCCAAATGGATATGGTGATGGATGGCTAAGACAGTTGTTCATCATAGATATCCCAACCTGGGAACTGAATATTCTTTTAAAAAATTCCGAGATTTGGTTCAATATAGTCCTTGGCTACTAGACACAATAGTAGCCTAATTTGCTATCATTTGTAAATTTGAACAGTTTGTGTTGAGCTTTACTGTCCAGGTTGTTGGAACAATCTGGAAACACTGAGGCTGGGCCAATTCCCACAAAGAAGCATCCTTCAACTTTCCAGGTAGTTTCTTCATCAGTTCATGCTTTTAGTATCCCTTGAATCACCACAGCTTTAAATTTAAATGGTAGTCTCTGGTGCTGAGTTTTGTTACATTACTTTCGAAGTGAACAATCCGATTGGAATGACACTTTCTCAAAGAATCAAGGTGGTTGTTTAAGTAGATTCTGAATATATGTTGCCTCCTGTTCTCATCTTCAGGTTTATTCCTGATAATTGATTCTATTAACTTAGACTGTACTCGAGCAAAATAACTGGGTGTCAGTAGCGAACTTGTACAAAAGCAAAATGCTGTGGATATTAGAAATCAGAACTAAAAGCAGATAGTGCTGGAAATAGTCAATACGTCTGACCATATCTGTGGAGAGAGATGCAGAATTAACATTTCAACTTAATGGTCCTTCATCAGTCTGTTTTCTCTCTGCAGATACTGACAGACATGATGAGTATTTCCAGCATTGTCTGTTGCTATTTCAGTCATTACCTAGTTTTGAAAATTGGTAACATATTACCTTTATCTAAAGTTCAGAGGTTTCCCCATTTATTGACTCCCTCATAATGACCATTGATCCTTCTTAATTCTCTGTATTTGGGGTCATGCATGTATGGGAAGGTGTATGTGTGTATGCGCGCAGTTGTGTGCATGCATTCCTGTGTGTATAGATATATTTGTGTACACATGCCATGCACACAGTCCTGTGTAGTGGTTAGGTACCTCTCTCTATTCAAGCCGGTCTGTTGAGTGTTTCCCGTCTGACATTGGTAGGTTAGGTTTGTGCATATGGCCTTGCTGGGCTGATGCTGAACCATTTTCTGGGATTATATACCAACACGAGTCATTAACTTGTTCTGCAAGGCTCCAAATGGCAACATGTCCAACTGCTGGGCGATGATTTCGATGGGCGGAAGGTAACGTGGCAGCTACCAGTGGAAGTGATACCCCGCCTTTCCTGTAGCTCTTCCCTGACGCATGCTTCCTCAGACATTGAGAGCCTCCTCTCCGAAGACACTGAGTATTCAGACACCATGAGGAGGAAGGCTACGCCCCAAACACAGGAAGGTCAAGGTGAAGATCTCACAATGCTTGTTTCATTAACATACTTGTATTTCTGCGCAAACTTCTCAGTGGTCTGAGAAACCTGCCTCCCATCCTTACTGAGTACACTCCTTTTAACTGAACAGAGATGCATGCAGAAGGGGTTAAGGATCTGTTAGCACTTTATGCATGCTGCTGGGGTCAGTTATTTTTATTGTGCAAATTCAAATGTTACATCTCATACCAAATGGACATTGTTACCGCTGCTTACAAAGTGCAAGCAACATACAGACTCTCTGGGAGGCAGGGACTGCAGCCTCTGAATAAATATTGTGGGACAATAGGGCTGACTTCAACTCCCAGTGGGAGTGAATGGCAGTCTGACGTGGTCAGTTTGTGATGGTAATCTTTAACAGCTGGTCATCTATCTCAGAGGGAAACCAATGACTTTCTGTCTGATCAGCCAGAGGAGGGGTAGTGATCACCGAGTGGTTTGGAGGCACCAAAAGAGGGCTAGTGGCAGTGAGGTAGGTGAGGGCGGGCTAGAAGGAAACTGCTGTGAGGACCCTGCAACTGCGTGGGCTGGGTCAGGACACTGCTGCCCAGAAGAGCACTCCTGCCCTGATTTTTAAATTGACTCTGGTCTTCTGTTTTACCTGACCGTATTGGAGGGACATACATGTGACCCATGTATGGCATTTGCTGACAGAAATGGGAAACTATTGGTTCAAGTGGCAGATGGAGCCACATTTTTTCTCACTGATCAGGAAGAGTCAAATTTGCCTGAGAGAATTTGAGATTCAAGTGGCTACTGATGTCTGGATATATACTTGACTATACATGTAAGGTCATGCCTCAATGCTACAAGATCGTTGTAAAGCATTTAATAAAATACAAAGTGAAAGTTCGTAGCCTGAGATGTACCTCTATAATCAATGTTCTGTGGCAACCAGGTCTTCTACTCTCTGCAGGCCTTCCTCTTCTGTCATTCAGAAATACTTTGCCAGTTTAGAGGGATTTGAACTCCTTTCCTCTTTGATCTGTGTAATGATTGTGCTACCTCTTTGTCCATGTTGTCATGTGCTTCATTCAACAGTGAGTAGAGTGTACACTTCAAAAGTATTTGCTGTAATGCTCTTTGCTGAGATCTGAGGTTGTGAAAGGTGCTATGTAAATGCAAGCTTTCTCTTTCTTTACTTTTCCTCATGATCATATGAGCTAGTACTGAGATACTAGCACAGATAACAGATATTGGAGAGATTTGTTGGTCAGCACCTTCCAAACCCACAGCCACTTCCATTTGGAAGGACAAAAGCAGCAGATCCGTGGGAACACCACCACTTGCACACTGCCCTCCAAGCCACTCACCATCCTGGCTTAGAAATATATCATTCCCTCCCCAACTGCATTTTGGGTATCCCCACATCAATTGGGCTGCAGCGTTCAAGAAGGAAGCTCACCACCACTTTGTCAAGGGATTGAGAATTAGGAATGGGTAATAAATGCTGGTCCAGCCAGTGATTCCTACATTCCATGAACATACTTTTAAAAAATATGTCTAGAAGGATAGTTAGGAACTAAACAAGGTCTGAGCACTGTATGTTGTAAGCAATTTACTCAGCATGATTCCCAACCTCAACTCATGTTGACTGTGAACCAAATGGACTGTGCTTCTTTAGTGCAATCTCATTAACCCTAATTGTTGAATTTTCTTTCCTGTTTCTCCCCTGTGTTGACTGTAAGTACAGCTGTGATGTCACATTGATGGTTTGATTGATGTTTGCACATACATTCCAATACACGGACCAATCTCTCAAAATCAGCAGGTTCACTCTTCTTCCCACTGTCCTCCATTGCTCTAAACCCAACAGAATCCATACTCCCAAATGTTACCATCCTCCAGTGGAACAGTGAGTTCCAACTCTGAAAACCCAAACTGCAGAGGCCTTCATGACAGTAGGTTTTCACTAAGTTTAGAAAAGGCATTGGCACAAGGTTTACTTCTTGGTAACCCTCACTTTGCAGCTGATGTCCAAAAATATATTGAATATTAATGGATCAAGGGTAAAAGGTGGAGTGGTGCTGGTGCTCAGGTGCAGTGACTTTGATACTGAGACAATACTTGCTGATGCCCGCTGCTGGGTAGAATTCTAGATTGCTTTACTGAACACAATTTTTCTCCTTTCCCCACAGATATGCCGATCAACGGGAAATGGGAGATGAACTCTCTTTTCCCTGGCAGTGCCAACAGCACCCTCAATAGGAGCACCCTCACCACGTACAACCAGCAATATACCAAGTTGATGGAAGTCTCCTCCATGTCCTCGGACACTCACACTAACATGATGTTGGGACAGGGTCAGTATGAACTATGCCAGTGTGTAACACACTGTGTGCTCAAATCATCTCCCCTCCTATGTCTGAATCATAGAGATAGGCATTTCTGGGATTTGATTTGTTGTAACTTTTGAGAGAAAGCTAATCTAAATGAATAATTTATGTAAGAATTTCATGCATTTTATGCTGTAAAGACACTGACTCTTGCTGCCTCATAAATAATGAGCTGGCATTCATCTAGTGCCTTCCACATCCACTTTGCATTCCACAGCCACTGGGTCTGTTGAGACACAGGTCTGTTGAGACATGCAGTGTTATCATGTGGAGTAAAGTGTATGCCAACTGCCCTCCAGTTCGGAGACCGTTCTTCGTATGTGAACCCCAGCAGTTAATCCTAGCTGTACATTCAATCACAGCAGGCATCAGCCAACAACCACATGAGTACACTTTCTGTCACTGGTTAAACCTGAGTTTAGAGTATGTGACAGACTATGGCCAATACACTTCAGGAAGTGTCAAGATTGGAGTGGCTGCAAAGGAGATTTATTAGAATAGTACCAGGAATTAAGGATTTCAGTTATAAAACTGGTATTGTTCTCCTTAGAATAGAAAAGACTATGGGGAGGCTATGAAAGATGTTGACAGAGTGTTTAGGGAAAAGGGAATTGGGTAAAGACTTGAAGGAGGCAAATTTGGACAACTACAAAGAAAGAGCAGGATTACTTTCAAAGAGCTAGCACCACCAAGACAAGCCAAATAGCTTCCTGTTGTGCTGTGTTATTCTGCAGTGTGATCAGGAGCAGGAACTCTGATAGATATCACCCTTCTTCTATGGAGGGGAAATAGGCACCTGAGACAATTGTACTGTGCTAGTGGGCAGAGAAATCCTTTCTCACCTGACTCTCTGGTTGGGAACGTATGTGAGGCTCCATTATACACATGAATAAGCTGTTCTGTCTATTCTCTCACAATCACAATGCCTTAACGGCTTTAATTACAGCATTGTCTCGACTCTCAGGATCATTTCAAATCTAGGAAAATGCAAACTACAGATAAAAAGCCAATTTAAAAAAAAGTCTGTAAGATTCCATTCTGACACAAATCCAGAAGATCACCTTGATGTTATAGTGCTAAAAATCATTGTCTGGTGGAATTTGACAAGACAGAATGCAGTTAACATCCTGAAATCTGTACACAGTACTGGCAAATGCAGAATCCATGCATAGAGAGTTCCTCTGTTTTTCCAGCATCTCCCCTGGACTGGATGGTTGAACACAGCTGGTGGACATGTTTTGCTCCTGCACAATTTGTGATTTTTTGCTTTCATATGGTCCACGTGCTTGTTCAGGACCATCACACCTACCCGAACTTTATACGTGACTGGACTTGACCTCGCATCAATCATGCCTCTTACCCGTGCAAGGGCCATTCCTGTGGTTCCAACACCAAACTCCATCCCTGAAGTAAACTGTCTCTCTGTTAATGGAGTCTAGAGTCTAGCATTGGCGTTCTTGATGCCATTTCATCCACCCCTCCACATCCCCAAGTTCTGGGAAGATCAGATTTAATCTGGTGCGGATTGTTCTCCCCATTTAAAAACTCTGCTGGAGCTATCCTGTAGTTATAGGAGGGGTGATCCTGTAATCAAATAGAAACTGGGACACTTTGATATCAAGCTGTAGGCTGTTTCTTTAAGCCTGCCTTCAAAGTTTGGACTGCTCTTTCTACCAGATCATTGGATGATGGTTGGTATGGAGTTGTCCTTATATGTCGAATACCATTCAACTTTAGGAAATACTCAAATTCCCTACTGGTAAATGATGGCCCATTATCTGTGACTAACACTTCCGGGAGTTTGTGTTGCAAAGGATGCACGCAGTTTTTCTATTGTTGTCCCCGTGTTTGACAAATGAACTCTATGCACAACCAATCACTTTGCGTGGGCGTCCACAATGACTAAGAACATTTGAGCTTATGAAAGAACTTGCATAGTCGTCCTGTGACTGAGTCCAGGATTTACTGGGCCATTCCCAGAAATGTGGAGGAGCTGCTGGCAATAATTTTTGTCCTTGTTGGCACTCTGGGCAGTGCCCCATCCATGCAGCTATTTATGCATCAAATCCTGGCCACCAGACATAACCCCTGGATATCCCTGGTGGAGTTCAGCCAGTATCTGGCATCAACCTTTACTTGGAACAATCACTCTTGTTCCCCATAATAATATGCCATCCTTTACTGTGATCTGATCTCTCCAGGTCCAAAAAGCTTTCAATTCTGGTTGTGATGGCTCTTTGGTTTTCCCCACCACCACCAGCTGCTTCAATTTTGCCAGGACTGGATCTTTCTGTGTCCAAAATCTTATATGGTCAGCTGTGACTAGAAGTGTGCCATTACGGACTCTTCCACTGGCAGTGCCACCATTGGTGTATCTGCCAGCGGGAGGTAGCTCGGTGCATTGGCATTTGCTACTTGGCCTCCTGGACAGTGTTCCAACTTGCAATTATACACACTTCATATTACCCCTACACTGAATTCGACCTGAAGCCATGAACGGCACTGCCTTGTCCTCTTTACCTAGACCTAGCAGAGGTTTGTGGTCCGTTATTAAGTACAAATTTACATCTGTAAAGGTATTGGTGGAACTTCCTGATTCTAAATATGACCACCAAACCTTCTTTCTCTGTCTGGGCGTACTTGCGCTCTGCATTAGCCAAAGTCCTGGATGAATATGCTTTTGGGCTTTCCTCTCCACTGAACCACCTATGAACTAATACTATGCTGATACCATATGGGAAGGCATCTCGTATCAATACCAGATCTCACTTGGGATGCCAACATCTTAGAGGATGACAGCAGTTTCTTCACTTCACTGAAAGCTATGGCTTGGCAATGCGACCATTTTCAAGGCTGACTGTTTTTAAGAGTTGTTGCAAAGATGCCAGGATGGAGGACAGGTTCTGTATGAATTTCCCATAATAATTCACACCGGTCCGGTACTGACATGGGAGTCGGGGCACCTTTGACCACTCTCATTTTTCTTCCAATGGGTGTAACCTGGTCTTGTTGACTTTATAGATCACTTGGGGTGCCTGGAACACACATTTTTCCTTCTAAGGTGTACACTCACCTGGGAGAACATCTAAGGACCATATCCAAATTCTCTAACTGATCCTTATTGGTCTTCCCTGTTATTGGCACATCATCGAGGTAAATGGTGACCTGGGGTAGACCCTGTTACATGTTCTCCATCCTCTGCTTAAAAATTGCACAGGCTGAAAATAACCCCAAATGGCAGTCTCGTACATTGATACAAACCCTTTATGGATGTTAATTGTAGCTTACTACTGGGAATCCTCATCTAACCATAATTGCAAGTATGCATGGCTCATGGCCAGCTTCATGAAGGACATCCCTCCTGCCAGCTTTGCACATAGATCATCTATGCAAGCGATTGGGTATTTAAATAGCTTTGAAAAGGGATTTACCGTTTGTTTAAAATCCCCACAAAGGTAAACTGACCAGTCGGGTTTCACAATTGGTACAACTGCTGCTGCCCATTCCACAAACTGGAATGGTTTGATGGTTCCTTCGCTTTCCAGCCCTCTGATTTCTCCCTCTACTTTTACATTTAAGGCAAATGGCACCGGTTGGGCCTTGCAGAAATGTGGAATTGCTTCCTGGACAACATGTAAGGTGGCCTTGGCTCCTTTGATACTCCCTAGACCTTCCTGAAAAGCTTTTGGGTATTTAATTAGGATTTCACTCAGGCAACCATTTTCTAATTGAAAAGTATTGAGCCAGTCTAGGTAAATCTTTCTCAACTAATTCTGCCCCATCAAGCTTGGGACTGGGCCTTTTACTACAATCAGTGGTAACTGAACTAGCTGCTTCTCGTAAGAGACCGGAAACAAATTTGTACCCTTAATCTGTAAAGGTTGCCCCGTGTAGGTTCTCAGTCTAGCTGAAGTCTTGCACAAACTTATGGTTGGAATCTAAAGCGAATTTTGTTCAAGACTGGTTCTGCAATCACTGAAATAAGCATGCTGTTATCGACCTCCAATAGAACCAGGTGACCATTTAACCATATATTTATTTTGATTGGTTCTGATTTTGACGTTGCTAAGCAATTTAACTGTTCCAAACCAGATTTAGGTGGACGTTCCAGGGTTTACACTCTCCTGGATACCGGCTCATGGGTTCTCTTACTCAATTTAGGCCTAGTGGGATTGTTTTGCTGTTTCAAGTCCACATACCGATAGCAACTACAATGTCTTGCTAGCCCGGATCCTGAAGAAAATTTTAACCGTTTGGCCAAGGCTTGGCTTTGTTTTAGGGTTTTGCTGTGGGCTGATCTAGAGTCCTGAGTGGGGCTATGCAATTGTCTTCATTCAAGTGGTGTTCCCTAAGGACAATCAGATTGCTGAGAGTGTCAACTTCCATTGGAATACCCTGCAACTCATAACATCCACTTGCCACATTTTCCAATGATAAAGCCAGTTGTCGTGCATGCTTGAAGTCCAGTTAGGCTTTAGCTTGTAGGTGCTCTTGCATGATTTCATCATTAATCCACATACTAAATGGCTTCTCAGCATCTCATTAAGGGTCAAACCAAAGTCACATGCCTCTGCTTTCTTTGAGGAAGTGCAAAAGTTGATAGATGAGGGAAGGGCTGTAGATGTCATATACATGGACTTCAGTAAGGCGTTTGATAAGGTTCCCCATGGTAGGCTGATGGAGAAAGTGAAGTCACATGGGGTCCAGGGTGTACTAGCTAGATGGATAGAGAACTGGCTGGGCAACAGGAGACAGAGGGTTGTAGTGGAAGGGAGTTTCTCAAACTGGAGAACTATGACCAGTAGTGTTCCACAGGGATCCGTGTTGGGACCACTGTTTGTGATATACATAAATGATCTGGAAGAAGGTATAGATGGTCTGATTAGCAAGTTTGCAGATGACATTAAGATTGGTGGAGTAGCAGATAGTGAAGGGGACTGTCGGAGAATGCAGCAGAATATAGATAGATAGATTGGAGAGTTGGGCGGAGAAATGGCAGATGGAGTTCAATCCAGGCAAATGCGAAGTGATGCATTTTGGAAGATCCAATTCAAGAGCGAACTATACAATAAATGGAAAAGCCCTGGGGAAAATTGATGCACAGAGAGATCTGGGTGTTCAGGTTCATTGTACCCTGAAGGTGGCAACACAGGTCGATAGAGTGGCCAAGAAGGCATACGGCATGCTTTCATTCATCGGAGGGGGTATTGAGTACAAGAGTTGGCAGGTCATGTTACAGTTGTATAGAACCACATTTGACCGTCTTTCTAAAGTAAATAATCCTAATCTACTCTCTTCATAGCTAGTGCCCTCCATACCAGGCAACATCCTGGTGAACCTCCTCTACACCCTCTCCAAAGCATCCACATCCTTTTGGTAATGTGGCGACCAGAATTGTACGCAGTATTCCAAATGTGGTCGAATATTAGGGCCCCAAACCTCCTCTAATTGTGTGATGCTATTGTCTTTATTAGGCAATTCAAGAACCAAGGGAATCATAATGGGATTTTTGATTAGGTTGAGACGACTGGCAAAGAACAAAGAAAATTACAGCACAGGAACAGGCCCTTCGGCCCTCCAAGCCTGCGCTGATCCAGATCCTCTATCTAAACCTTACTTTAGAAAGACGGAGGTTGAAGGGGGACCTGATTGAGGTCTACAAAATCATGAGAGGTGTAGACAGGATGGATAGCAAGAAGCTTTTTCCTAGAGTGGGGGACTCAATTACTAGGGGTCATGATTTCAAAGTGAGAGGGGAAAAGTTTAAGGGAGATATGCATGGAAAGTTCTTTACCACCTCCGCTGGCAACACGTTCCAGGCACCCACCACCCTCTGCGTAGAGGCGGGCACGATAGCGCCATTTAAGATGTATCTAGACAGATACATGAATGGGCAGGGAGCAGAGGGATACAGATCCTTGGAAAATAGGTGACAGGTTTAGATAGAGGATCTGGATCAGCGCAGGCTTGGAGGGCCGAAGGGCCTGTTCCTGTGCTGTAATTTTCTTCGTTCTTTGTTCTTTGCCAGTCGTCTCAACCTAATCAAAAATCCCATTATGATTCCCTTGGTTCTTGAATTGCCTAATAAAGCCAATAGCATCACACAATTAGAGGAGGTTTGGGGCCCTAATATTCCGTCAGCTCTTGAAGCGTTCTAATATCTGGTGTTTCAGGGAAAGTTAGACTCCTAATAACCTAAAAAGCTGTGGGTCTACAAGCTGTAAGGAGAATTACTCATTGCTTTTTATCTGCCCTGAATGTCATTTGCCCGGAAAAAATAACATTCTTTCTACATCATGTGCCCAGTCTTTGATGGCAGGATCGAACAAGTCAAGCTTCCCATTTAATGGCAAGATATCAGAAATGCTTACCCCAATTCAAAGACAACTGTTGCAAGCAAATTTCTTCAGGAGCATGCTTTTCTCTTATCTTCACTGAAATAACTCCACAGAGACCAGTATCCCATCACCAAGTCACCCTTTATTTACATTCAGAGAGTCCTTGTCACTGATCCAGCTCCCTCACAGCCCACTCAGAGTGAACAGGATGTCTGACACTTCTGTTCTTATCTATCAGCCAGGGCTTCCTGATTGGACCAGATTAACAGCCTCAATCAGGGAACTCATATTCTATGAGGTCCACCTGACTGACCTCATTACAATCACCACAGTCTCCCCTCAAAAAAAATTTGAGGCTGAAGATCAATTTAAAATTTCAAAACTGCTGTTGATTGTTTTGTTATGGATTACAGAAGCATGGTAGGCAAGTAGAGTTAAGATACAGACTGTTCATTGTCGATCTGCATGACAATACAGGGTCAAGGGACTGCTTGGCTACCTCCTGTTCTTGTAAGCTGTCAGATTCTAACTCGGGCTGCATTAGTTAATCTCAGATGGACAGCTCTCTGGGTGAGCCTGAAGCTAAGAAGGGGCCAAAATCCTGATTGCAATCCAGTGAAAAGGTGCAGCTAAAGGTGCAGTGTCTATTTGACATTGGGTTTCAGAGTCAAATATACAGGAGGGACAACAAGGCAGAAACTGTGAAACTATACCCCAGTCGACAGCCGTACCTTCAGTGGAGGAGGATTGGAAGTCTTGGTTAATTGAGATAGAGGGACGGACTGCTCCAGTCATACTGTTCTGAGTTCCTGATGGATGTTTGTTTGCGCAGAATCACGAATGTATGGAAAGAAAGGGGTTAACTACAAGAACACACAGCAGATGGTTGGAGGGAGGAGACGCACTGAATCCGAGGATATAAATGCAGCTCTTGAGAACCTGGAGATGGTTCTACATGGTTAGACCTTATTTCCCTAAACTCTGATTCTTATTCACAATTATTACATCCACATTCAGAATAACTTGCATTCCAATCCATATTCATTATGATTGAAAATCCAAGTCAGATTGATTCAGGATCACATTCAGGATGATTCCCATTCAGACTGATTGAGATTCACATTTGAAATGATTCCAATTCTGATTTATTCAGTATCATATTCAGAATGATTGTAATTCAGATTGATTCAGGATCACATGCAGAATGATTCTGTTTCAGACTGATTGAGATTCACATGTGAAATCATTCCAATTCAGGTTGATTGAGATTCACATTTGGAATGATTCTAATTCAGATTGATTCCAACTTCGATTGATTCAGGTTCACATTTGGAATGATTTTAATTCAGACTGATTGCAATTCAACTTCAAAATGATTCCAATTCTGATTGATTTAGGATCACATTCGGAATGACTCCAATTCATATTGAGATTCACGTGGAATGATTCCAATTCAGATTGATTCAGCTTCACATTCAAAATGATTGCATTTCAGATTGATTTAGATTCATATTGAGATTCTGATTCAGTTTCGGATTTAAATTGGTTCATATTCAGACAATTTATATATATGATACGGAAACAAGAGAATGAAGGTAAGATTGCTAAATTTGCAAATGAAACAAGATAGGCAGGAAACTAAATTGTGAAGAGAACATAAGAAAACTACAAACTGGGCAAAAATCTGGCATATGGAGAGAATGTGGGAAATTGAAGAAAATGTGAAATTGTCCATTTTGGCAGGAACAATAAAATACGTTGTCTAAATGGTGAGTGATTGCAGAGCTCTAAAGTGCAAAACGATTTGTTCTCCATAAATTGCAGAACTTGAATATGCAGGTACTGCAAGTAATTAGAAAAGCTAACAGAATGTCATTGTTTATTGTCAGGGAAATTTAATACACATGTAAGGATGTTATCCTTCAGTTAGTGAGACCACATCTGGAGTACTGAGCACAATATTGGCCTTCTTATTAAACAAAAGATGGAATTGTGTTGAAATTAGTTCAGAGAAGGTTTACAAACCTAATACTTCAAATCAGTAGATTTGTCTTCTGAGGAGAGATTGGAACAGGCTGGGCTTGTAAGATGGAGGATGGGAGAAAATTATGACTGTAAGACTTGCTCCTTTTTTGAGGTATTTCCAGCGTTGGAACTGATTTCCTCAATTTCTTGGAGGAATAGTTACTGTTTTATAAGCTGTTGCACTATTTTGGAACTTTGGAAAAAGATCAAAACAAGATACTTCAAAACAAGAGAGGGAGCAGGGACGATGTGGGAGGCGAAAGAAAAGATCAGTGAACCTGCACAGCTGTCTGACCAGGCAGTGACCTTTCACAGCCGCTGACCAGGCAGTGACCTTTCACGGCTGACTGCCTATGCTGTTAGTTTCAAGTATCTCTGGACATCTGAGTTAGCTCTAAGAAAAATATACAAACAGCAAAATTCACGGTCTACCTTGGAGAAACTCATTATCGGAAACTCCTCACAGCAGGGGAACATCTAAGTACTTTAAGTCTAATCATATTCTATTTGTTTGTAAATCTATAATCGTGAATAGGGTAGTTTTTTATGTGTTTATTGAGATCTGTCTCTAGACTAGACTGTTCTTTTAAAATATAAAACATAGGTACCAAGTTACCCTAGGGCAGTGCTTTTTAGAGCAGCAAGACTGTCGGTTTCTGTGTCTGTGGATTGTTAAGGTGCAAAGATGACCTTTAGTGATGTGCTCTTCCTGTCTGATGTGGGAGATTAGGCAGAATTTCCGTGTTACTGATGATTATGTCTGCAGGAAGTGTGTTTGGTTATGAACCCTATCAGATAACATGGATATGCTGCAGTAGCAGTTAGGGGCAATGAGGAATTTACAGGGAGCAAGGGGGTATGATGGATGGCAGTTTCAGGAAGGTAGAAAAACTGCAGAAACAGTCAGGTAGGTGGGTTACCTCTAGGAAAAGTAGGAGAGATAGGCAGGTAGTGCAGGAGTCTCCTGTGGCTATCTCCATCTCAAACAAGTATGCTGCTTTGGAAAATATAGGAGGTGATGGATCTCAGGGGAATGTAGCACTGACAGCCAAGTTTCTAGTACTAAGAATGGCTCTACTAGAGCAAGGGGTACATCAGGTTCCATGCAATCGATTCTGACAAGAGACTCTCAAATCAAATCACAGACAGATGTTTCTGTGGCCAACAACGAGATACCAGAATGATGTGTTGCCTCCCTGGTGCCAGGGTAAAGGATGTCTCGGAGAGGGTGCAGAATATTCTCAAAGGGGAGAGGGACCAGCAGGAGGTCGTTGTACACATTGGAACTAACAACATAGGAAGAGAAAAGGGCAAGGTGCTGAGGAGGGAATATAGAATTTCTGTCTCTACCATGCTTACAGGCAGTGAGTTCCAGATTCTCAACCATCCTCTGAGTGAAAGCACTTTCCTCACATCCCCTCTAATCTTCCTGCCCCTTGCCTTAAAACTATGTCATTGATCTCTCCGCCAAGGGGAAAGTTTCTTCCTGTTAACCCTCTCTATGCCCTCATAATTTTATACATGTCAATCATGTCCCTTCTCAATCTCCTCCTCTCCAAGGAAGACAACCTCAGTCTGTCCAATCTCTCTTCATAACTGAGAAAGCAGAGTTAACATTTTGAGTCTGGTGACTCTTCATTGTAAGTTCTGAAGGCAACTTATCATTAAGCTGCATGAAGTGTCATTCCCCTTGTATATCTACCACCCATTGCACTCTCTGTAGACTGACAGTCATTTTAAGGACTTTATTCACTTATCATTTTATTAACATTTTCTACTTACTACAAATAAACAGACTCTAGCCATAGATAAATAATTATGAACCATCAAATAACTCTACTAGTTAAAAACTCTAACCCCACCCCCCTCAAACAACTTCCCTCTTACACATACAGACAGGAAAACAACATGGGTGTTATAGATGAAGGAAAAAACTGGGAAGCAGTTCAGTAGTCTTTGCTCAAGGAATCTGCTCAGATCATCCTTGTGTTGGTCAAAACTCTGCTTCTCAATCTCTCTTCTCTGGATGCTTGCACTGGTTTGCAAGAGGTTGGTTTGCAAGAGGTTGGTTCACACTTGTAAAAGATCTCTGACTTAACCAATTTAAAGTCACAATTTACACCAACTGTTAAAGGAAGAATAAGTTAGTTTTCTTCAGGCTTACAGTGGGTTTTACTGCAGAAAACAGAGAACTCCTGAGCTATGGCAGTCTAATGATTTCTTTTTATCTTGTTCACATCCCTCAGCTCCAGCTCATCTGCAAACTATACTTCAATTACTGCTTGAATAAGCAGGTGTATAAACAACATTTATAATAACTATCCAGGTTATTTGCTTTCAAAAATTCCAGTAGTCCTTCATTTTAAAACAGTTCTTTTCCAATTTCAGTACACAATTTAAAATATAGATAACTAAAAAGACAAGGTCTTTATAAGAGGTTGTTTCCCTTTGTGGGAAAGTTGAGGACCAGAGGGCATAATCTCAAAGTAAGAGATCACCCATTTAAGACAGAGGATGTATATTTCAGAAAAATGGAGTCGAAGATTAGCAGATCAGCTTAAAATCTCATTGAATAGCAGAGCAGACCTGATGTGCTAAATGATCTACTTTCACTCCTACTCTTATGGCATTCCCAATAGAAATGGGAAAAGCAATAATTTTTCATTTTAGAACAGTCTACAGCACAACTATTTAGATCCCAATATCTACAATACCCTTCTGGCAGTTTGGGAGACTCAGGGTCTGCACATGGTAAACTCAGAGATTGTTGCCATTGTCTTTAAGTGTAAATTTGTCACACCTTCTCCCCAATAAAACAATCTAAATCTTTTTCTCACAAACTGCACAAGTTATTGCAGAAGATACAACATGCCCTTCACATATCCTCAATTCAAAATTACTACCTAAAATATCGTAATCTTACAAACCTCATAAACAAACACCCTACCTGCCACGCTGATGCCAGATTTCCAGCATCAACCGCGACGCCCTGTGAAAATGGAAAAGATTTTGGATGACATTAGGCACAGTGTTGCCTGCTTGACAGTTTGATCGGTAGAGAAAAATGCAGGAATTGTAAATAGACCCACCCCAATCTGCTAATGTAATGTCAATTTTGCCAACATTGAAGTTCCAGTACATTTGGCATCAGTTAGCTGGCTATATCTTATAGGACATTAGACAAAGCCCAGGAAAGGGTGTTGTTACCTGTGAAGAAATTTAGCCTGTGTTTTAATCTTCAATTGATCCAAGGCTTACTCAATTGATTCCTGTTTTCCTCCCCAGAAAGCCGATCTCCTGGGATCCCAGATACTCCGACTCGCCTTGTGTTCTCTGCCCTCGGAGCAACCTCATTGAAAGTCAGCTGGCAGAAACCTCAATGTGACCGGAAGGTCATGGGTTATCGGGTCACGTACCAGCCTCTTCTGGGAGGTCAGTGCTGTCTCTCCACATTTCACGAACCACAGCTGTCACTGGGAGTTCCAGGTCTCACCAGTACTCATCAATGTCTGAATTTGTTCCCACCACAGTTTGATGGGTAGCCTAGAGCTTCACCAGTTGAGAACATCACAGATTAGAAATGTAAAATAATCCAATATGTTTGTAGAAAATTAGATGTAAGCAATTAGTGACTGTTGAACAAATGTTAGCTGTGTCTCTTCCTTCACCAACATTGCCAGGCTTGCTGTTTCTTTTCTGCTTGTGTTTCAGATTGATTGGTACATTGGAAGAGACAGGCAAATATATGCACAGAAGGGAAAGCATTCACAAAGAGACATATAAACATACACAAAGAGACTAACATCTATCCAGAGACAAAGGCATGGAATGATGCCCTCTGCTCCTAGGGCCATGCATTTAGGGCAGAGAGAACTGAGGTGAACTGGTATAGACCCTGATTGGTCTTGACAAGTTAGATGTGGAAAGAATGTTGTAGGTGAGTGCAGAACTAGGGGCCACTCTTTGAAAATTCGAGGTCACGCTTTTAAGACAGAGATAAAGTTAACTCTCTCAGAGGATTGTGTGATTTTGGAACTCTCTACCTTGGAAGGTGGGAGTGCCAGGGGTCACGGAATATTTTTAGGCAGGGGAATCGAGGGTTATCAGGGCAGATGAGAATGTGGAACTCAAAATGCAAAGATATCATTCATGATTTTATTGGGTATAAGGGATGGAAAATTTAAAACAGAGATGAGGAATTAATTCTTTCAAAGAGCTGTGAATCTGCGGAATTTATTACCCCAGAGCGTGGTGGACCCCAGAACACTGATTAAATTTAAGGAGGAGACAGACAGATTTTTAATTAGTAATGGATTAAAGGGTTATGGGAAGCAGGCAGAAAAATGAAACTGAGGCCAAGATGAGATCAGCTATGATCATATCAAATAGCGAAGCGGTATCGTGGGGCTGAATTGCTTACTCCTGCTCCTAGTTATTATGTCGGTAGGAATGGTAGGAATGAGGAGCCAAATGGTCTAATTCTGCTCCTTTTTCGTTTAGATCCGAGCTTGGCAAGAAGAGATCCATGAAGGACAAAATATTTTGTTCAAACAGGAATAGACAGGGGATAGGAAATTTACATATATAGGCAAAGACTATCAGGAGTACCATGCATACTGACAGAGAATATGAGAAGGAGGGGTGGTAATTGTTATTGAACTATGATTCTGGTCTAACCACAACATGATTAAGTTGAACTTTACTCACTGTCTCATGATGTTCCAGGTGAGACGAAAATAATTGACATCTCAGATCCCGACGAGAACTCCATGATCATCAATGATCTTATACCCAACTGCTCCTACATGTTCAAGGTCAAAGCTATGAGTGAGAAGGGCTGGGGTCCAGAGCGAGAAGGCGTCATCACCATTGAATCAAACGTGGACCCACTAAGCCCTCTGAGCCCAGTTCCAGGTAATTAGTGGACTGAAAAGCTTGAGATGTTTGCTCTGGACATATTCTGTATGTTGCTACTAGTGAGAAATGAAGCATTGCAAATATTACTGTGGAAAAGGAGTTCAGTCTGGGAACCTGGAATATTGTCTGTAATCTATACCCAGTTAGTTTTGCTGTTAAGAGTAAATTCCATGAGAAAAGCCAAGTGATCATTTTGGATATCTATTTAGTTGGAGTGTGATCTCTTAAATAACTTATTGTGTTACATTGTATTACAAAGTTTGAGTCAATTCAAGAGTCTAAAGTCAGCAAGGATTGAGGAAAAGCCAGTCTAAATTTGTTTTAATGGATATTTATCTTTGTTTATCCCTTAACCAACACAATTACGGTTTTGCTATCTGTGGGACCTTACAGTGCACAGATTCCTATATGACTGCAACAAAGTTTGCACTTATAGAGCACATGTAACATAGCACAATGTCACAATCTGCTTCATTAAGATCTGACACCATTCTACAGAGGAAGGTATTAGGGCAGATGACCAGAGCATCTTAAAGGAGGAAAAAGGCACAGGGAAACGGAGAGCTTTTGAATGGGAATTAAGTGGGAATGATGTGACACAAGCTGCTGAAAACTGGCACCACCAACAATGGAGAAATTTAAACCAAAGTGTAAGATGTCAGATAAAAACCAAAAGAACTGCGGATGCTGTAAATCAGGAACAAAAACAGAATTTGCTGGAAACACTCAGCAGGTCTAGCGGCATCTGTGAAGAAAAAATCAGAGTTAATGTTTCGGGTCTGGTGACCCTTCCTCCGAACTAACGGTGGCTGGGAAAACGTCAGCTTATATGCAGAAAATAGGGAGGGGGATGGCGTAGGGGGTAAACGATAGGATGGAGCCCAAAGAGAGAGAAGAGCAGTTGGATACAGTTGGATAAAACCGGACCCAAAACTCTGATTTTTTCTGAGTTTCCAGCAATTTCTGTGTAAGATATCAGAATTGGCGAAATATAGAGATCTCAGCAGCTAGGAAGGATGGAGGAGTTTATGGAATTAGAAACAGGCAAGGCTGTGGTAGAATTTGGGAATGAGAATTTTCACATTGAGGTATTGTAGAACCAGGAACCAATGCAGCCCAACAAGCGCAAGATGATGGGTGAATGCAGTTTGATGCAAAAGTTACGCATTGCCAGTTTCAAATTCTAGATTCTCATGGATGGAAGATGGGAAGCTGGCCATGAGAACACTGCAATGACTAATGTCAAGGATTTCGACAGTAGATGAGCCGAGGCAGAACAAGATCAAATGCTGTTACAGGTATGGAGATATATAGCTGACAGCTCATCTCCATATAAAATGATCGAAGCTGTGAATGGTCTAGCTTAGGTTCAGACAATTGCCAGAGAGATGGCTGGAGTCACTATTCAGGGAATAGAATTTGTGGCATGGACCAAAGATAATGGTTGCAGTCTTACCAATACTTAGCAAAATATGGTTTGTTCATTAGTGTTAATGGCTTGTAGACAACTTGAGAAGGATGAGGATGAAAAATTTACAACGTACGTCAAAATCACATACTGACTATGACACAGAGATTATAACAGTGACTACACTTCTATTGTTTTTAATTAGCTGTAAGGCATTTTGAAGCATTCTGAGGTTAGGAAAGGTGCTGTATAATGTTATGGACCAGATCAGAACCCTCAAAATATTTTAAGAAGGTAGCCTAGACCCTAACTTTTTTTCATTTTAAAGGTAAATGTCAAGTGGCTGTTCCACATGTGAAGCAACTGCTCAATCCACTCGACATTAAGCAAAACAATTTATTTAAACACTATAGTTAAAATACAAACAAAAGAAAGAGGAATTTAGAATAACTTAACTACTGGAAAACTTAACCGAATAATAGATACAATACCTACTACTAATTAACTGTTCCAATATAGTAACATCCCATAAACACACCCTTTGGCAAAAAGGTAAATTCAGACACAGATTCTTACATGCCATTCAACATCAAGAGAGATTTCAGAGAAAGTCAGAGTTAGGAATCATTTACTGAAGCTTCAACTCTTCTAGGACCCAAACAGCTTCTCACTGCTACAACTAAAAAATTAGAAAGCCTGATCTGGGAGAACTGGCCACTCCCTTTCTAATGTTAAACTGTTTCAAGCAAAACCTAAAAAAAGTCTCTTAAACTATTGATTTAGGCCAAATTCCATAGCCACTTTGACACCTCTGCCTTTACAAACTCTCTTCAAAAAACTCAGAACAAAATGACCTTTTTAAAGTGACAGCATCATCACAATAAATACAAATCTGTCAAACTCATTGTTTAATGTCTAGTTGATCCAAACCCTGTCCAAGAACCATGAAAGATGCTCAGTTGGGTTCCACAAGGGCCACTCAGCTCCTGACCTCATTACAGTCTTGGTTCAAATATGGACAATGGGCTGAATTCCAGAAATGAGTTGAGAGTGACAGCCCTTGACATAAGACTGCATTCTACTAAGTGTTGCATCAAGGAGCCCTAGCAAAACTACAGTCAATGGGAATCAGTGGAAAAGCTCTCTGCTGGTTCAAGTCCTAGGTCCAACCATCTTCAGCTGCTTCATCACCTTCCTTCCATTATAAGGTCAGAAGTGGGGATGTACACTGATAATTGCACAATGTTCATTGATTAGGCCACAAACGCAATAATATGTGCAGTTCTGGTCACTATGGGAAAGATATGTTTGTACTGGAGAGGGTAAAGGAGATTCACCAGGATGTTGCTTGAGATGGAAATCTCAGTTATGAGGAGAGACTGGATAGGCTGGGTTTGTTTTCCTTGGAGCAGAGGAGGTTGAGGGGTTGGGGTGGGGGAGGAATCTGATTGAGGTGTATAAAGTTATGAGTGCCAAAGACAGGACAGATAATGAGAATCTTTTTCCAAAGGCAGAAGTGTCAAAGGCCTGAGGATATAAGTTTAAATTGAGGAGTAAGTGGTTTAGAGAAGATCTGAGGAAATTCTTGATAGGATGATTGATGTAGATACTCTCACAACATTTAGGAAGCAATTTGTTACTTAAAATGCCAGGGCACAGTAGCCTATGGACCAAGTGAAAGTAAATGAGATTAATATTGTTTGGTGTTTGTTAGTTGGTGTAGACATGATGGGCCAAAGAGTCTGTTTCAGCGTTCTTTGATTCGATGACCGTTCATGGTAAGTTTTCGGCTAAAAAGCAGCAAGTGACATTTGGGCCACACAAAATTAGGTGTTAACTATGTCTAACAAGAGAGAATTTAACCATCATCCCTTGACATCCATTGGCATTACCATTACTGAAAGCTATCAACATGCATTGACCAGAAGTTCAACTGAACTCACCATATAAATACTGTAGTTGTGAGAGAAATTCAGAGGCTAGGAAATCTCACCTCCTGTGCACCATCTCCATGGCACAAGCGGGAGTGTGATGGAATATTCCCTACTTGCCTGGATGAGTGCAGGTCCAATCACATTCAAAGGCTGATACCATCCAGGACAAAGGAGCCTGCTTGATTGGCACTATACGCACAAGGATCCACACCCTCCACCACCGACGCTCAGTAGCAGCATGTGCATTAGCTACAAGATACACTGCAGAAATTCACCAAGGCTGCTAAGACAGAACATTCGAAACCCAAAACAACTTCCAACAAGTGCAGCACATATATGGCAACCACCACTTGCAAGTTCCCCTCCAAACTACTCATCATCCTGACTTGGAAATATAACGCTGTTCCTTCAGTATCACTGGGTCAATTTCCTAATGGCATAGTGCATTTAACTACAGCACATGGATTGCAGCAGTTCAAGAAGGCAGCTCACCACCACCTTTGTATAGGCATCTTGGACAGCACAGCAGCCCTGCTGTCTTACAGCGCCAGGGACCCGGGTTCAATTGCACCCTCGGGCAACTGTCTGTGTGAAGTTTGCACATTCTCCCTGTGTCTGTGTGGATTTCCTTCAGGTGCTCTGGTTTCCTCCCACAGTCCAAAGAAGTTCAGGTTATGTGAACTGGCCATGGTAAATTGCCCACAGCATCCAGGGATGTGCAGGCTAGCTGGATTAGCAATGTGAAATGCAGAGTTACAGGGATGGGGTGGGTCTAGGTGGGATGCTCTTCAGAGGATCAGTGTGAACTTGATGGGCTGAATGGCCTGCTTCTACACTGTAGAAGATTCTATGAATTAGGGAAGGGCAATAAATACCAACCCACCCATGGTGCCCACATGACCTGAATGAATAAAAAGGAAAAAAAACACTTTGAAAGGCATTTTCTAAATGGAAATCCTCATTCCTGCTTATAGTTTGAGGTTCCATTAATCGGTTAGGCAGGGGACAATGTAAAAATCTCTTTCATCTCCATCTGATTTTTCTCTCCTGAAGGCACCAATTCCTTGCTCAGGTCAAGTTGCACAGTCACTGCTGTCTAAATGAAGTTTAAGCCTAACTGGTGAGAACTGGCAGTCTGTTTCACAGCTGAATCAGATCCTGGTCAAAAGTCACACAACACCAAGTTATAGTCCTCCAGGTTTATTTGCAATCATAAGCTTTTGGAGTGCTGCCCCTTCGTCAGGTGAAAAAAAGCATGCAGGCACAGAATCTATAGGCAGAGAGATCAATGGGTAGAGAGCCCAAAAAATCATATAAATGGTGTGAGTGCAGTGTCAACAAGATTAAATAACAAGTCTCTGCAGGTGATCAAAAGTGTCAGTGTGAGTAAAGTATCAACGGTTGAATAGTAAGTGAAGGGAATGACCTATAACCCAATTAATTGAGATAATTACAAAAAATTAAAAATAAGGTGGTGCTGGAGACAAATCTGATCCTGTCATCAATCATTAACTGCCCATGCTTCAGGCAAAGAGAGTTATTGCACAGAGGTTAAGAAAGAGAATTCTGGCCTGGGTTGTAACTGAGGAGAGCAGATTACATCTGTAATGGCTGTGCTGTCCAACCTTGCTGAGGTAACATGACTCAGGATGTTCAACTCTTTGAACCAGGGATCAAGCAGGCCTGTGTGACTGCATTTCATTCTGCGTTCAAAGAGTTGGGGGCCTTGCGTGAACAGTCTCGATTTTGATGCGGTAGTTGTTAATAATTATTGCTGATTGGATGATGAGTACAATCCCGCAATGTTGGAGGAATTGAAAACATCCTAAATCCCTGTCCTTTGTTCCACAGGCTCTCCTTTCACACTGAGTACACCAAGTGCTCCAGGACCCCTGGTCTTTACAGCCATTAACTCTGAACTGCTCAAACTAAGCTGGGAGAAACCCCGCAAACCAAATGGAGACATCATGGGCTACCTTGTGACTTGTGAACCACTGGATGGACAAGGTAAGCACCAAAACAATCACCTGTTTCTCCCCACAGCAAGTTACTTATTCAGCTAACTGGCAGCATCCTCACCTCTGAGTCCGTAAGGTTGCAATCTCAAGATTTCAGCACCCTGTCCAAGATGACACTATGAGGGTGTAGCACTATCAGAAGTGCCATGTTCAGATCATAAATTAAAATTAAGCCCTGCCTGTCTTCAGAGCTGAATGTTGTTGCAATTCATTGAGGTAGCACACTGAATATTAAGCATCATTATTCCTGGAATCATCACAAAATTTAAAGATTTTGAGAAGTACACAGAATTACCCAATTTACCTGTCTTTCTGACCCAAGTTGACAGAAAGCGCAGATTAGGTTTATGTGCTTAACAAAAGTCACTTTATTACATTTATTTATTACACTATTTATTAAATACTCCAGCCATAAAGTAAATAATTTTGAACAGTCAGCGTATAACTCTATTGGTTAAAAATCTACACCTCCCCTCATAAACATCCCCCATCCACAGACACAGAAACCAATAGACAGAAAAAGAAACTTTGGTGTCATGGGCAAAGAGGAAAACTGGAAAAATAGTTCAGTGGTTCAGTATTGGGTGACTGGCTCACACTCATGAAAGGTATCTGACTTATTAATCAATAGCTTACAGTAATTGCTGAAAGAAAAATAAAGTGGTTTTCTTGGGCTTAAAGTGATTTTTATTGCAGAGAACAGCGCCTGCGGAGATCTGATGGTTTTTCACTAAGTTATTAACAGCGCAAGCTGTTCCACTTTCTAGGAACCGATCACATAGTTGTTGGCAAGTGCAAGGCCTTTGCCATCTCTCACTCTGACGTGCACAAGCACAAACACACACTCAAACTCACTGCCCACTGCTGCTTGAACCATGTATAAACAGTACAGTCGGTTCTGCTATAACGCGTGTTTCTTCAACATGAATTGGCTTTAATGCGATTGAAGAATTTAGACCACATTTTGTAGAATGCAAACTTTCCTTACCTGTATTGGCTTTAACGTGATTCTGGCCCCATTAGTTCAAATGGCACGGCTATTACACGATTTTCTTATAATGTGATATCGCACAAGAATGGAACTATCACGTTATATCAGAACGGACTGTACTTACAATTAGTGTCAGGTTACTTGCTGTAAAAAACTGTAGTAATCCTTCAGTAGTCCTTGTTGTTTTTAAACAGTTCTGTTCCCATTTCGGCATACACTCAAAAATATACAGAAAAATAAAATCCTGTAGCACCATTCAGTGTAAAGCAGGGAGTTCCAGTGTCCAATGCTCAACTGGTCTGTTGGACTTTATTAACAAATAATGAGTTATTCTACTTACTCAAATATTAACAGTGACCGCAATTCATTGCAAACTAAGTTTTTTGGGGTGTTTCTATAGTGTCTTTTGTAGCTGTGTTGAGAAGCAGATGCTTTGACCTGAACCTGAAGGTCTGTCAAGTAGGCGGTAAGAGATGATGCTGGTATAAAAGGCTTCCAAGTTCAATCTCCTGCTAGTCTCAGCTAATATGGACACATACTATATTGAACAAGTTTGCTTCATCAAAGGCTGAAGCACATCAGTGCATTCCCACAGGGTTGTCAATGGTCTTACCTTTTATCTGTGCTTCAATGGCTGTAGTGTTGCCTGTCCACCTTCTTCCTGTCCACCTTATTCTAAATGGGGAGAAAATTCAGAAATTTGAAGTGTAAAGGGACTTGCAAATCCTAGTCCAGGATTCTCTTAAGGTGAGCTTGTAGGTTGAGTCAGTAGCTAGGAAGGCAAATTTGAGAGGAGTAGAATATAAAAGAAGGCATGTACTTATGAGGCTTTATAAAAGCTCTGGTCAGACCGCATTTAGAGGTTTGCGAGCAATTTTGGGCCCCGTACCTCAGGAAGGATGTACTAGCCCTGGAGAGGGTCCACAGGAGGTTATGAGAATGATCCCTTGAGAATGAAAGGCTTAACATGTGAGGAGTGTTTGAGGACTCTGGGTCTATATGCGATAGAGTTTAGAAAGTTGAGGGGGGATCTAATTGAAACTTAGAAAATACTGAACGGTCTGGACAGAGGGGACATTGGGAGATTTTTCCATTGGCAAGAGAGACTAGGACCCGAGGGCAAAGCCTTAGAGTAAGGGGAAGACTCTTCAAAACAGAGATAAGGAGAAACTTCTTCAGCCCAAGAATAGTGAATCTATGGAATTCCTTGCCACAGAAAGCTGTGGAGACCAGGTCATTGAGTATATTTAAGACAGAGCTAGATAGGTTCTTGATTGTCAAGGGGGAAACGCGGGAGAATGGGCTTAAGAAACTTATCAGCCATGATTGAATGGCGGAGCAGACTCAATGGGCCGAATGGCCTAATTTCTGCTCCTAGACCTTATGGTCATATAGTCTGGAAATTAGGCCAGTCCAATTGTATCCAGCATAAAGGTGGGAGGGTTCCTGAGGGTCTGTTAATGATGACATTTTGCCACCTCTAGCAATACCATTGGAATAAATTGGGAAGGACAGGTCCTCCCAATGTGAAGGGCTCCTGTGATATCAGCTCCCCTGGCCATCGTTGGCAGGAAAATACTTGGTGCGAGCAGATCACTGGTTGATAGAAGTAGAATCCGAGCTGGGATTGTGTCAAGGACACCCCAAAAAAAAGGAATTAAGTTGCTTTTTTATAATTACACTTAAACACAGTTACCTTCTAATATGGGGCTGCTGGGATCATTCAAACAATTTTTCCAGATGGGGCACAATTCACAACCTCAGGGCACAAGCATCTGCCTGTGCCATTAAAATGAAATGCCCTTCCCTGATCTTGCCACCATCAATGGCATCAGTAGTGGAGGACTTGGACAGTCATATGTCCAATATGCCTCTAATCTCAACTGCAGTCGGGTTCAGCAGCTTGATACTGATTTGACTAATAGGATGGAAGTTCCACGTAGCAAAGGTAGGATGTGAGTCATCTCATCACATCTGTTCCAGCATTTTATTCGGTCATGGCTGAGCTATATCTTGACTCCATCAACTGCCTTTGCTCCAATACTTAGCTCAACAAAAGCTCTCACTCCTCCAAGCACTGACACTCCTTTGGGACAGTGAGTTCCAGGAGTCCAATATTTTGATTGTGTGAAGACGTGCTTCATGGTTTTATTTCTAATGGTCTAATTCTAATTTAAAGATAAAGCCTCTCGTTCAGGAGTCTCACAACAGAGGAAATTGTTTCTCGTGTCCTGCCCTATTGAATGCCTTTAAACACTTCTATTTGTTTATCTCTCAACATTTTAAATTCCTGGGAGTATACAAATCAATTTTAAGTAAATTGTCTTCATGCTTTAGTGCTCTGGTATAATTTTAGGGAGTTTATGTATGTCCCCTCAAAGCAAGTAAATTATTCCTGAGGTGAAGGTACCAGAAGGGTGAATGCACTACTTCAGGTTGGGGTGTAAAACTAAAGCACAACCTCCTTTTCCTTGCCCCAGCTCTCTCTGGTTAATTTTGCATTTCATTAGCCTTTGGGATTGGTTTTGTACCTGTCCATTAGCTTTTAGTCACTTATGAACACAAAACCCTTGAACATCTCTGTTCTTTCTTTGTCCATTATCTTGCCATTCAGAAAATATTCCAGTCTGTATTTCTAGGATACAAATTAGATGACCTCACAATTTCTCACCACGAACTCTGTCTGCCATAGTTTTGCCCACTCATTTAATCTGCCTGTATCCTTTATGATGTTCTGCTCTCAGCTACACAACATGCTGTTGAACCTACCTTAACACTGTGAGCAAACAAATATATAAATATCTATTCCTTCATCCAAATCATTAATAAATATGGTGGAGAGCTGACACACAAATCCCTGGGGAAATACAACTTTGCCAGTCAGAGTCTGCACTCTTCATTCCTCCACTCTGCCTCCCACCATTTTCTAATCCTTATTATAAGGTGACATCTATTAAAATCTTTTCCTGTTCGTATCACTCTCTCTATAATATCCAGTGTGGTTCTGTGGATATCATTCTCTTTTGACACACCGTCCTATTCCCCAGTATGATGCTGTAGGTATCAGTTAACACTGTGGTCAACAAAAATGCCTCATTCAACTTTGTTCACACTGTATCTCAATTCCTTTTGTAGGTGAAATCAAGACTTATCAAGTGGAGGGTGATGATGCAGAGATGACACTGATGGTACCTCACCTCAGTGAAAATGTTCCATATAAGTTCAAAGTTCAAGCAAAGACAACCCAAGGTTATGGTCCAGAGCGTGAAGGCATCATTACCATTGAGTCACAAGATGGAGGTAGGAGCCAACTCAGTAAGAAAGAATCAGTCATTAATAATGAACAGATCATATATTACTGTATCTTATACACTGAAATATTCCAGGTGTGTCTAAGTATGTTAATCACTGTCTTAAACAGTTGAGCCCTTGTGCAGCCAACTGATTTGACTGGTGATTGGTCAATTGATTGACCCAGCCATCTACCGACCTACCTTCCTTTCTAACTTCATTCTTGCCTGCCTATCTTCTTTCATTTATACAAATGGCTACGATGGGAAATGGACCATGCAGTGTTCTAATTCTTGATAGTAATGAACCTGTAATGGTAACATTTAAAATTAGGTTGTAAAATGGGGAAAACTATTTCACCAAAGAACATTGAAACTATCAGTGGAGAACAATGTGGTAGGCAGTTTTTGCATTGTCAAGAGTAATTGGAGAAGTTGAGGGATATGATGAGATGGAACCTGGTAAGAAAGAATAGACGGATCAGTTGAGAATTTTCCTTTATATATGATAGTGATTTGTGGAGTGGATATGAAGGATATTGATGGATTGCAGTGGTCTTGTTCCAAGTTGTAACAGCTATGTTTTGATCTTTATATTGTAGCAAACTTTACTGACTACAATAAACAGATGGTAATGAGGCATGAGGGATACATGGTACCTGGGAATATGAGCACGCAGACCGGACTACTGCAGTCCACCATCGACCCCATGTTCTCAGGTACGTCTTGACAGCGTTTACTGTATTTACCCCAGCATTTTCAAAACCAAACCCTATACTGGCCTATGAATAAAAGCACTCTGTCTGCTGCAGTACCCAGTCTCTGGCAGCAATACTTCATCTGCTGTAGTTCTCAGCCTAGTACTGAGATGGGAGTGGTACTGAACTAAGGGTTATACCCAATCAGAGTGGAACTGAGTTGGGAATGGTACCAAGCAAGGGGTTGTACCCTGCCAGGAATGCTACTGAGCCAGGTTTGTATCCAGCTTGGAGTGGCACCAAGCTAGGGGTTGTACCCTGCCAGGAATGGTACCGAGCCAGGATTGTACCTCCCTGGGAGTGGCACCAAGGCAGAGATTCTCCCTCGCTGGGAATGATACCAAGCTGAGTGTGCTATTCTGTCCGATGTACTACACACTCTTCTGGCTCAGCTACTGCTGTTATTGAATATTTGGGTCACCAGCTTTGCTATGAAGCTCTAATTAAGTGGTTTGGTTCCAGAGGGAATGACCGTTACAACACAACGAATGGAAGGTGCGACATCAATCACTCAACAGATCACTCGAACAATGATGACGAGTGGAACAGTCACCAAACAGATGGAAAGGAAGTTCTACGAGGCTTGATCCATGGACTAGCTTCTGCAAAGTCCTGCTCTTTGTACAGACGGCTGCAGATTCTTTACGTTGAACTATACCAATGAGTAATCTCTGATGCCCTGATCTCTAAGCTTGTCAGCACCCAAGTTAAAAGAGACCTGCTGGACAGTTGTGATGGATGTTTGCTTCCATTTGTTCATTAGGCTTGGTCAATTGGCATTGTTACATATTGCTGTAACGTTTTCTAGTTTGTTGGTGTTGAGCTTTGATCATGAAAGACTCTGCATTCACCATATCCTAAAATCTGTCCAAATTTCCAAGTGCCTCTAAATTTTACTTTCCTTTCAATCCAATTACCTTGAATCCAGGCCTCCCATGAAGCAGACAAGGACACAGAAGATTCTTATGTGCTTTCTTCACTCTTTCTGCATTGCTTGGTGCTTGTTATCACCAACAGAAACCTCCACTTGGGGTCACATTATTTCCATACATTCATTGTATTTATTTTTACATTCAGATATAAGCAACTACTCCATGTAGAATGTATAAATAACTTTCAAAGCATATTTGATTCAAGTTGTGAGAAGTAATTTTGCTCTGTGGGTGTGAGAGCAATTATCTAGAATCTGCATGTTTTACAGTAACATTGATCGACAGGTGTAATTTCTTGTGTTCTCTGGGTTTAGCTCAGTCTTTCTTACTTAAGTGTCACCTTTCCACATCCCCATCACCACCTCAACCTGCTCTGTATTGTTTCCCTGCTGTTTTCATTTTAATGACTTAATCCTGTCAAGCATTGTTGACTCTCACATTTCAGATGCTGAATTCCCACTAGTATAAAAGACCCCATAACTCACAGAATTGTTAACCAGGATGACTGAAATTGTCCCATTTGGCAGAGACATCCCATTACCGTGGAGACGTTTGTCCGACACAATTGGATTCACTGAGAGCTAGTAAATGTTGGATTTAAGAAATGTATAAAGAGAAACATAGAAAATTAGAGCATGAGTAGGCCCTTTGGCCCTTCAAGCCTGCTCCACCGTTCATTATGTTCATGGATCATCCATCTCAATAGCCATTCCTGCTTTTCCTTTAAATTCTTTGATCCCTTTACCTGTAAGTGCTATAACGAATTCCTTCTCCAAACCATATGTTTTGGCCTCGACTGCTTTCTGTGGTGGTGAATTCCACAGAATGTGCTGCATACATGGAGATTCAGCTTCTTGACTCCAAAAGCCAGATACCTCCTCTTATTTAGGTATCTCACCTGTCTACACAGGTGCTGAACTGCAACATGTACTTCTTTTATCCTCCATATTGGATAGAAACCTACCAAATCTACTACACTGCCTCCCAACTACTCGGCAATTTTTTATACTGGGCAACCAAAGTGCTATTGTATCTCCTAAAAAGCTTACATTTTAGATACTAAGTATGTACTTATATTGTAATTTTACTGGGTTGTATTTTTGGAATTTCGGTATGCTAGCCAAATGCCATAGATTTGGTTTCCACATTGCAGCTAAAGATTTCTATTGCCTGCTTTCAACAAAGATTAATTTTGTGAAGGTTGTGTTGTACAGAGCCTAACCAATCCAGGTATAATTCCCAGCCTAATCTCAGCCAAGCAGCTACACATTGGGAATTACAACCTACAGTGGGAACAAGCAGAAATCAGCCATGGATCCTGTCACAGATAGTTATCCCTTGCACTGAGCGAGGTCAGGATCAGGCAGAAGACTGCACAGTTGGGTCTAAGTACCTCCTAGGTGCCAGCCACCACTGGGACACCAAGAGGTAGCAAAGTCAGAACAGATGTGACACAAAATTCAATAGGAATTGAGGAGCAGCGGTATCTGGAATGGAAATGGCCTCAGATTGTTATGCATGTGGCTTACCTAGTGGATCCCACTCTGTAAACACTGCTTCAGGTTTTTGTACTTGTAATAAAATGCTTCTTCTGCACTTGTAACCATGTAAACGGGCCTTGACTCTCTTTGTCCCAATATTGTCTTTCTTCACATTGACCATTGGCTTTTTCCACAGCACATAATTTTTGTTTTAAAACCATACCATATCAGTCCAACAGACCCAACCAGAATACCAGTGGCAAAACTTTTCATGTACCGTGGAACACTTTCAAAATGGAAAATATGCACTTTCTCGGATCTCAAAACTCACCAAGTGCGCATTTTTAAATACAAATTAGCTCAGGAACAGAAGATTCTATGAGAATGCAGCCCTGTGTGTTAGCTCTGCCATTCGTTCAGATCACAATTGGTCCACACCTAAATTCCATCATCTGAATTTAGTCCCATAATCCCTTGATTTATTTGCCTAAAAGAACTGAAGGACGTGTATTTATATAACACTTTAGCACATAACACAGCAACCAACATAAGATCAGCAGTCAAGATAAACAACACAATTTGACTTTACATCAAAATAGTTCATAGGAGTGTTATCAACAAAGTCTGACACTAAGCCACATACGGTGATATTAGAGCAGAAGATTAAATGCTTAGTCAAAGAGGTAGACATTAAGGAGCATAACAAAAGGGAAGAGATTTAGGAAGGCAATTTTAAAGCTTGAGCCAAAACAACTAAAGCATGGCAACCAATGTTAAAGCTGTTAATAAGATGCTCAGGGGGCCAGGATTAGAGGAATAAAGATACCTCAGAAGGTTAAAGGGACATTCCTGTTAATTCTCCATGGTTTAATTGTTCAGTCCATTTAATATTATTACATGGCCATACATATATGTACCATAAATGGGCTGCTGCTCATGCGTTGTGATAGATTGTGATGGACAATGTGCCTAAGCAGCTCAGAGAATAAACTGATTTTAGAACTTGACATTATAGAGATAGGGAACCCTCAAGGCCTTGAAGGCAGCTGATAACAAGGTTGGGAATTGAGGCATCCAGCACGATCCAGTGTGGATCAATAAGTACAGGGTGATGGGTAAATGAGACATGGTGCAATTGAGGAAATATATGCCTTAGTGATTGTGCGAAAAAGTGATTAAAAGGCCATCTTAGGATCAAATAGGACACAAGGTTGTGAACAGTTAGATTCAGCCCTGTTGGCAGGAAGAGAGGTGGAATCAGTACCTACAGAATGCAGTTTGTAGTGGGGCTAAAGATAATGGCTTCAGTCTTTCCAGTATTTAATTGATGGAAATTTCCGCTCACCCAATGCCAAATGGCTAACCCATCAAAAAGGGGTCAAGACAGTTATAGAGCTGGATATTGTCAGTGTTGTTATGATGCTGGGTTTTCAGATCATATTACCAAGAGGTGCTATGTGGATGAGAAGCAAGAGGTAGCCAAGAATAGATCCTTGGGAACAGCATGGACGTAGGAGCAGGGACAACAGCCAATGGAGATGATTTTCCAGTAATGATTAGATTGACGAGAATGGAACCAAGTGAGTGCAATCCGACCCAGCCGAACGACAGGGGAGAGGCAGTGAAGCACGTCGGTGTGAGTATCCATGTCAAAGCTGCAGACAGTCTGACGAGGAGAAGAGTTAGCTTGCAACAGGCAAATAGGAAGTCATTTGTGACAGGTCCAAATCTGATTGGAGAAATACAAACATGGAGTACCTGGAACACTGAATACCAATTTAGGCAGTGGTATTCATGATGTGGAGGTGCCGGTGTTGGACTGGGGTGGACAAGGTCAGAAATCACACAACACCAGATTATAGTCCAACTGGTTTATTTGAAAACACAAGCTTTCAGAGCCTCACTCCTTCTTCAGGTGTTAGTGTTTATGGACTTTGGAGAGGAAAGGAAGGTAAGAGGTAAAATAATAACTTATAAGCACAGTGTTTTATGAAAAGTGGCAGATAATGTTGGAAGAGTGGAAGTAGAAACAATGTCAGCTAACACGGGAACCTGGACGGGAAGCTGGATGGTCAACATTTTAGTGGGTAAAGGTTCAAGTGATAAGGGGTAGTGTCTCATGGACAAGGTTAATAGCCAACTGAGCAAGTGACTAACACTGAAGCTCTGTACACAAGGTCTAAAGTGGTATATGCGAGATATATACATGGTAAATGGCTGTACAGAACATACTTAAATTGGTAGTGCCTTAAAATTGTGCAATGTATTTCCAGGTACCCAGAGAAACATGCAGCCTTAAGTCTGGCTGCCAATTTCCAGACAAGCTGTCTTCTTGGTAGTGTTCTTAGATTGGTCAACAAGATAATTCCCTAGGCACCAGCTTTATGCAGCAACTCCTCAATTTGCCAGGTTTCAGTATCGCTCTGATTCACCCCTGGCATAGAAGATTCTATTTTACAGAAGCATACAGTACAGAAGAAACCCCTCACCCCATCAAGTCTGTACCACCAAAAATATAGTACTACTTACACTCATTCCACTTTCCTGCTCAAGGCCCATAGCCTTAAATGTTATGATATTTTAAGTGCTCATCCAAGTAATTTTTAAAGTAAGTAAGGTTTCCTATCTCAACTACTCTCCCAGGTAGTTCATCCTAGAGCCCCACCAGCCTCTGGGTCAAAATGTTTGTCCTCAAATCCCCTCTGAACCCACTGTCTTTTACTTTAAAATTTTGACCCTTGTTACTGACCCTTCAACTAAGGGGAACAGCTACTTTCTATTCACCTTGTCCATACCCCTCATAATCTTATACACCTCTATCAGGTTCCCTCTCAACCTTCACTATATGAAAGAAAACAACTCAAGTTTAGCCAGAAATGGTAAGAACTGCCGATGCTGGAGTCAGAGATAACACGGTGTGGAGCTGGAGGAACACAACAGGCCAGGCAGCATCAGAGGAGCAGGAAAGTTGACGTTTCGGGTCGGTACCCTTCTTCATCTTTTCATAACTGAAATACTCCGTCCCAGGCAACGTCCTGGTGAATCTGGCCAGAACAGGTCTGAAGAAGGATATCTGAACCCAAAATTTTAACTCTCTTTTCCCTCCATTGATGCTGCCAGACCTGCTGATTTTTTTCTAGCAATTTCTGTTTTTGTTTCTGATTTCCAGGATCCAGTTTCAATTTTTTTTCTAATGAATCGCCTTTGCACCCCATCAGTGCAATCACATCTTTCCTGCCATGCACACAGTACTCCAGCTATGGCCTAACCAAAGTCCTGTACAGCTCCAATACAACATCCTTGCTCTTATAATCTATGCTAAAACTGATAAAGGCAAGCATCCCATATCCCTTCTTAACCTGTCCTGCCAACTTCAGGGATCTGTGGGCAAGCACCCTAAGATGTCTCTGTTCCTCTGAGCTTCCTAGTGTCTTGCCATTCATTGAGTATTCCCTTATTTTGTTCCTTCTTCCAAAGTGTATCACTTCACATTCATCAGTGTCAAGTTTCATCTGCCATTAGTCTGCCCATTTCCCCAACTAGTTTGTATTCTCTTGTAACCCAAGACCTTCCTCCCATCAACCACCTGGCCGATCTTTGCAACATTCTCAAACTTATTTATCATCCCTCCCACATTTTCATCTATATCATTTATGAATATTAAAAACAATAAGGGACCCAGCACTGATCCCTCTGGTACACCACCACACATCCATTTTGCTAAGTTACCTTGGATCCCTGAAGCTGTTATCTTCTTTTTCAGTTTCCCATGTGAGACCTTGCCAAAAGGTCTTGGTGAAATCTATATCAACTACATCAACTGCCCTACCCTCATCCAAACATTTGGTTACCTCCTTGAAAATTTCCACTCGATTTGTTAGTCATGACTTCCCTCTGAAAAGCCACATTGTCCATTCCTGATCAAACCTTGCCTCTCCAAATTGAGATTATTTTTCTCCTTCACTGTTTTCTCCATTAGTTTCCCTTTCACTGATGTAAAACTGAGTGGACTATAGTTCCCTGATCTATCTCTACTACCTTTCTTGTAAAGTGGAACCATATTAGCAGTCCTCTGGCACCACTCCTGTGGCCAGACACTCTAAAAATTTGGGAACAAAAACAGAAGTTGTTGGAAAAATTCAGCAGGTCAGGCAGCATCTGTGAAGAAAAAAATCAGAGTTAACGTTTTGGGTCCGGTAACCCTTCCTCAGAACTGATGGCAGCTGCGAAAACGTCGGTTTTTATGCAGAAAATAGGGAGGGGAATGGGGTACGGACTAAATGACAGGATAAAAGATAGAGCCTGAAGAGAGAGAAGAACAGTTGGATAGACAAAGTAGTTGATGACGATCTAGCTGGGAGGGTGAATAGTGTTAATGGGAACAGTAATTGACTAACAACAGATGGTGTGTAATGGCAGGCTACGTGATAACAAGGCCTGGTGTGTGGAGTAGGGGACTAGGACAGGAGTTTAGGTCCTAACATTATTGAAATCGATATTGAATCCAGAGGGCTGCAAAGTCCCCAAGTGGAAAAGGAGGTGTTGTTGTTCCAGCTTGCATTGAGCTTCGCTGGAACACTGCAGCAAGCCAGAGACAGAGGTGTTGGTCAGGGAACAGGGTGGTATGTTAAAGTGGCCGGCAACTGGATGTTCAGGGTCTTTTTTGTGTGCAGAACATAATGTTCTGCGAAGCAGTCACCCAGTCAGGCTTCCTTTCCCACTGTGGAGGAGACCACATTGTGAGCAGTGAATGCAGTAGACTAGATTGTGGGAAGTGCAGGTGAAGTGTTGCTTCACCTGGAAGGCATGTTTCAGCCCTTGAATACTGGGGAAGGAGAAAGTAAATGGGCAGGTGTTGCACCTTCACCAGTTACAGGGAAAGGTGCCGTAGGGCTGTGGGGTGGTGTTGGGAGTGAAGGAAGTGTGAACCAGGGTATCCCAGAGGGAACGGTCCCTGTGGAATGCGGACAAGGGAGTAAGGGGAATACATGTCTGGTGGTGGCATCTAGCTGGAGGTGGCAGAAATGGCATCTGATGATCTTGTGGATGTGGATGCTGGTGAGATGGTAGGTAAGGACAAGGGGAACCCTATCGCTGTTGCAGGAGGGAAGAGAGGGGGTGAAGGAGGCAG